ATTGGACGTTGTTGTAGTAGAGCGCAAGGAACTGAATCTCGACCAGGTGGTGAGATGGAACGAACAGTCGAGGTATGACTGTGTCACAGCCTGGTGGTTTGCATTGGACGCTGCGAATGAAGACGATCAGCGTGTCGAGATCTGCTGAAGAGTAGACTTTGCCCTCGACGGTGAGGCCGCGGACATGTTTGCTCTTTCTCGTGGGGGCAGATGACGAAGGGTACGACCTGAACAGTCGTAGTATGAGCTTGAGCTTCTTGAGGTAGTCGTCTGGTAGTAAGGCGACGCCTGGGAAGAAGATGCGCAATTCGTAGAACGAGTCGCGATGGGGAGGGGCGACCGTGTTCATCGGGGCGAACCTCGCTAAAACACTGTCAAGTCCCATGTTGCCCTGTAACCTTAGTGTATCGACGCTCGACCTCGAGCGATTGATTGACTGTGTAGAGTCTTGCTAAGGACTTATTCAGAACGAAAAACAGTTAGTAACTGTATCGCTCGTTTCGGTTTTTTTTTCAATGGTGCCAAGTGGACAGACCAGAGTTCACTACCAAGTGGCCAAAAAAAAAAATTTTGGGGCTAAAAGCAACTCCCCGTTCGGGAATCGAACCCGAGGTATCAGTGTGAGAGACTGAGGTGTTACCAACTACACCAACGAGGATTTGAAAGATCTCTCGCTTATTTTTGCTTTTGTACTGAGCTTTTTTGCTTTTTTTTTAACCAAAAGTTAGGAAATTAATTTCCTGAATTGAAAAATAATAATAAATTCGGATTGAATTTTTTTTCTACAATTTATTTTATAATTTTTGTTTAATAATGTTCTCTGGTAACCTTTACAAATCCTAACATATACATTAAACCAAAGAATACTAACAAAGATAGAGGAAGTAGGAACAATAATATTATAGAAGCCATTGCCAGTACTCTGACACGGTGAATGGGAGAAGATAGGTATCTGAAAGCAAGTATCCAAATAGGCCAGAACAAGAATCCTGTAAGGAAAATGAACAGGATATGTCTTTTTGATCTCTCAACTTCACTTGAGTCATTAGTGAGGGATATACTTGAAGATGATTGTTCTGGATTAGCAATCAACATTGGGGAAGTTGGAGGATAGAACATTTGTCCTTGAAAATAAGGTGATTGTGAATAGAATGTACTGTAGTCATGTAGTTGTGGAGGTAAACTCTGAGATTGTAATGCTTGTTTTTGTTGTTGTCGTGGAGGTTGTCCTTGTTGTTCGGATATGAAGGTACCATATGTTGAAATTGAAGAATTATGATGATTAGGAGATTGATAAGGAGATCCTGATAACCTTTGATTTGAATTAGCTTGTTGATCCATTATTTGGTTATTGTCAATTAATTGAGTATAATTATATTTATTATTCTTTAGTTGGTCCATTCTTATTTTTTTTAACTACTCTCCTTGATAATATATGTATTTATCATTTGAAAGTGTAATAAATATAATGATTGTGACTAAGGTCTGTCTTTAAAGCCCTCACCCTTCAAAATAAATATATGTATTAATTTAATTATCCAAACTTGAACACATTACCAAAAGGGGGCATCACATCTAGATGAATTGTCATTTCGAATAAACCAAAGTAGCTACTTTGGTTGACCAAGAGGTGAACTAGTTCATCTCATTTTAATACTCATTATCTTGAATGACAGGACAATAATAATAGGATAAAGAACACTGACTGATGCAAGTTGCAAACAACAACAACAACAACGATACTATTTCACTTCTCAATCATGACTTTAATGAACAGCCAATAGACGAACAACTCGATATCAAATATAGAATACTTATGGGTTACAAACCATTGATCAAATGTTCATCAAGCCTAACTACACAACAACAACAACAACAACAACAACAACAACAACAACATCAACAACAGAACAAGAATAATAATAGCACTACAACAAAGAAACATAAAGATGAAGGTGATGAGCTAAACAATCAATCAATTAAGAAACAACGACTTGTGGTTGACGAGACTAAAGTGACTCAATTGAAATTGTTGAACAAACATAGGACATTGTCACATTTGGATGCCTATGATCAGCCATTCGATCTACTAGTCAGAACAGATCTATTATCAGTACACTCGTTGGTGTCTTCCAACGACATTGACGTTGCCAGAGGTGTATCATTTCCATCGAGACTCCTTATTCCTGCCGATCAATGTCGCAAATCGCTCGATATCATTGCCTCCAACATAACAAACATACTAAACAGTGGAATGATGTCAGCAGACATTGAGCAGGTCAACAGAGACAGCAACCCATACTTCCAACAACATCGTCAGCTCTCCACATTAGAGCTTGAGTATCAACAAGTAAGTGGCTATACCCAATTGTTTGATTTGACCCTCGAACGGTGGTTACGTGGGTGACATGACTACACCTGATATGCCAAGTCGCTGACCGTTCCACGACCCTCCAGTCACAAACAGATTATCTCTCCACACAACAGGCCTTCCAGTGACCAACCATTCCACACAGATACTGACAAGATACCGACCAGATACCATGCTTGTAGTTACAGTGAGTAAGATACCCACAAACTAAACTCACATATCGATATCTGGAGCTGGTGCTCCACATACACGGCGACACCCGACCCACCCAATCCCACACAATGGCAGGCCATTACCCACCTCGGACCTGCTGTGGTCCTCAATCAAATCAGGACTTTTATTTGATTTGGAGTCGGACTCACCCCGCCACTTTTGGGCCTTGTGTCAATGCCGGCTGGTGGCCTTCAAACGCTTCGGGGCAATGTCCTATGTCTTTGCTTCCTGTTGTGGCATGCCCATCACCATTCAATTAAATCAAAAGTAGCCTACCTATCTGCTAGATACCAAACCTGACTTACTTCAACAACAAAAAAAACAGGTATACTTGCTGTGTTGTAGAATAAACATTACAACACCATTAAAAGTATATATATTTATTTATAACTTGAATCAAATATTTATTTATTTATTTATAACATAACAGATACAACTACTTATCAGTGTGAATTTCATTTCAGAGTAGTAGCGACAGAGCATAAATCGAAAGTCGTATTACGATATAACAAGCAATAGAATCTCAGGGTTATTGCTCTTGTTGTTGGAACTCCTTTATTTATTCAAAGAGTTTGATAAACAGGTTATAACAATCACTTGAACGAAAAGGTATAATAGTGAAACATACTACATTTTGTTGTAATATTGACTTCCAGGATGTGGTGGAAGACATCCCTCCATTCATTCAAACAATCACAATCACAATCACAATCCATACACTCATTCACAATCATACATACAAACAATCAATCAATCAATCAATCAATCAATCAATATTGATTGAGAAACGGTCAACCCCTAATGGGTGACATGTAGTCGGGTTACACACACACAGACGTCGTATTTTCCAACTTGTGTTGTCCACACTCAACACATCAATCACATCACACATCACTAGTTGTCCATCAACTCTGCCTTCCAGATGGCAACACATCCACAATGAACATCAACAGCAACAGCAACACCAACAGACACTATGTCTCTCGTTTTATGACGATGATGATGAACTTGTGTCTGTTCGATGCAAGGTATAATTAGATGTTCGTTTGATTAATATATGCCAGTTGTGTTGTTATTGCCCTCACCAATTAGATCTTGGATCCTCTGACTACTACTACAGTTTGAAACTGACATTGGGAAGCATACTCATACACAGACACACATACAGGCATACATAGACACACAGATTTGAATCGATTCCAAACGATCCCAAATAATCAAGCCAACGACAGAGAGAGAAGCGTTTGTTTCCTTAAAGGAACATCAATAGATAGGACAGCAACAGCAACACACCACCACCACTTCCTCTATCTTCCAGCCACAGCCACAGAGTTAACATCCGACACCCTTCCATCCATTCATCCATCCGTCCGTCAATCACTTGGCGCCCCGCGAATTGTTTAAAGACAATCAATCCATCAATCAATCCACACCAACCACACCGATACTTAATATCCAACAACATCTATAGAGAGATAGAATAACCATAGTTGTTCCCAATTAATTAATCAATCAATCATTCCACTCTCTCACCACACAACTCAATCAATTAGCATTCAACCAATTAATCAATCCAAACAATACCCATAATATCTACAACCAACAAACATAATTATATAGACCAACACAACACAACACAATGACAGCATTGCACACTGAAAAGCCAGCAGCGACTGGCAATGGAAATAATGAACAATCAGAGCTGGAGCTCAAGGTGTTCAAGGTGCTGGCGGCATTCTCCCAGAGTCTGGAAAAAAGTCTAATCACCAGCCAGACATCGGTCAACGAGCTCTGTAGGTCACTGAATCAAGCGCCCAAGACTGGACAGCAGGAACTAAAGAGCATAAGTCAACTATCTGACCAAACAAACGTTGGTCTGCTAACTATACAGATGGTGCGATGTGTTATACAGCGAGCCGACTCACTGTCCAACCAAATCGCAGCACTACAACACTCTGTTGCCGCATCAAAGTCAAGCAGCAACCTCAGCATCAACAACAATAATAGTATTAATAACCAACAACAACGTAATAATAATAATAATACCCGAGACGAAGTCATTGCCCATCATCAACCAACATCACCGAAACAACAAAGAGAACAACAAGTAGAAAGAAAGAAGGAGGTGGCCTTGGCACCACCTTCGGGAAGCTCAAGCCCAAGCGACACAAGTCGCTCAAACAATAGCAGCAATAGTAACAGCAACCTGAGCATAGGTGGTTCGTCAACAAAGACATTAGGCAAGACCAGAAACAGCTCGGACTTTGACACAAAGTATCAGACAGAGATGCAACTAAATGCCATGTTGTCAGAGTTCCTGAAGGAGGACTTTGAGATTGCCTCAACTCTCAGCGATGACAGTCAGTTGGACGGTGGCGACGTGCTTGTCCAGACAGAGATCGAAGAGACAGCCGACCTAAAACAGACATCTTCAAGCAAATCGCCCATGGGTGCCAGTGCTACCCTTGGCTCATCGGGATCATCTCTCAACATCTCTCCACTATCACGCTCCACCTCATCAATGTCACCAGCGGCCAACCCTGGAACAACCTCGCCGAATCAGTTCCAGTCGATGGGAAATCTACAGAATGTAGACTCGCCAGGTCGTCAGCCAGGAAGCACGACGGGAGGCGGCAACAACAACAATGGTGGCGGCGGTAGCGGAGGAGGTAGTGGCGGTGGACCACCCAAGAAGGCTTATCTAACTGACCTACTGGACCAAATTGATCAAGAGAATGGAGGCAAAGATAAGAAGAAAGGAAAGTTCAAGTTCTTCTAGTCATCATCATCGCACCAATCAGACCATCCCACTACATGTATAACAGACACTCATCAAGTATTCCGACTCGCTAAGTCATGACATCCATATATCTATCCCATATCCCCTCCCATTGTACGATTGCTACACAGCTCTTAAGACCAGCTGCATGCAGCTGCGCTCTCAATCAGGGTCATCGAAACACAATAAATGGTCCTTCTATTAATTATTATATATATTACACAAGTTCCATCTCTGAGAGATCCATTATCCAGGTCGTCGTCAATCAATCGCTATCGCTGACCATTACTGGGGACTTGGTTGTTGCGTCACTAAATTTACAAGCTTCCTGCTGCTACTGCCTCCACCACGCAGCATCTGATTGACAAACTGCTCCTTGCTCAGGGCGGTTGGCGCTGAGCCTGTTGATGAGGACAGGGGGATCTCGCGTGGCGGCGTCGTTGGCGAGGTGGAGCCATTGGGTGGCGTGACTGATATTGGCATTGTAGGTGAACGGCTGCGCAGCTCTTGCTTCTTGGCGCGTTTCAGTTTCTCTTTGAGTTGGAAGTATGACTCCATCAGCTGCATCTCCTCCATCAGCTTCTGATTCTTGGTCTCCTCCTTGTGCAGCTTCTCCACAAGCTCCAAACTCTTGATGGCAAAGAACTCAGAGTTCTCGGTCTCCTTTTGCAGAGACAGACGCAGCTCATCAATGTCTCTGATGAACATGGTGTAGTCGCGAGATGTTCTATTGTCGCGTTGTGTCCTGACGTTGTTGATGGTCTCTCTCAGCTTATCCAGCTTCTGCTCGAGCAGAATCGACTGACTGGAGGAGGGTGATGCGGCCTGGTCGTCGAACATGCTCTGTGAGCGTTGTCGCGAAAGATAGAGCAGCTCATCGGCGTCCAATTCTCGCGAGTACCTATAGTCTCTAGAGTATCTGTTGTAGTTGCCGCTGTCCCTGTTGGAAGACGACGGTCCATACTTGTTGGCGTTGCTCATGTACTGGCTGTTCTGGCTGCTGATGCTGTAGCGGAAGCTGCGACTCTCGCGATCGCCAATCCTGCCGCCCGATGTCGGTGCGTTGCCACCACTGCTGTTGAGCAGGATGGATATCCTCTCCTTGGGGCTGATACGCTTCTCGATCTCGCGTTCAATCTCGCGACCAATGTCCCTGCTCTTGCGGCGGTCCTGTGTGTCCTTGTCCTTCTGGTATCTGTCTTTGAATCGATCATAGTCCACGCTGTATCTGTACAGTTTGTCCTTATCTGGTGCCGACAATGGTGACGACGATGACGTCTGTAGATTGCTGCTGGGCAGCTCCCTGCGTGAGGACGACTCGCGCAGCTCCCTCATCTTTTCTTTGGAGTAGCGATCGATCTTCTCCTTGAGATGCTGGATGTTGGCCTTGGTGATGTTGTTGTTAAACACACCACTGGACGTCAGGTTGGGCGACTGTTGGCCGCTGATGTTGTTGTCGACGCGATCATCCGATGAGCCAAAGGCCACACTCCTGAGCATTCTGCTATTCCTATTGTTGTTGGCGCCGCCACTGTTGCCGTTGGCATTGGCGCTCTCGTATTGATTCTTGAGCATCTGATTCTCGTTGAGGAACTGCTGGAACTGCAGGTCCTCGGCGAGTTTGGCTCGTGCCCTCTCTGCAGCCTGCTGTTGTTGTTGTTCTTGTTGGTCTACATATGTTGTGGTTACTGTGAATGTGATTGGTGTGGAGTCGTGTGGCGATGTGATTGTGGTTGATGTGATGGTCGATGGTTGCTGTTGTTGTTGCTGCTGTTGCTGCTGTTGCGTGCTCGATACAATGATGGAGGCAGGACGCGAGTATCGCTTCTGCATCTCGTTGACCAACTCGGGGGCCTCCTCGATCGTGAGATAGTTGTTGAGTGCCGGACGCATCGCTGGATTGTGATGCTCGGCGAATGGCTCGTTGAAGAAGTACTCGTGGTACTGAATGGGATAGGTGACGATGGCCGGCACGCAGTTGAGTGTGGGGATCAAACAGATGGCAATGTTGGACACGGTCATCTTGTTCTCCTCGGAGCGCTGCAGCAGCTTACTGAGCAGGCCGGTCAGACACTGCATCACCTCAAAGTGCACGGGTGGCAGCTGGTGCACCAGATACCTGATCTTCTCAATGAGCTCCATATCGATCTGCTTCTTCCTACTGCCATCGCTGGCGACAAACAGTCCCGCCACCGTCTTGTTGATCTGATTCGGAACAAACACTGGCAGGTCTCTAAAGAATCGCTTGAGGAGCCCGGCAGCCGTGTAGGGCTCCAGCGACGAGACGTCCACCTCTTCAAAGTTGTCAAACAGACGAACAAACTCGAGAATGGTGACGTCGCGGCCAGGGATTCTGAACAGGCCCTCGGTGGAGAGCGATGTGAGCTCGAGATGCTCGGCCAGCTTCTCGACAATGATTGGCACGTTTGAGCCTTCGTTGCAGGGCACGTCGGCGAGGGGCACGCCAAACACCTTGTGCGAGCTGGGTCGGGAGAAGAAGATCTGAGAGGACGTTGTCGAGTTGACCGTGCTCATTGGCGAGTAGGACTGGGGCGAGTGTCCGCCGGTGCCCACGCCGCGCAGACTGTTCTGGGGCGAGTCTGACGACGCGGATATATCGCTGCCGGCGTACGACTTTGACTTGCGTCTGCTCTTCTTCTCCTTCTCCTTCTTTAGACTGCCGCCATCGCGCGAGCTGTCCCTCGAGCTGCTTGTGTCGCTGTAATCGCTCCTGTCCTTGTCGCCCCTGTCGCCCTTATCCTTCTTGTGAAATATCTGAACAGACTTTCTAAAGATATTCTTCATGGTATGTATGTGGTATGGTGATGTCCACTAGTAATATTGATATATTGTATTACTACACCTTTTATGTGTATTATTATTATCTGTTTAGGTGTTTGTGTGCGAGTAAGTACAAGTGTCAAGAGGTTTGACGAATGTGTGTTTGTCTTTGTTTGGACTTGTGTGTGTGTGTGAGAGGTGTGTGTTTATGGGAAGACCCCAGGGTCATGTGATGCTATGGACAACCTACAATTGTGTAATTAATTATTTGATTATTATATATCTATCTTATCTCTACTAATATTCAAACGTCTGATTGATGAGGGTGTTTTTCATCACACATAGATTTATCAAAAAAAAAAGAGGCGCGATCAACAACAGTTTGGGCTTGAGATCAAACAGTTTATCGTTTCGTTGACTTCCAAAAATGTGTGTGGGGGCTTTTTTGGGTCGATTCATTCAAAAAGTTCGTTGTAACAACAAAATTACTTCAAACAATGAATGATAATAATAATAATAATATAACAATGAAGATTGACAATACCTATAATGGGTAGACAATACAATAATAACTCTAGAAAGTTAAGATATTGATCAAAGTATAGAAAGTTCATTCTCTTTTATAACTTTGACATCAACAACGTTTTGGACAAACAAACAAACCAAAAAAGATTCGTTGTAGGATGTTTGTGTTTCGTGTTGATCTGGGGGCTAACCTCGGCTTTGATGGTGTGATGAGTAATGGGTAGGCGAACAGAATTTAAATCGACACACGAGTGGTAACACTCTGTTGAAGGAAGGACTTAAGGAAACACGGTCCGAGTCGGATGGACAATCGGAGTTAATGGTCAACAACAACAAACAAACAAAACAACTTAACAACAATGCAACTTGGTCAGGTCACACCTGCTCAACTACACTCCAACCAAACTTAGCCGATTAAGTTAATGAATCGTGATAGGCACTCTCTCTCATTATTGTCATTATGATGATGATGACGTCTGTTTACCCATCCCCGTTCCCAACCCAACAACATCAATTGTGTTTGTCAGTGCGTGTGAGTGAATGAGCGTGCGCGTTTGTTTGTGTTTGAACAAGAAAGGAAGTGGAAGAGGAATAGTCAGATAGTCCGTCATTCATTCAGATCCTTTGGGGCCAAGGTGCATTGGTTAGTTTGGTATATGGGTATGGGCATCATGTTAAGGGTCTCATTATTATAGAAATAACACCTTACATACATATATATATATATATACATATAAACATAAATATAGACATTGAACAATGTTCATTCATTGGGCATGTTATTTAGGTTTGATCGATGAGGACAAAAGTAAGTCTTTCAGTTCGTCAGAATGAACAAAACAGACATTGACAACAACAACAACAACAGATACAGGCTTATTGAATGAGTTTCCACAGTTTGTAAAGAAGTCATTGGTGTCCAATGTTGTGTTGTTCTTGTTGGATGAAGCATCGGCACCGATACACAAGTATATACCTACTCGAGTACATATGACTTGGGTGATGGACTTGGTGGAACAGGGTTTCTTGCTGCCAATGACCGAGTCACAATCGATTTTGGCATGTGTCGAGCTGTATCGACGCTGGCTGTTCGATGCCAAGTGGCGTCCACCACCCCTGGACAAGGACGACGAGGATGCCTTCAAGCTGCGGATCATGGAGCAGCTCACACTGGTGTTTCAACCACGCAACCTGCCGTCCAAGGAGGCGGTGGACATGCACATTGTGCTGTGCCAGAAGGTGCTACACGTGTTCCACGACATCAACAAGCATTATAGTCATCAGTTCTCTGACGAGCTGTTTGAGCACTGGATTAAACTGCTGATCGCCGTGGCCGACTGTCTACTGTGCGCCAACTCAATCGCCCATGAGTCATTTGTTCGCGCGCTCAGCACACAGTTGATCAAGGTGCTGTTCGAAGTGCTGATACACTCGCGAACCAAGAACAACACGCTCTGGATCAAGTTGAATGAGCTGGCAAAGGGCTGGCTTCATCACACAGCCTCAATCAATCAGTGGAACGACATATGTCTGGCTCTCACTCAACCCCTGATCAACACATACTTTAGCAACAACGGCGCGACGTCAGGTCGTCTGATCCCGGTCAGCCTGGAGGACGGCGCTCACACGATAACCGTGGAGATCAGTCGCGACTACTTGCTGTTCCTCTGGGGAATGATGACCAACATCATTGGCAACCCCAACGCCATCAAGAACCCAGCCGGTTTCTCATCGGCCATGATAGGCATGCAACAACAGATTGGCTTGTTCCTCAAGGCCACCAACGATGGCAACTCCATCCTCACATTATTCGGACAGTACCTGTTCGAGGCCGTCAAGCCTGTACGTGCTGGCTTTGAAGAGGGTGCGTCATTCGCCGTCGAGACACTGTGCACAATCTTCCAGACATGCTCTCCAACCAACACATTCGAATCACTATACGTTGCCAGCTACTACTCGAGCCTTTGCTCGGCGCTGTGGAGCGAGGGCAGGGTCTTGCACTCGGCGATCATTCACTCACAGTTCTTGCTCAACTCCAACATGCCAGGCTGCAGGATTCTCGTCCCTTCATTCGTTCGTGCTCTTAGTCGCGTTCTCACCACATCCAAGACCAACAGCAATGAGTCGTTGCGCAATGCATCTGTTCGCCTACTGGGCCAGATATCGAGTCTGTCCACAGCATTTTCAAGCCTCTCGTTCAAATGTTCAGGATTCATGGAGCAACAGATGATGGATTCATACCCCGCACTGCCAGTGGATGTGGCCGAGCGTCTGGACATTGGTCAGCCATTGCTCAACACATACTCTGACCTCAAGTGCCATGTGGCACACCTCGTGCTACATGCCCTCAACACTGAGATGGTGCCTGGCAATCTGACCACGTTGATGTGGTACGTGTTGCAGTTCCAACTAGAGCATCCAAATGATGTCGCCGTAGACAACTTTATCGTCATTGCCACCAACATACTCTTGAAGAAGACGGTCGCTATCATTCCAGCAGGCCCTAGCGCAGGCTATCAGTGGACGGGTGAGGTTGCCGTACACGCCCTACAGATCCTGTCCGAGATGGCAGACCATCACACTTCCATCCCGCGATTCAGTCAACTGGCTCATAGTGTCGTCAAGAAGCTCACCAGATACATCCACGCACGATGCCAGGATTTGTCAATGTCGTCGGACACTGAGGAGATGGTGGCCACTGCCCTGTCCACCGTTGCCCATTGGGCGATCGTTGACGGCTGGCTACTGGACAACAATTGTAAATATGACACTAGTACCCTATACGAGTTGATTGGAGCCATCTGTTCAGCATTGGGCGATCGATCATCGAGACTCGATTCACTTCCCATCACTTCGTCGACAAGCGCACAAAAGTCCTTAACCGTGCCATCATCGTCTTTGTCACGACCGACCACACCCCCGCCACAACCAAACATACCTCAGAGGATCAAGGAGATGGCGCAACACACCTTGGACATCATTTTGAACAGGACGTGCCAGTTCCCCAACGCCTACAACTCGGGTGTGCGCGGACTCACTTCATCGCAGTGGACCGAGACAGAGGTGATTGCCTCCCTTCGCAGCCAGGCCAAGAAGAGAGGATACGACAAATTCCCCGCCGAACAGTGCGTGAGAGTGTTTGCATTGGGAGAGTCTATCATGTTGACCCTGATCGACCAGCCCTTTGGCGACGATGGCCCGTTCGTCACGGTAGTCCTTCGTGACTGCACTGGTCGCTACGTGATGAACACTTCGTCAGCATTTGTTCCATTTACGCCCCGTCTCGATAGTTTGGAGACCATATCTACTGAGGGCGAGATACTCATCACGGGCGCAACGATGGTGCCGGCAACGATGCCGCCACCACTCGACCTGAGCAAGTCCGTACTTGTCAAGACTGCCAGCGAGCTGTACGACCTCACTGGCGAGGAGTATACGGCACTCAACGACCACCTGTCCAAATCGATCAACTTTGAGTTCAAACAACAGGATGATGAGCTGCTCAAGAATGAAGAGAGAATCCTAAAGCAATCGATCTATGGCTACAACTGCGACACTACAGTCCGTCCACCCGCCCCTCCAAGCACGCTCTACCAATCACAGAACAAGTTCATTCTCTCGCGTACCATGCTGTCGCACCTTGGTCTTTTGTCGTCCGATGCCAAGAGTCGGCTGAGTATCATGGACAGCTCTGCACAGATGTTCCAGGCACTGGACACACTTGACCAAGCTTCCGAACGAGCTCAGATTAGGATTGGCGTTGTATTGATGCAGAGAGATGACACGACAGAAGAGGAGATACTGAGCAATGTAGCATCGCCCAAGACTCATATGGACTTTATGCACATGGTGACATCACTTGGTTGGATGGTCGACCTCGCCACGCATGAGGGCTACATGGGCGGACTTGAAGTCCGTGGCCATCATGGCAGCGTTGCGCCCTACTACGCTAGCAGTCTGCAGGAATGCATCTTCCATGTGCCTTCAATCATGCCCAATGCTGGAACGAGTGTCGAGCATAAGAAACGACTGATGAGTCAGAACAATGTTGTTATCATTTGGTACACGGGAACGATGGAGCAGTACGAGGCCGGTGTGCTCAGTGGTCACTGCATGGCAAATCGTGTTCAGATCGTCGTAACACAGACACCACAACATCAGAATCTATATCGTGTGCGACTGTTCAAGGGTGCGCACACCAAGGTCAACCTGGGCTTGAGCCACGACATTGTCACGAGCAAGCAATCACTCGCCACAATACTGCGGTCGCTATCCTTCCAGGCCTTCCTCCAGATCAACACACCGTACGAGCATCCATTCATTCAAAGGAAGAAGCTGATACAGGAGATTGCTCAATCATTCATGAGGGAGAACATGGCACAGCACCAGACCTTTGGCTACATGTTCCAGCCACTCGATGAGTACCAACTACACAAGACACCAATGCCAGTGACACCGGGCATTGAAACCCTTCTCTCCAACATCGAGCAGCCCATAACGTATGAGTTCAAGCAGGCCAAGGTCACAACACACAAGCGACAAGGTTCGACACAGGGTGCGTCCCCACCAGCAGGATGGGTAGTGTCGTCAAGTAGTCATCGAGCATCACAGAATCCAAAGCCAATCATTCAAACATCGCCGATGACTTCATCACCTCCACCAAGGACCATGCCAACATCGACTACAACGTCATCCCCTCCCCCAAGGACCATGCCAACATCCAACACCTCATCACCTTCACAACCAATTTCACCAACGTCAGGTCCAGTGCACAGGGCTTCCTTTACAGTGCCATCACAGGGAATACCTAGGTCTACAATGCCCACACCTATATCTTCGCCATCATCACAACCTACTACCCCTACAACTACTACTTTTAAGAGCTCAAATCCGCCACCGCAGCCATCCAGTGCTCCAGTGCTCAAATCGTGGAGTGGCGTTCAGCCGTCCACCACCTCTGTTACAGCTCCAATACAACCATCCAGTAGCACAGCCAAGCCACCATCATCCAGCAGCAGCAGCAGCAGTAGCAGTAGTAGTGGAGCCAAGCCACCAACCACTGGTATCCAAACAGCCAGGAATTTCTTTACCAAGCGGTGAGTAGCCGCTTGTGTCCACTAGTCCACAATCCACAATCCACAATCCACATTCCTCAATCCAAATTATCCAATAAATGATTACGATGATGATGATGATTGATCGATCACATTCACATGATTTATCGTTCGTTGATTCAACAATAACAACTGTTAGAGGAACTGTCTGTTCTTTGTTGAGTTCATGTATGGTCTGTAGACCCATTCGATATCCGCCTCATCCTGATCGACTGTGCCCAACTGAATCTTGTACAGCTTTAGCTCGAATCTTGGTCCAACCTCCTTTAGCAGTATATTCTTATGTCCATCCTTCTCGTATAGATGATGTCTATATGTGTATCACGAGTTAGTTGGTCATGCATTCCTCCTCATTCATTTGCCTTGCTCATGCTTGCTTACCTGAATGATATAAAATCAGAGTTGTTTGAAAAGGTTACGATTCTCCTGCTGTCATCCTTGGGTACAGGGAACAAATGCTTTAAAATGGTCTCGGTCTAGAGGTAGTGAACAAGTTAGTTAGTGCGTCGTTCGAGGAGGAGGGAGTAGCAACACCATCCATGTATCACTTACTCTTTCACCAAGAGGTGTTGTGAAGTTGTTGAATATAAGATGTGGATAGGCTAGTGATGCTGGAGGTGAGTCTTGAATATCATGAATCATTACACAGTTCTGTATCTCAAAGTATGCTGTAGGTCCATAAGGCATATGTGATATGACCAGTCCAACTATATAAGTGATTGATTGATTGAATGAATGAGTAAGTGAGCGAGAGAGAGACACTGTCGTTCAACGAACAAACATACCTGGTTCACCTCTGTGTTCATGTGCAATGACTAGATCTGTGACGTTGTTGGCGCGACAGGCCTCGACCATCTCGCGCATGACGTGGGCACCTCTGTTCATCTTTTGTGCGTTGGGGAAGAGCATGCGAAGCTCCTTGGAGAATTGAACGAGACGAGATGATGGGTCGCGACTAGTCGTGATGAACACTTTGGGATCGTCGATGCCAGCACGTGCATACTCATCGTCGATATTGACCTTCTTGTCGTTTGAGAAGTCGCCATCGACCTCCAACTCCTGTCTCTTATTAAACTCAAAGTCGATCAACTCTGAAGGTATTGGTTTACCCTCATTCAATGCTTTCTTTATCTTTCTCTTCTTCTCATAGTTGTCCTTCTCTTTGCCCTCCAAGTTCTTTCTATAAAGATATTCTTGTCTTAATCTTGTATTTCTTCTTATCATTCTCTATATCCCTATATATATATTATATATGTTATTATCTGTTGTTGATTAAGTAAGTAATAAATTAAATAATAATAATAGATGTTTGAAAAATGGGTGATCAGCCAAAAGACGAACGAATGCCAAAATGTGGTGAAATCAGAAGTTCGTCTTTATAGATACAAGAAATCTTGGAGCATTCTATGAAGGGAAAAAATCAGGACATAAATAAATATCCTTTCTTTACATTAATATACATCCGTCTCTTCATTTATTCATCAATCAATCAATCAATCAATAACCAATCATATGATAAATAATACAATGAAGAATTTATTTATTTTACTTATAGTATTAGGTATTCTTTTTAATTCTATATATGCAAATAGGTATTCTCAAGATTCCTATGCTTTTGGGTAATTATATATTTATTATTCTTTATTTTATAATATAATTAACTGATTTATTCTTTTACTTTATTTTATAATATAGGGATGCTGATAATGATAGATATCTAGATCCTGTAGTAAATCCAGGTCCCCAATTTATGACAAATCATAAGTCCAATCTTATAAATCAATTCAACAGAGACAACAATATCAACCCAGATGGAGAAAGAACCTATTCAAATCCACCACCCAAAACTAATACCAAACATAAATCCCATCATACATATCAATTCAACAAAGACAACAACTTCAACCATGAAAGAGAATAAAGATGGATTAGTAGGTGATTCAGGGAGAGATATCCAGAATGGAGTAATGATAATTATCTCTATTCAATCATATTAAAGAATTGAGAGACAATAAAATGATTATGAAAATGTGATCACATTTAATCATTCATTCAATTGATATCAATCTACAATAACTCGAGGATGTCTACCTTGATAATTGCCTCTTGAGACTGGTAGCTCCTTCCATTAATGATGATGATGATGATAATAATGATTGTGTGGGTAGGGGCGTGGAAAGATACTCAACAATCATATCAAATCCATTGTACTTTGCAATGGAGATGGCTTGGGGGATGTGTCCCTCAGTTCTATTCTCTCTGAGGAACTTGACAACTTCTAAACGTCCTTTCTGCGCCGCATTTTCAATGGCAAGCTGGCTGCACTCCTTCCCTCTTGAATGAAGTATCTTGACAATGTCCAAATGTCCATTCTTTGCAGCCTTGTCCATGGCCTTCACAGTGCATCCCTCTGTTCGATTGTCCAACAGAAACATAACAATGTCAATCCAGCCATACCGCGCTGCATTGTTCAAGGCATACACACTGCATCCTTCAGTCCTGTTGTAATGAAGGAATCGAACAACATCCAAATGACCATACATGGCAGCATAGTCCATGGCATCATGGGTACATCCTTCAGTCCTATGTTCATGAAGGTATCGAACAATGTCCAGATGGCCATTGAGAGCAGCAAAATCCATGGCATCATCAGTGCAGCCCTCGGTCCTGTGCTCATGCAGGAAGCGAACAATCTCCAAATGTCCTTTCAGTGATGCGTTATATATCGCTTCAAATGTGCAGCCCTCTGTGCGATGATGATGAAGAAAGCGTATCACGCCCAGGTGTCCCTTTCTTGATGCAAACTCCATGGCATCTGACCCGCAACCTTCTGTGCGGTTGTTGTGGAGATAGGTTACGATGTCCAAGTGTCCATTCCTTGCCGCCAAGTCCATTGTATGCGTGTAGCAACCTTCTGTGCGGTTCTCGTGTAGGAATCGAACGATATCCAAATGGCCTTTGATGGATGCCAAGTGCATTGCATCTTGTGAGCAGCCCCCATATTCATTATCGTGGAGGTACTTGACAACTTCGAGATGGCCATTCCTTGCTGCAATATCCATGGTATCATCATTTCTGAACAGAGTCCTGAGTCCCGGCTTGGCATAGCTACCATCATGATGAATGAATCGCAACACATCAACATGTCCTTGTATAGCTGCCTGGTTCAACGCAAGTTTATAGTCCAACTCCTTGTCCGTGACCGTGTTGAGTATATGCTCAACTATTGGGAGGCGGCCATGCGACGCAGCTATGCTCAACGCATAGAGTGTATGACCCTCGGTTCGATGTTGTTGGAGAAAGATGAAGATGTCGAGTGTGGCAGCATGGTCCATCGCATTTGATGATGCCACAACATTGTTATCATGTAGATATCGAACCAAGTCCATCCTGCCTATTGAAGACATTACATCCAATGCATATAATGTCGTCTTTAATCTTTGAAGATCATGTTCGAGTAGGTACTTGATGATATAGTGATGGCCTTGATACATGTTGAAGGGGCCATGTTCAAACTTGACTGGCTCACTGATGTCACTATCACGTACGCCAAAGTATGTGTCGACACATTGAATCCAATGTTCAACAAAGTCTTTCCATTTCCTTGGTTGGTTTATATACTTCTTATTCTTATTCTTCTTCTTCTTATTACTTGATGTTGTTGATGATGTTGATTGATTGAGTGTGTGAATGATGGTCCGCTCCAACATTATCATGTGGATGTCATGGACTTGATTGAATAACAGTTTGGAGATATAACAATTCTTGATCAATCGTCTGAACAATACATCAATATCTTGTTCCATCTTTGATTGATCTAAAATGATAATGATGTTTGGGTTGATGAGAATCAATCTTGGGAGATTTAGAGCTCTCGCTCATCAGACTTTTATTTATTTTTTTCAAAGAATATTGATTAAAGAAATGATTATGGATAGGACTGAGAGGACCATGGATACTGAATGATGGCTGGAAGATCCAGTGTAGAGGAAGTTCTCGGGACATGTTGGAGTGAGGGCATTGTACATTGCACATCGTCCACACCAAACTGGATTTGGTCCGTAGGTAACCATCTTGCACTCGGCATCACTAAACAATGTGGTCATTAGGTCACCCTTCTCTCCCATTATGATATGAGTTGGTGGCCAGGAGTAGGAGACCCATGTTGGTGGTGACGAAGTTACGTTGCCAGAACAAATATTAATGTTTGGTACACAACTTCCAACCTTGAAAGTCGAACAAGACTTATTGCCACATTGATAAAAGTTCTGTACACCACCTGGTTCATTATTACAAGTGGCACAAATAGTAATATAATCATTTGGAATGGTTATACTATCAGCTGATACATTAACAATGGTTACCAATAAGCATGATAAAATTAATAATAAATATTTCATTATTTGATAGAAGATGGGGATTGATTGATTGAATGAATGGATTGAACTGATGAATGGTTGAATGAATGAAGTGTAAGACATGGATGTCAACTCGTTAAATTTGATCATGAGGGAAACATCATCACTCCATCCACAAATAAATTTATTTATAAATGTTCAATCAAAGACCACGTGACTGATCATCCTTCATGATCACCGATTGCGTTCCAGTTGGCACGTTCATTTATGAATCACACTATTGCATTAAACTAACTCTATCAATCGCTTAATATTATCACTTTGGTGATTGAATGAAMCGAATGAATGAATGAATGGATGATTGAATGATTGGTATAAGTGGATGTGATTGATTATGAAGATGGCATCGACCCCCCTCTGTGCCTGCCAAGACCTGATCAGAGGGACGACTGTTGTCTTACAGGTTTGCGGTTTTGGATTGGCTCGTATGGCCTGGTGTCTGGACCAGTGTAGATGGCAGATGGTCGGATCAGCTTGTTGTCTTGACGCTGCTCGATGATGTGCGCAGCCCAGCCTGTCGTTCTCGAGATGACAAACACTGGTGTGAAGAAGAGTGTTGGGATGCCCACCTGCTGGTAGGTCGACGCGGAGTAGAAGTCCAGGTTGGGGAACATCTTCTTCTCGCGCTGCACCACCTGCTCGACGCGCTCCGACACGGCAAACAGCTGGGGGTTGCCGTTTGGTGCCTGGCTAAGTGTCCTCGACACCTCCTTGATGATTGGATTCCTTGGATCTCCATTCCTGTACACTCTATGTCCGAATCCCATAATCAACTCCTTCTTTGACAGCATACCCATGATCTATGTTGGTTGATTGATTGAGTGAGGGATTGAATGAGTGAGTGAGTTGGCCCAAGGTAGGCCAGGCCTTATGCCCCGTCCTTGTCTTGACACTTACTCCAGCCTCCGCCTCGTCTGGCGTTGGGTACTGCTCGAGCAGCTTCATGGCAGCCTCGTTGGCTCCACCGTGTAGGGGTCCGCGTAGGGTACCGATGGCAGTGCAGATGGCAGAGTAAAAGTCGGTGAGGGTAGAGGTAGTAACACGTGCAGCAAAGGAGGATGCAGCCAAATCGTGCTCGGCATAGAGGATGAGGGAGACGTCGACGGCGCGCACATGCAGTGGCGATGGCTCCAAACCATCCTGTCTGAGCAGCTTCAAGAAGTGCTTGGCAGTTGTATCATCTGGTGATGTCACACAGTTGATTCTCTTTCCTCCACAGACCCAATGATGCCAGTACAACAACATCGATCCAAACGATGCGATCAATCTATTTGAGATCTGGTAATGATCATTCGTTGGACTCTCTGGCTCCAAAGTCTATGTTTGATTGATTGATTGATTGAGTGAGCAGATGATGTGATTATTGGGCAGATGATGATGTACATACTCCTAAGATTGAACAACCGGTACGAAGAACATCCATTGGATGTGCATTGGCTGGGATACGCTCCAAACAATCCTTGAGAGCACCTGGGATATCACGCAATGATGCCAATGTTCTGTTGTAGTTGAGCAATTGCTGGTCAGTTGGCAATGATCCATATATCAAGAGGTAGGCTACCTCCTCAAAGTTGGACTTGGCAGCAAGCTCTGTTCAGTGTCATCATCGTTGTCGTCGCAAGTTAGTAAGTAAGTATCATCTTGTCCTTGAATGAGTATGATTGGTACCTTTTATGTCATAGCCTCTGTAGTTTAGTCCAGTGCCCTTGACACCAACTGTGCACACAGCAGACTTGGCAACATAGATGCCAGCTAAACCTTTCGAAAACTCTTGTTCACTCATCTTGTTCTTATCTTATGTATCTCTAACTATACAACTAATAAGATAACACTGTGATTCCTTCCCTTCGTTCGTTTGAGTAAGCAAGTATGTTGTTTGGTGTGTGGACAAGCAATATCTTGTTCAAGTTCAGACTGACTGCTTATTGATTGAATGAATGAAATTGAATGTGTTGAGATAGATACGATAGCAATATAAATGGGATCGCGTGTCCCTAGTTTATCACTGCCACAACACAAAGGTTGGACCCTTTTATTACAAATGGATGGAACCCCACCATCACTTTCCTTTTTCAGAGTTGTGTGATTGTTTGTTTGTAAAAGCACTCACTCTTCATTCAATCAGTCATGGATGATGTTCATCTATTCATTGACTTACTTATATTACTTGTTAGTTAAGTTATATGTATATATTTGTAAACGTTGTGTTATAATCATGTCATTGGAACATTCAAAAGTTCATTCCCACTGGGATGGAACAAAGACAGAATGTGGGACCCAGGTCCCAAACTTGCAGCACATGAACAGACTCACGATCTCGAGATTGACTTGATTGTTTTAACTAATAATAAATCATTGTACATATATTTATTTATTGTTGTAATTAGTTTCATATATTATAACTACTACAATGACATCATCAATTTTCAGATCAGGATTGGTACGATTGTTCTTCTCAGAGTCATCTCGTGATGCTATTCATACACTCAATCTAGCCAAACTCACTGCTGCTCAGAGTAAAGTCAAGGAGAGACTGTACATTCAATTCGTACAACAACAAAATCAGCAACAACATAATCAGTCACAACCAATAACAAATGTATTGGATAACAATAACCCATTCACAAAGCTTCCCAACATTATCAATGTTCAAAGTAACAATGGAGACTGCTCGCCACTGGTCAACCAACATCTACCACGTCTGAAGCAATTGGAGTCACTCATCGACACATATTACAAGATAATGTATAGACTGAACAGTGAATTGGATGTTACAATCGTTCCCCACATGGCCACTCCATCATCTCAACACATTGCTCACATTCACGCCACTCAACCAGTGCTGCCGCCACTGGAGCATCAAGTGGACGCACTGTTTGTCGACGAAGCCGACCGTGCACACCTGTCTGGCCACACCAACCTCGTGGTCTTTGATGACAATGTAGCATACCCTACTGATCAGTATAAGCAATCAGTCTTTGACAAGCATGACGGCAGCAATACCCATGCCTTTGCGCCATTGTTCAAGGGTGTCGTGTTGGGTGGCACGTTCGATCACATGCATCCAGGTCACAAGATACTGTTGACCATGTCTGCACTGCTGTGCAGTGAGTACATGGAGATTGGAGTGACAGACAACAGTATACTCAAGTCCAAGAAGTACTCTGAGCTGATTGCTCCCTTTGACCAACGTACCAACAAGACTTATGAGTTCATCAAACATGTCAATCCTTATGTTGAGTACAATGTATGTTCGATTGACGCTTGCACATGTACATAATTGGCTCATAATACTAATGCTATCGTCATCACTTCACAAAGATGTTGAGACTGTTGGAACCTTATGCCAACACTATGACTAGTTCAAGATTGGAGGTGATTGTTATCTCGCCAGAGACACTCAAGACAGCATTGTTCATCAATGAGAAGAGGAAAGAGAGCAATCTGAAGCCTTTGGAGATATATGCCATCACTTACTTTGATGGAGTGGAGCAGGGTGGCGACTTCAAGCTCAGCTCCACCTACTTGCGAGAGTTGGAATTCAAGAAACTACAAGCCCAAGGCCAGGCCCAGTAATGAACATCATTGCACTTGTGTTTAATCAATCAATCAATCAATCATCCAATCACTTTGATATCACTCCAGTCTTGATCCTTGGGCAATAAGTATACTTTGTTGGAATCGACAAAGATGGTGACTATCTTTCTGAATGATGTCCTGGACATGCCCTCTCTGAGGTCGTCCATCAGTCCATGTACATGATTGAACATCCTAAAGTCTGCATCACTCTTGAATGTGGCCTTCAAAGTAAGGTTGCGATACTGGAATGAATCGATCTCATACAAGTCAATCGACTTGGCCGCGTCAACCTGTTTCTTCAAGTACGCCACATACTTGTCCTTTTGTCGTTGATGGTTTGGTGTCAGTCGTTCAATCAATCGATGATCATTCAAACATACTCTTTCAAGATAGGTAAAGTCGACTTGAGTGTAGTCCATGGTGACATTGTTGTAGTCCATCTTCTTGAGGAATCGTTCATAGATGTCGGTGGCACTGGTGCCATTCATTCCAATGTTTCTGACTCTTGGTAGCTCGGGCTGTATGCAATGGCGTCCCTTTACAACACTCTGCTGTCGAAGGAAGTCATCCCAATTGTTGGCTGGCCACACTGGCTCCAACTCATTCCAGAAGTTCCTTGTGAGCATCCAGCCAAGACCCGGGAAGAAGTCTGTTCGCTGGAAAGTGCGTCGCGATGCCTCTTGATCAGGGTTCATGTACTCCGGCACACCATTATCATTCCATGCACTTATACAATATAATGAAGGATCGTTCCGCAGCAATGGATACATTGCATCAAAGTATTGAAAGAAGTCAGGTGACACATCCAAGTCATCCTCCAGCACAATCGCCGCCTGGAATGACATCCTAAACACCTGTGACAATGCCCAATGATAATGAGTAGCAATGGCCTCATATGAAGGCATGGATGTTCTGTTCTGATGCTGTTGATTGGTCAATAATTGAATGAATGAGCTATGATATCTTGGTCTCTCTGGACATACCCTTAGCAAGATGATATCATCCTTGTATACTGTGTTGAGTAAGTTGGTTGTTGGTTCATCATCACAATCTTGTGATACTATTATTGGATGTCTATCCTTATCCCTTGGAATACTTCATTGGCAACATGGATGTTAGTTATGATTATGTTTGATCGCGACACTCAATGGATGGATACTCACGACAATATAGTACGCAAACATTGGTCCAAGTAGAAGGCCCTATTGCATGTGAATATGAGTAATGGTACAACATCTTGTTGTTGTAAAGGCTGTTGAAGTTGATGTTTATATTGATCATTCTGTTGTAGAAGTTGTTGAAGTTGTAGTTGTAGTTGTTGAGCTTCATTTTGAAGTTGTTTGTACTCTTTGACGTGAAGTGTTAGGTCTTGTTCAGACTTGTGTAACTTTAGTTGTAGTTGTAAGTTATGTTTAACATGTTGTTGATATGATTCGTTCAATATATTGACAGCATCCTCCAATACTCTAAGTTTATCCTTTGAATCTGATTGTAATTCAACTACATGTTTGTTGATTGTATGAAGATCGTTCTTCATTGAGTTTCCAACCAATCCAGTCTTTAACAATTCATCATGTAATGCTTTGTTCTCCTTTAGCATACTATCATATATATTGGCAACGAATGATACTGCCACGAATACTACTATTAACAATGATACACATAGTAATAGCCACCATGGTCTAGGATTATTCATACTATTATTTCCAAGTCTTAGATTATTAATTACCATGGTAATTTGTTATTATTATATATTACAAGATAAGTTGATGGAATGAGAGTGGACCTCATCATACCTCTGTTAAACATGTTATAACATGTTGATTGATTGATTGATTGTCAGTCAGATTGGATCGGTTTAACTCCTTTGTGTGTGTGTGTGTGTGTTTGTTCATGAAGCGACACGACATCTAAACCTGAAGTCCAAAGAAGTTAGCTAATTAGGTCAATCAAAGTCTTGATAGATAGTGAAGACAAAAGGCTCAATCATTTGTTAAGTTGACTTGTTCATATATATATACACACACAATGTATACTTAGTTGTTGTATCTACATCTTTACACAATATCAAAATGTCGAAGCAACTGGAGTCAAAGGGGCGACCCCTTTCTTTCAAGATGACCCCACGAACCAGGGACCAACTCCACACACACGAGTCCAAACACCGAAGTGTAATAAACACAAGGAAGTGGTTTGTTGAACATCATTATCATCCAAAACATAACAAGTAATAATGAATGTAAATAGTAATAATAATAGTAATAACAACAATGTTATACCTATCGTTGATGGTAAACTATGGAGACAGGTAAGTAATTATTAATCAATTGATTGAAACGCAATGAATTGGTTTATTAACAAGTCCATATATAGATATCAATCGATAGTTTGACATCGTCACTAAGTAGATTGAATACAAGTCGTATTAGTTTACCGAATGAGGATGATGATGAAGTGGATGCTCTTGAGGATCATGAGAGTTTCGATGACACTTATAGCGAGTACTATGATGAGATCGAAGGCGCAAGGCCAATCGATTCAACTGGTCAACAACAACAACAACAAACATCATCATTCCCAAAGTTCATTATATTTGAACCTTATGATGATGTATCATCAACATCAACATCATCCGAACAGCAACAACAACAACAACAACAACAACATCAGGACTTCACATCACCTTCACACAAAAGAGTTATAACTAGACCAATACCAACTGGATTCCAATCGAATGAAGAAAGACTGCGATTCAAGTCAATGGTTAGGGAGGAGTTGACATGTCTGGAACAAAAGGCAACGGCAATCTCTGGCGATCAGGAGATTTATGGCTTTTGCGAGTGCTCGTTGCTGTCTAATCACATGACCACTGGCAACATGATAATCACCTCGCAGGAGCTGTGCTTCATGCCCAAGGAACAATCACACACTGGCTACGCGATGGAGAACTATCTTAATATGAAGGGCGACTTCTTTTGGCGCAAGCACTGGTTCGTGCTCAATCACGACTCGCTGTCATGGTACCGCACGTCCGACGCGAAGGAGACCTACTATCCCAACGGCGTCATACCTTTGCGCAACATCACCTCTATTCATAAGCTGCCACAAACTGCCTCGCGCCCCTTCTGTCTGGAGATTGGCACTGACTCGCAGATCTACGTTCTCGAAGCCGACTCGGAGGTCCAGGTCGACCTGTGGTTCAACGAGATTGGACGCATGCAAAAGAACCTCACACTAATCATCTCCATGGCGGACATTGTCAATATTGAGATGGATGTCGAGGCCGCCATGTTCTATGACTCGATCTACATCACAACCAAGCGTGGCGAGAACTTCATCATCACGCCCGTCTCCAACCCAGAAGAGGTCTTCAACCTGTTGCAATACATCTGGAGTCCAACCTTGACCTCACATCACAGCGACAGTCTATCCTCATCCTTCAAGCTACAGACAATCGAGTTCCAAAAGATATTCAGATTGAACAATCAACGTGTTCACATCATTGCACGTATGTTTGATTGATTGATTGAATGAGCGGATGAATGAGCCACTAACACTTCCCCATCCAATCCATCAGACAAGACATGCCTGTTGTTCAATGATGACCTGTCCTATGAGGGCAATATATATCTTACGGATGATGGACTTTACTTTAGCTCACAGGGTGGCGAGGATTCGGTTGTGTTGATCATCCCTGCGACGGATATCACCTCGATATCAATTGATCCACGCGAGGCTGACTCACCAGAAGCCATCAAGGTGATCACAAAGGACTACGAGGTGTTCAACTTTGACCTGATCGAGGACCACGAACGATTCTACGACAACACCATCGAAGCATTCACCAAGATCAATCAATCAATCGCACACAGCAAGCATGGACTGGCTTCACCAACAGAGTCCGCGCCAGTTGAGTCCGCGAAGAAGGTTGGACGTTGGCGTACATTGACCAGTTTCATCCCCGTCATCCCCAAGTCATTGCCACTTCCAATCTTTAGATCAAGGTCCAACAGCAACTTGCTTTCGCCACACACTACTACGCCTCAGAGTGGCAGCACGAGCACATCGCCATTGATGGCAAGTGCGCCATCTCCATCGCTGTCATCCTCCGAGGCCGACAAGACAATACTAATTCAAAAGCAGTTGCAACCCAACCTCATCTCCAAGCTTCACAACGACTTCCCCTCGCTGCCACTCAACGAGAAGATAGTCAGTCATCAATCCTGCACATTATACTACTCCTCCACCAACACCTTTGTCGAAGGTCACATCTTTGTCACCAAGTCCTACATTGCATTCTCACCAAACAACAACTACAATCAAGACACAACTAGTGGAGATAAGGATGGATCCAAATCCAAGCATATGAAGGCTTTGATACCATTTGAAGATGTGGTCAGCGTGAAGAAGGAGCGATCAGTGGTCTTCTATCATTGTATCAAGGTGATCACCAGCGATCACAAGTGGATCTTTGGTTCCATCCAGAACTTCTATGGCCTCTACCAACTGTTGGTGGACACTCACAACAATGTCAGTGCCAACAAAGAGGAAGGTATATTCACGCCATCCGAGGCAGTCAAGATCAAGCATCAACTAGGCCTACCAACTGATGAACCACTGATCACATGTATGTACACTCGCTCGTCTCTCACATCATGTGTGATCACAATCACTCACTCATTCAATCCAATCACTTGATCAATCATAGGGTACAACTGTACAAACTTTAGAGGAGCACAACTCAAATATGGAGTGTTGTACATTACAAAGCACTTTGTATGCTTTAGATCAAAGTTTGGTATTCAACGCAGGACTATTGTTATTCCGTTTAACAGTGTCACTCAGATACAGAGACACTCGACATTGATCCCCAATGCACTCAAGATCACTACACATGAGCAAGACATTGTCTTCTCGTCATTCTTGCATCGTGGACAGGTCTACAATCTGTTACTTGATCAATGGAAGAAGAATAAGGCGGTGCATGCGACAGCCCCCGCCACCTCACAATTGCGCACAGCCGTGTCTGGAAGCAATGAGTTGCCAATGGCGGCTCCACTGACCCCGCAGATACCCTCACCCGAGACCATCACTCCAATACCGACAAGGTTCATGAGGATCACCATCTTGACGATTGGATCGCGTGGAGACATCCAACCATATCTTGCATTGGCCAAGGCGATGAAGACGTTTGGACATCAAGTGACACTGGCCTCACACGAGCTATATCGCGACCTCGTAACAAAAGACTTTGGCCTCAACTTCCGTCCATTGAGTGGCGATCCCAAGGAGTTGATGGACCTGTGCGTGCGCAACGGTATCTTCACTCCCAAGTTCATCAAGGAGGCGCTGTCGAGGTTCAGACAATTCATTGACGACCTGCTCAGGAGCTGCACAGAGGCTAGTCATGACGCAGAGGCACTGATCGCCACGCCAGGATGCTTTGCTGGTCCACACATTGCCCAGGCGCTGCAAATACCCTTCTTCCACTCATTCACGATGCCATTCCACAGGACCAGGATGTACCCTAATCCTTTCGCTCCATTTGCCTCTTCACAACTTGGTGGGGTGTTCAACCTTGCCACGCACATAATGATGGAGAAGATTCTCTGGCAGCCAGTGAGTGGACAGATCAACCAGTGGCGTACAGAGGTTCTCAAGCTACCTGCATGGAACTCCTCGGTGGCCATCACCGAGACCTACAGGATACCCTACCTCTATTGCTACAGCAAGCATCTGGTGCCCAAGCCAATTGATTGGGGCGGAGAGGTCTCTTTGACAGGCTACTGGTTCCTGCCAGAGACCAACGACAAGGCCCCACCCGAGACACTGGTCACATTCCTGGACCAAGGCTCACCACCAATCTACATTGGATTCGGTAGTATCGTCATTGAGGACCCTGATGCCATGTCATTGATCATCGCAGAGGCAGTCAAATTGGTTGGACGCCGAGCAATCATCTCACAGGGCTGGGGTGGTCTCAAGCTATCTGGTGACAAGTACCAAGACATCTACCTGCTCGACCAGCCAGTGTCCCACTCATGGCTATTTGAAAAGGTGTCGATGGTGGTCCACCATGGTGGCGCAGGTACCACCGCCCAAGGCATACTCAGTGGCAAGCCAACACTGATCGTTCCATTCTTTGGCGACCAGTTCTTCTGGGGCGAGCGCATTCAAGAGGTTGGCATTGGCAAGGCGCTGTCGAGCAAGGAGCTCTCTGCCAAGTCGATGTCTAACGCCATCCTATCAGTGATCGACGATACAGACGTGGTATCACGCGTCAAACTACTATCAACCAAACTGCGCGATGAGAATGGACTGAAGAATGCACTGGACTCATTCCATCGATATGTCGGAGCGTCCTACATCCCTCCCACCAAGATCCCGATTGGATCGGTGTCCAACTGCGCCAACTGCAAGCAGACGTTTGGTCTGCTCAACCAGATGGTGTCACCTCTTCTCCAGACCAGGTTCAACTGCTCCAACTGCGGCAAGGTGTTCTGTGAGAAGTGTGCCAGCAACAAAGTGCCCCTTCCCAAATTCAGAATGAACAGTCCGACCAGAGTGTGTGATCCATGTCTCCAGTCCTTGAACGTCGCGCAAGGCATCAGTCCACATCGCCAAAGCATCGATCACAGTCTGCCTGTGATTGTTGGACAACACCAATGAATAACTACACAATGTAACTAATTATCCAACCCCCTATAACTTCACTTCTATTCACCAAACCTCGTGAGGCCTCACAATTATAAATCCAATCGTCATTATGATGATGATGTCACACAAACTGACACACAAGTAACCTTCCGATTCAATTTGGATTGACACCCTTTACAAGTTTGGAAAGTTCCAATTGTGTTGTTGGAGGAGGCACAGTTGGAACCAGGGATCACTGGAATTTGAACCGGAAGTGTGTGTACGTGGCTACTAAATCACGGAAGAGTAGATTGAATTTTCGATCCAGCCGGCAACAAATAGCGTGGGCAAGTGGGGGTTGGATGGACGAATTATGTACATATCATGGATGTCCTACTTCTGGATCTTATTGATCAAACCCCGTCAATAATATTTTAGTTGATCGTTGCATTGGTGCATGCCATGACCATTCGATCATCTCTGATAACTTGATAAGTTCCGTTCTATCTATCTCTCACTTCACCAACTAAGCTCTTCGGTTATTTAGATGATAAGTGAGGACTCTCCATCCATCGGCATTCCATTTGACGTGTCACCAAATGCCGTCTTCGGGGGCCACTGGCCCAGATATTTTCATCCATCCCCCACCTAACACACATCTTCTTTGCAAGTTGTCTAGAAATGATGACATGTGCACTCTTCATGGGGCTTCTCCGTGATCACCTTCACCGTTTTTTGATAAATCGAACTTTTTTGTTTGTTTTTTCAACTATTTTGTTTTCATTGACCTCCCCACTTCATGATTTAATCTGAGATTCGCATGTAGATAGACACGGAACGAAAGGCAGGTAGTTTGATTTTGATTGCAATTGCAGTCTCTAGGACTACACCCTGTTGTATCCACGAGCCCCACCCTTACAGCGAAGCACATGAATTTACCACCAACCGTCGACTAACTAAAAATACTGTATGGATGTTAGCCCAAGGATAGTGAGCATGGAGGGTAGAACAAGGCCCATTGATATTTAATTATTTATTTATTATTTAGTTATGGTGAATGTGTGTGCATATAATTTAGAAGGGAATAATGTCAGTGGATCATAATTTGGATTTGGATTTGAAAGGCCACGCATTCTTAAATGAGGCTGATGTTGACATCAATTGATCAATAGAGCGGTGATCGATTTGATTGAGTGTGTATGGTGGTGGTGCACCAAGATAGAGAGTGATTATGATCCGTTGCTTTGGTAGACTCCTGTCATCAAACTTATCTTGTCAACTTCCTCCCCTCCCCTTAGTTACATTTCGTACTGTCCTCCATCTGAATGACCGCCTGTCTACCTTGCGCAACACCTAGTCCGAGAATTCATTATTCTTCTTGACGCCTCCTACCTCTGAAGATATTATTATTATTATTACTAATTATTATTTGTTTATTAGTTGTATGTGTATTTGTGTATAACAATCATTATTATTATTTGTATCATATATATTATAACATTAATTAATTAATTAAATTAATTAATTACTTATATTATTCACATTTATACACAACAAACAAACAAACAAACAAACAATTTAAAACAATGGCGATCCATAGGACAATCCTATGGCTCAGTTGTATTACTATTTTATTAGCCCTTGTTACAATTCCAGATGTGGCCGACGGTATGTATATTACATGTTAATGATCATTCATTCATTGATTTGTGATGATCACAATCAGGACCACACACACTAACACACACACTCAATCAATCAATCAATCAATCAAATAATCAATCAAACACACACACACAATATTATTTAAATGATAATTAGCTACACATTTTAGATATGGACAACTCACTTGGAAGCGTACTCCAAATTGGAAGTATATCCAGTTCTCTCTGAAGGCTGCCTTCAGAAACAGTTACTTCACTCAGGTTGAGGGTCTCAACTTGCAGGTCGGAAGCACATTCAACTATGGTGATGTCACCGTCGAATGGTTCCCATACTGGTTCGACGACACCTTCTCCACCAAGTTCTTGGTGAACCATGTTGACCCAATTGCCGACATTGTCACCGCCGAGTTCACCTTCACCGCCTACTCTGGTTCATATGGCCACGAGAACTTCTACGCCTACTATGAGAACGGAAACAGACTTACCGAGCTCAACAACAATGCCAACCGTATGTATTATATATTATTATTTGCCATTAATACTCTTATTAATTAATTAATCAATCAATCAAACTAACAATATAGAACCATTCTACATTGAGGCTTGGTGTGAGATGGAGAACGGACATTGGGATGATAGTGTCTTAAACTCATCGCCAGTCTCCAGTATGATGGCCGTTATCGATGCCTACATCGGCCAGACCAACACCTGGACCATCCCAGTCATTGATGTTCAGACCACCTCTTTCACCTTCTCCCTGTCCTCTGGATTGCCCCAGCAACCCCCAGGACTGTCCGTCAACGCCAACACTGGTGTCTGCTCGTACACCCCAACTCAGCTTGGTCTCTGGTCCGCCCAGATCAAGATTTCCAAGAGCAGCCCTACCGGCTCGACCATTGTCGTAGACTTCCTTATTAGAGTGTCCAACAAGCCACCCCCCACATCCACTCCACCAATCCTGATTGAGCCAACGCCCGACGCAGGCACTACCCTCACGCTCCCAGCCAACAGTCCAATCCCAGCCGGCTGGAACATTATCAGAGGAACCACCCCCCGTGCGTCCACCACCGTTACCATCGCCATCGGTGAGGTGCCCTACGGAATGAAGGTTCTGCCACAGACCAACAATGGAGGCACTGGAGATGTCGTCCTCCAATGGACTCCCACCACTGCCGACATTGGTGTCTACATCATCAACATTGGTCTGTCCGACTCGAACGGCGTCAAGATGACTGAGGGTGGCGGTGTCCGCTACTTCTACATCAAGGTCATCATGCCAACCTGTACCCCAGGCCCATGCCCATGCAAGGTCGGCTGGAACGGTACCAACTGTCAGGAGTGCGCCAAGGGTTACTACGGTCCAAACTGTATCAAGGACCCACCCTGTGACCATGGCACCATCAACAGCGGTCTCAACGGAGACGGCACTTGCATTTGTGACCCAGGCTGGTACGGACAGTTCTGTAACAGCAGCTATGTCCAGCGTTGTGATCCAAACAAGGCCAGTTTCACCATCACTGAGAGCCGCGGCACCTCCAACGTGCAGCCAAGCGCAGTCCAGATCTACCTGTCTCAGAACTCTGTCACCCCATACGCCCTTACCTCCACCATCGCCTACCCACAAACTCTCGGTCTCGACGCCTTCATTGTGCTCGATCTGTCTGCCCCCGCCAATCTTACCCAGTACCCCCAGTTCAAGGCCACTTACACCTCGTTCCCATCTGTCTTAGTACCAACCTACCGCTCCAAGGTCAACTACGGATTTGGTTACTTCTCCGACTCTGCCAGCCAGGCCAACACCTTCCAGCTGATGTCCACCATCAAGGCTTCCATCGCCACCGAGGTCGCCACTATCCCATTGACAACCGGCACACCACAGGTCAACATCCAGTACCAAGCCCTCATCAGTGCAATCCCAACCATCACCTGGACTCCAGGCTCAATCCGTTCAATCATCCTTGTTACTGACAATGATCTCGTTCCAGACCCCACCATCCGTGACAACCTCATCAAGTTGCTCGCTCAGTACAACGTCCTGCTCGGTGTCTTCTGTGCCAACGATTATAAATCAGTCGCATCCTACTCGTGGATCACACCATCCATCGGAACCAAGTGGGCTTGGACCCCAACCGGTGATCCATGGTACACCCAGCTTGCCAAGAATGTCGTCGGACCATTGGCCAACAACATGCAGTTCGTCGTCCAGGACCCTGGTTTTGTCTCTGGATACACCAACCCATCAACCGGAGTCTACGTCACCTCTTTCATCTACAACAGCTCTGTCACCGCCATCAACCCAGTTGTTACCCTCCGTGTCCCAGGTTACGGCAAGGAGACTGTCCAGGTTCAGACCAACCACGCCCCAGCCACCTTCAACACTGCCTTCACCATGGCCGAGGTTGCCACCGCCGCCGTCACCACCAGCTTCCCAGTTCCAGGCAGCGACATTGACAACAACGTGCTCACTGTGACCTTCTCCCACTTGCCCGCCACCGGCACCGTCAAGCTCAACGGCACCAACGTCGCCACTGGCACCGTCTACAACCTCGCCGGCAGCCAGTTCACTTTCGTCCAGCTGCCATACAAGTTTGGTGTTGACTTCCTCAACTACACTGTCAACGACGGTTGTCTCCCAGCCAACGGCGCAGTCACCTTCACCGTGACCAAGGTCAGCTTCCCACCAACCTGCAACAACGACGCTCTCACCACCGATCAGTTCACCAACAAGGCATTCGTACCCAAGGGTTCCGACCCCAACGGAGATGCCCTCGTTGTCTCGTTCAGCTCGCTTGCCACCCTCGGTGGATTCGGCCAAATCCTGTACAACGGTGCTCCAGTCTCTGCCAACACCCAGTACAGCCAGTCCGGTTCGTTCGAGTTTGACCCATCAGCCTCTGCTGCCTCTGGTACAGTGTCGATCCCCGTGATCTTCATCACTGGCGGCGGTCTCACCACTCAATGCCCAATCGCCTTCACCATTGCCAGAGTCAACGTTGCTCCAACTATCTCGATCAACACCAACCAGACAATGACCCCCAACACCACCCTCACCATCCCATTCTCGGTCAACGACGATGACTTTGGTGATAACTTGGTTGTCTCGGTCACTACCACCCCAATGAGCGGCAAGTTCCTGGACACTGCCAGCAACCCCATCACCGTGTCGCCATTCACCCTGTCCACCTTTGCTCTGGGTAGCAGTCACTCTGCCTCGGCCTCTTTCTTCTACACTGCCATCAATGCCAACGAGCAGGGTATCAAGTTCACCATCAAGGTCACTGATACCGCCGGTCTCTCAAGCACCGCCAACGTCATCATCAACGTCGTCGGCCCAAGAATGAACACTGCCCCAGTCGCCATGCCAGTGGCCCTCGTCTCCACCAACATGAATGTCGACTCTGCCGTCATCAGCCTCGTCGGAAACGATGCCGATCGTCCAACCTACGACCAGAACCTCATTGTTGTCATCAACGAGGCCCCAGGTCATGGCCAGCTCCTCAGCAGCACCAGTGGCCCACTCGCCGCCGGTCAACTGTCCCCACTGGGAGTGATTTACTCGCCAGTCCAAGGTTACTTTGGCGTTGACAGCTTCTCGTACTACGTCGTCGACACCATGAACGCCCAGTCCAACATCATTACTGTCAACATCAACGTCGTGTTCGTCAACACTCTTCCATCCGTCAACGCACCAGACATCACCTTGTACGGCATCACCGGAGGTGGCTCACCCTCAAAGGTTGTCACCCTCATCGCCACCGATGTGGACGTCAACGATGATGTGACCGTCTCGTTCACCGCCCTCCCAACTCAGGGTGTCTTCAAGAACCAGGACGGTAGCCCAGTCACCATCAACACTGCACTCACCTCCCTTGCCATCACCTACCAGGTTGATGAGTCGGTCGTAGTCAACTTCAACGACGCCTACTCGATCCGTGGTTGCGACAAGAACGGAGGCTGTGTCTCAGCCACAGGCAACATAGTCTTCTTGTACACTACTGTCTACCCACCACCCAACTGCACCATTGGCACCAAGATCGAGTCGGACCAGCTCAACGCCAAGACCTTCAACGTTCAGTACATGGATCCTAACCTCAACACCGCCAAGATCTCCTTCCCATACCTGGCCTCGCTCACCAGCTTTGGTTCCATCTCTGCCGCCGGTGTCGATGTTGTAGAGGGCCAGCAGTACCTTGCCTCCACCCTGTTCACCTTCACTCCACTGTCCACCGCCCCAACCGACTCTGTGCCAATCTCTTACACCATCGTCAACCAGCACGACCTTGAGGCATCCTGCTCTCTCTTGATCAATGTGACCCGTGTTTACGTGGCACCCGTTCTGATGATCAACTCACCAATCAACGTCGCACCAAACACCACCCAGGTCATCCCCTTCAAGATCATCGACTATGGCTTCAACCCAGCCGGTATCCAGGCCACCATCAAGTCGGTCACCCCAGTGATTGGTCAGTTCGCCGATGCCAACAACATTGCCATCAACGCCGGTCCATACTCCCTCGGAAACTTTGACGTCTCATCCGGCTCTGCATCTGGCTCGATCTCCTACACCTCTGCCAACGCCATCTACCCTGGTGTCTCGTTCGACATTGAGATCACTGACATCCAGGGCTCCTACTTGACCACCGTCTTGATCAACGTCAATGGTTCTCTCGTCGACTACGCACCAGTCGCCACCCCAGCTGGCCCAATCACCACCAAGCAGGGCATCACCTCTGACCCAATCACCTTGGCCGGTACCCACCCATTGAAGCCAAGATACAGCGGTGACCTCCAGGTGTTCATCTCCACCCAGCCAATGAATGGTTCCATCGTCAACGGTGACGGCACCACACTCTCCACCAACATGTTGTCGCCACACTCTGTCGCCTACAAGCCAGCCTACGGTTTCTTCGGCCAGGACTCATTCGAGTTCTACGTCCAAGACAACGTTGGCAAGCAGTCCGAGTACCTCACTGTCCAGGTCATTGTCACCAAGGTCGATTACCCACCCACCATCGAGCTAAGCCCACTCACCATCGTGTCTGAGTTGACTTGCGCTGTCGTCCCCGCCGTCAAGGTCGCCTTCTCCATCGATGTTTCAAACATCAACAACATGGACAACCTGGTCGTCTCGATCACCTCTCTGCCAACTGACGGCACCATCTTCCAGGATGGCGTCGCCGTTGCAGCCGTCCCAGCAGTCGTCACTGACGGCTCCTCGCTCACCTTCCAGCCAACCTCCACCGGATTCGTCAGCTACAACACCTCCTTCGGAGTGTCTGCCTGCTACGGTGCCAACATCTGCAACACCGCCACTGGCCTGATCAACGTGTTGTACATCGCTGCAGCCCCAACTGGTTCCGCCAATACCTTCGAGACTGTCACCAATGTGCCAGTCGCAGTCAAGCTCACCGGTAACGACTGTGAGGATGTCGCTTCGCTCACCTACCAAATCTCCTCCCTCCCATTGTTCGGTACCTTGTCCGTCAACGGCGTGCCAATCACCTCGACCACCCAGGTACTCACCACCACCACCCTCTCCTACCAGCCCAATGCCGGTCTGTCCGACCTCGACACCGCCGACCACAATGGCCCATTGGAGACCCTGAACTATGTCGTCACAAACCGTCATAACTTGGCCTCGAGATCCTACCCACTAACCATCTTTGTACGCCCAGTGCCATTGTACAGTGGCTCGCGCAACCTCACCACCCAGGAGAACACTGGTCTGCCCATCGGCATTGACGCCCACGCTCCCAACGAATCCCCATTCACCATGACCATCACCCACTTCACTGGCCACGGCAAGCTGTACCAGGCCCTCAACTCGACCTACCATGTGGAGATTCCAACCACTGGTGTGTCCATGTTCATGAACGTCTACAACCTGTACTACATGCCACCAGTCGACGTCTCTGGCATCAACATTGACAGCTTCACCTTCACCCTCAACCAGACCTACACCTCTGAGGCCTACACCGTCTACATTGACGTGACCCACGTGCCCAGAGCTCCAGTGTTCATCCCAATCTCATACACTAGCAAGGGTGCCGTGTTGCCAATCGTGCAGGACAACATCAACATCTACATCAACTCATCAACTGTCATCACCTTCAACGCCACCTCTCGCGAGATTGATTCAAGAGAGCTCGTCTCGAGCATCGCCTCACCATTCTCTGGCGGTCTCCTGCATCAGTTCAACGAGACACTCGAAGACAATAAGGGCGAGCCAATCACATTCAGATCAGTGGTCAACCAGTCCGCCGACGGATTGTGGCGCATGGTCTACACCCCCGCCCCAGGCAGATCAGGCCAGGGTTACTCTTCATTCACCATCAAGGTCGCTGACCCAGTCAACTCCTTGGCTGGCACTGGCAACCTCAAGGTCAATGTACTGCGTGTCAATGAGCCCCCTGTCGTCTACCTCAACCAGACGCAGCAGAACACCACCGTCAGCTCACCAGTTAACTTCAACAGCGTCATGGTGATCGACCCCGATTCAACTTCAAACAACAACATCACATTCACTGTCAACATCACCATGGGCGACGACACCAATGTCCTCGTCGATGAGAACATCGTCTCACTCTCGATGCCATTCGCCAACAGAGGCTCAGACTGCATTGTTGCCAACAACTCGATGACATGTGTCAACAGAAACAGCGTGCTCAACACCTACCTGTCTTTGCTCTCTGTCACCATCCAAAAGGAGGGCAACTATCAGATGGTCGTCTATGTCAACGATCTCGGTTACAACGCCGATCCAATGTTTAGAAACGTGTCACGTCTCTCTGACACCAAGGCCGTCGTGATCGCCGTCGGCGCATCGACCACTCGCAAGACAAACAACACAACGATCCTATCGGTTGCCATTGCCGTGGCTGCCGTCGTCGCCGCCGCCATCGCCCTGGCGGTGTGGAGAATTGTCAAGGCCCGTGCTCCACCTACCGATGCCTTCTTTGGCGACAGCCCATTCTCTGACGGATCAGTCTCCTCCAACCCACTGTACACCGAGTCTCCCAACAGTGCTGCCAACCCACTCTATGAGGGTGCCAACTAAACGAATTCATTCTCGTTCCACAGCACTGGCCCGAAACCAAGCCCGTGGTGTTGTGGTTGCATGTGCCCCGAGGCCCAGCCCCAACACCTTCACAATCATTAAAACTACCCCATTCACGAATAATAATTAATATCTGTCACATTGATTTGATTCGAATCTTTTTGATTGGGTGGTGTTGCGTATGTTGATGGTACTTGAGAGATCCATGTCGGGGGTTGATTGGCGATAGGGGCGCGCGATGTACATGGTCCAGGGTGAGCAGTGTGCCATATGCTTATCTCTACTCGCAGGGCACATCTGTGATACCATGGTTTGTTTATTATAAAAGCCTCGATGTAGCGACGATCATCACCTAAACATGCACCCGCCAACATTCACACAGGTACCCTACATCCATCAAACACTGGGCCAACAATGAGTGATCCATCCGATCACTCGAACCAACCTACATCACATGGGATCACTCAGCTTCAGAAAAGGAGTTATACACATACCTCTCTCCCTCGACCATGACTTATGTGTACATGTTCGATCCCGGATAATATCTTTGACCATGCAGCCAATGGCTCGGCCCCTCTACGATTCGGGGGTGCCCTTTGGAGGACCGCCAGTCAACCCTTCGCAAACAAACGTATCTAAACATGTTGAATATCTGTCTGTTGAGTGTGTACACTGTCTCTAACTTCTCTCGCATTCTCTGTCAGAGATGACACTTTTTGGAACCAAGGCTGTCCCTGTCGCTGACACATTCCGCATCTTTGATACGGGAGGTTGATCAATCCTGGCCCCCATAACATTCAAGAATTAAGGGCATAAGTGCCATGCATTGGAAGGGGATCAACTAACTCGTGGTGCCGTGGTTGTATATATATATGAGTGTGTGTGTGAGTGAGTGAAGTGGTACTGGTGGTGGCACCGGCATCAGTCCATGATAATACATGTCGACTTCCTCCTCCTTCATCTACTTCCCTCCCTCCATCTTCATTATTCCTTTATAACTTGTTAAACAAATAAGTTCAAATCAAAGACATACAGATATTACAAGAAGATGGCACCAATCAACCGGCCCACACTTCTTTGTTCCATCATTGTCCTTTTGTTAATTTCCATATCAAATGGTATTATCCCTCATACATTCACTCAAACATATAATTATTATTATTATTATTATTACTATTATTATTATTATTATCCCGATCGGGAAGTAATAACTCGGGAAACAAACTCAACCCAATTACCCTCGCCCTCGCCCTCGCCCTCGCCCTCAACCCCAACTCACTCACTAACACCATCAATCAATCAATCAATCAATCGATCAATCAAAAATAGCATCACATTTTAGATATGGAACATTATCATGGGTTGGATCAACTACAGATGATCTCACTTTTACCTTCACGTTCAAGGCTGCCTTTAGGTACAGCTTCTTCTGGCAAAACTTTGCAGTCGGTGATTCATTTGACTATGGCTACGTCAATGTAGGATCGTCATCAATCACCACCAACTTTGTAATCAACAACGTCGACCATGCCGCCGACTGGATGACCGCCAACATGGTCTACACCACCACCTTCAGCTCCTACTCTGCCCAGACCATCTCCTACTCTGACTGCTGCAGAATCTCCGAATTGAATAATAATGCTGATCGTAAGTTGTTTCCCCCTTAATCATAATAATTATATTTAATTATATAATTCATTAATTAATTTTATTTAATATAATATTATAGAATACTGGAACCTTGAGTCCACTATAACACCAGTCCGTGGAAAACTAGGACAGGTCTCTGCCGTGTCATCATTGTTGCCAGTTATCCCAATTCAGATGGGCGTCACCAACACATTCCAAATCCCAGCCCTTGTTACTGATGGCTCAACATTGGCCTACTCGCTGTCTTCCAGCACCCAGATGCCTGGCTCTCAACCACCAGGACTCTCGATCAGCTCCACCGGTTTCGTCTCGTACGTCCCATCCCAGATTGGAGTTTGGTGCGCCCAGACCTTGATTAAGAGCAAGGACACCACCATCCCAGTGGACTTTATCCTAAACGTCAGCACGACACCAGTTACCAAGTTGCCACCCGTGTTCAACACACCACCAACACCAGCTGCCAACAGCGTTAGAACCATCCCCTCCCGTTCAGAGTCCCAGATCACCATTAAGGGCACGTCGCCCCAGTCTACCAGCACAGTGTCCATCAACATTGGAACTCTTCCCGATGGAATGGTGCACGTACCACAAGTCAGAAGCGGCCCCTCATCCACCCTTATCCTGGTCTGGACGCCAACTGCATCCCAGTTCGGCATGTACATTATTAACTTGGGTCTGATCGATAGTGATGGTATTGGTATGGTTGGAGGCTCTCAATACTTCTACATCAACGTCACCTCCTCATCCTGTGGAAACGGCAACAGGACCTCGGGTGGATGCTCTTGTGACCCAGGCTGGACCGGCCCACTCTGTGACCAATGTGCACCAAACAACTACGGACCCAAGTGTACCCCAATGGACCCATGTATCAATGGTATCCCAAGCAATGGAACATGGGGTGATGGAAGCTGTGTCTGCAACCAAGGTTGGAGCGGAAAGTCCTGTAACATCACCCTCGTCCAGCGTTGTGTCTCCACCAAGCCCAACACTTTCGTCTCTCAGACCTTTGCCCTCAGACAGGGTTTCAACCTGCAGCCAGTAACCTCGCAGCTCTACCTCTCCAAGGACGCAGCTGCCCCCGCTGTGCTCTCGACCTCCATCACCAACCCATACCTCATCCCATGGGACCTCTTCTTTGTCATCGACACCTCTTCATCGGCCAGCATATCAACACTCTACTCTCAAGTCCAAGCTCAGTTCTCCACATTCACCGGAAGTATATCCGACCTCAACGGACGTGATACTACCAACTATGCTCTTGCCGACTTCCAAGACTCCACCAACCCATCCAGCGTCTTCCAACTTCGCTCCAGTCTCAAGCCATCCATCCTGCCCGATATCTCCCAGTTGGTCTTCACCTCTGGTGCCCCAACCGCCAATGTACCATACAATGTGTTGATCAATGGTATCCCATCGATCACATGGTCCAATCGTCCAGAGGGCTCGGTCAAGATGGTCATCTTGATCACCGATAACAACTTGGCACCAACCGACAACACACTTCCACAGCAGCTCCAGGACGTATTGACCAAGTACAACATCCAACTCGGTGTCTTCTCATTCGGCTCCTCATCTTCATACAGCTGGTTGGCCAACAACTATGGTATCAACTGCGATTGGAAGACTGGCTCGAGCTGGTTCACCCAGTTGCTCAACAACCTTATTGTGCCAATCTCTTACAACTTGCGTCTGAAGGTCGTGTCCGACCCAAGTGGCGCCACCAACAACGTTGCCCCAATCATGATCTCCAACACCACCTCTGCGGTCAACTTCACCACCAGCTTCATCTACTCGACCAGCTTGCCCACAATCAACAACCCAGTTGTTACCCTGGCTGCCCCAGGTTTTGGTCGTCAGTTGGTCCACATCCAGTACAACCACGCCCCAACCACCTCATCGACCTCATTCACCGTTCGCGAGAATGTTGGAACCGCCACCAATATCCAGTTCACCATCCCAGCCAACGATGTGGATAACAACGTCCTGTCGATCACCTTCACCTCTATCCCTGCAAAGGGCAAGATCGTCATCAACGGAACAGTTCCAGTCGTTGTCAACACTGTGTACTCGCTGCCAGTCGACTCGTTCACATACATCCCCTCGCTGTACCAATATGGAGCAGACTCTGCCCAGTTCTCCATCTCTGATGGTTGTCTCAGCGCTGATGGTACCATTTCAATCACCATCTCCATCGTGCCCCTGGTACCATCCTGCAGTCCAATAACGCTCAACGCGAACCAGTTCGACACCAAGGCAATCACCCTCATGGGCTCGGATATTAACAACCTACCACTGGCCATCACGGTCTCTTCAGGTTTTGGCAACATGGCCATTGGCTCACTTCTCGCCCCATCGGGAGCACCAATCAACACCAACACTCAGTACTCCTCGCCGACTATCCTATCTTTCGTCCCACTCAGCACCGCCAGGAACACCAACGTGACCGGTACCTACCTCGTCACCAACTCTGAGCTGTTGTCCGTCCAATGTCCTTTTAACATCATTCTCAAGAGGAACTACGTGCCACCAACCTTGACCATTCCCACGACCCAGACCATGACTCCATTCTCCCTTAAGTCCATGCCATTCTCCATCCAGAGCTTTGAGACCTCGGCCACCGTGACCATCACTGCCATCACACCAATGAGCGGTACCTTCTACGACTCAAAGAACCGCACCATTACTCCAGCAATGATCCCCTACACATTCAGCGTGTACAATGTCACTGATGTCTGGGCTGCCTCTGATGTCATCTACTACCAGGCCATTAACGCCAATGAGGTTGGCATCCAGTTTACCATCGAGGTTACTGACCTCGGCGCAGGCAAGGACACCAAGACCGTCACGATCGCTGTCAATGGTCCACGCGTCAACAACCCACCCGTAGCCAAGTCAGTTGCACCAATCTCAATGTTGGAGGATGGTACTTCGCCAATATTCACCCTGGATGGCACTGACCCCGATCAAACAAGATACGACAATGTTTTGCCAGTGATCTTTGCCTCGATGCCAGGCTCTGGAAGTCTGTTCTATCCCAACGGCTCTGCTTTGGTCGCCACCGGCAACGTCGTCCCACTCCAACTCGTGTACAAGCCTAACACAGGCTTCTTTGGAAGTGACAAGTTGATTTTCTACGTCCAGGACTCTTTGCAAGCACCATCCAATCAGGTCACCGTCAACATCACCGTGACCCACGTCAACCACAACCCATCTGTGACTGCACCCAGCATCAACCTTTACGGCCAGACTGGTGGCGCACAACCATCAACCGACTTCCCCATCATCACCAACGATGTCGACAGCGACTTGCTTACTGTCACAATGGTCGGCACATTGCCAGAGTTTGGATCTTTTAAGAACTCCGCTGGCAACCCCATCTCGGTTCTGCCATCCACCCTCCCCTCCAACGACCTAACCTACACCATCCCCACCACTGTCAAGGCTGACTTTATCTCCAACTACACCATCCAAGTGTGTGACAATGGATCACCTAGTCTCTGTGCCACCGCCACCGGCATCATCACCTTTGTCTACAAGACCATCCATCCACCACCCACCTGCTCCGACCTCACGATCGAGACTACACAGATTGCACCAATCTCATTCAATCTCAATGGTACCGACCAGGACACCACCGTTCTCAGCGTTTCACTCAATGGACTCGAGTCGCTGGCATCCCTTGGAGTTGTGTCCAATGCCAACACCCCAATTTCCAACGACCAGACCTTCTCATCTCCAGCAACATTCGACTTCACGCCACTTCTGACCACCGACTCTGACCAAAGATCCGTGCCATTCACCATCACCAACGAGTTTGGTCTAAAGGTGCAGTGCTCGCTCACCCTAAAGGTTAACCGTGTTGCCGTGGACCCAACCATCGACATCCCCGACTCAGTCTCCCAGGCCCTCGACTCGTCAAAGCAGATTCCCTTCACAGTTGGCTCTCTCAACTTCAATGAGGTTCTAACTGTTGAGGTCACTGACGCTCAACCCATCCAAGGATCGTTCTTGGACGCCAGCAACAACGCCATTACCGCCACACCATATTCGTTGGGCGTTTTCAATGTGTCTGCCACACATGCCGCCGCCTCAACCATCACCTACCACGCCATCAACGCAATCTACACTGGCATCAAGTTCACCATCAAGGTGACCGACTCTGGTGGACGCTCCGTTAGCAAGACCGTTACCATCACCCTCACAGGTTCCGTGGTCTTCTACCCACCTGTCGCCAACCCAGTCGACCTGATCATCGTTAACGAGAACGCCAACTCCTCGCTCTTCCAGCTCACTGGCTCCCACCCACTCATGCCCCAATACACTGGCAAGCTCTTTGTCACCGTCTCCGACGTGCCAAGATACGGAGAAGTTTGGTCTAACAATGGCCCCTTCACCCCTGCCGACGAATCACCCCTCTCCGTCTTCTACCAGCCATTCGCCAACACATTCGGCAATGACTCGTTCCACTTCTACGTTACCGATGAGCATGGATCTACCTCTGCACTTGTTCGCGTCGATGTCAAGATCCTGATGGTCAACTACCCACCAGTGATTGAGTTCAACCCACCAGTGATCGTCTCCAATGGCGCGTGCTCAGAGACCCCACTGCCAGTGCCCTTCAACATCAGTCTAACACTGATCAACCCAGACCCATCTTGGAACATCAGCTTCACCAAGCCACCACAACGCGGCCACTTCATCTATGATGGCGTTCGCATCGACAACTACCCCTTCGTCTTTAGCAAATTGATCAACGCGTTGCAGTACCAGCCCGACCACGAGTTGGCCTCCTACACCGACTCCTACGAGATCACCGCCTGTGGCAACATCTGTGGCCCAATCAACGGTTCAATCGTCTACAACTACCAGTACTCCACACCAGTTGGCGCAGCTGGCGTTGTCTACACTCTCGAGAACCATGCCAAGGACTTCACTTTGGTCGGCACCGTGTGTGAGCCCGAGACTGTGTTCTACCAGTTTGTCGTGCTGCCATACGGTGGCGTGCTCTCTGTTGGTGGCGTGCCCATCGAGTCCACTGAAGCCAATATCACTAGCTCCACCATCACCTTCACACCCAAGAAGGATGTGTTTGGCGTGCCCTTCGAGACCATCTATTACCGCGTGTTCTCCCAGCACAACACAGTATCGACATCATACCCAATTGTGATCAACATTGAGGAGACTGTCCTGCCCGTCTACGAGGGCAGCACACACTTGAGCACCTACGAGAACGTCGCCCTTCCAATCACGCTCCAGGTGTCCAAGGTCCCAACTGCCGTGCTCACGATCATGTCGTACACTCATCACGGCCAGCTCTTCCTCAAGGTCAATGGCACACACGAGATCGAGGTGCCCGCCTCTGGCCTGGTCAGCGCCGACGCTCTCGCTCAGTTCCAGCTTCGCTACGTGCCCAAGCTCAACCAGTGGGGCAACAACTACGACACCTTCACCTTTGTCCTCAACGAGAAGTACCAATCCGTGCTGTACACCATTGTGATCGATGTGATCCAGGTGTTCCAGCCACCCGTCATTATCCCCATCTCCTACACATTCAACGGCTCCGATGTTGCCTTTAACTCTACCAACTACCTCAGCAACAGCATTGAGATGTACATCAACTCGACCACCGTGGTCACCTGGAACATTACATCGCTGGACCTCCCATGGGAGACACTGCGCTGCAACTTTGGTTCGTACGTGAGTGGTGGCCGCGTCTACCACTATGTCGATGGCGCTCGTGGCCCATCCATCGAGTTTGGCCAGGGCATCAAGCGTTCTGCCGACGGTCTGTGGCGTATCCAATACGAGCCAACTCCAGGTTTCTCTGGTAATGGCTACTACACCTTCCGTGTCCAGGCCTACGACGCCAAGAACTACACCGCCAGCACCCTGTTCAATGTGGACGTTCTACGTATCAACATTCCACCCTACGTTACCCTGCCCAGAACCGAGGTCTTGGGCGCAGTTGGCGCACCAGTCAGCATCGTCAACGTCAATGTCACTGACCCCGACTCTACCTCCAAGAACAGCATCACCTTCACCGTCAGCCTCACCGACTCCACTGGCGCACTCACCCCCAACGGCAACCTCTCTGCCCCATTCCTCTCGCAGTCTGCATGCACTGTGTTGTCCAACAAGTTCACCTGTGTGGACCGCAACACTGCTCTGAACTACTACCTCAACGTCATCACCGCCAGCTTTGACACTGTCGGCAACTACAGCCTCGTGGTCTACGTCAATGACTTGGGCTACAACGCCAACCCCAAGTACCGTAACGTCTCGATGATGTCCGACACTAAGTCGATCAACCTGGCCATCGCCGCCGCACCGGGCACCGGTGGCAAGGGATCCAACACCGTCGTGTTGTCCGCTGCCATTGCCGCATCTGCCGTTGCCGCTGCACTCATCGCACTTGGAGTGTGGCGTGTGCTCAGATCTCGCGCACCACCCACCGACACCTTCTTTGGCGAGGGTGCCTTCTCCGAGGGTTCAGTCGCCAGCAACCCATTGTACGAGCAGAGTAGAAACTCAATGGCCAACCCAATGTACGAGTCACCGGGCAACTAAACAATGACAAGTCAGTCATTCATTTCATCTTCACTCTTCCTCTTCTTCATCTACTTCACCGTCTTCAATGTTTGAACAAGACTACACAAATAACCTGTACCAATAGCCAATGCGTTTAAATTACGAAAAGTAATCGAATAAACCAAACATTAGAGTTATGATCATCTCCTACTCTATATGTGACTATGCTCCTCTTCAGGTCTTCTCTAACTCATCTTGATCTCTTTGTCATTGATTATCTTTATCTCTTTGGTCATTCATTGTTGTCAAGTATTTGGAAGTTCAGAGGGGTACAAAGTTTTTTTGACACAAAACACACGAAGACTCACACACTCGCCTTTCTCCATCTCGCACTTTCAATCAATCGAGTCCAAGTGCAACAACAACTACATCATCATAAAGTAGCAGCAATACTTATATATATATATAACACAACGATGATGTCACATGGCTACTTGTACAAGTTGGGAAGATCGTTGGCAACATCAACTGTCAACAAGTCAATTGGAACCAATGGTTTGAACAACCTTCAATCAATGTCTTTGATGAGATCATCAATGCTCAACATCAACAACATCAACAACAACACAGGTTCACGTGCACATTACTCAAGAGCTTCATTGAATGATGCTAGGAGATCTGTTAGGGCTTCGGCAAAGGTTGCCGCTGCGGCAAAGGCATCTTCAAACGAGAAGCCAGCATCAAAGTTTGATCAGTTCGACTATGACAAGGAGGAGTACGATCAGTTGACCAACCCTGTCAAGGATGTCTTGGCAGAGGACAACGAGGAGGACATCTACAATGCTCAGTACGGCGATGAAATGGAGGAGTTGGAGCAATCAAACAACAAGCAGCACGAGTGGCATTTGAAGGATCAAGATATCACTGAGTATGTACATTCAATCAATCTTCATTCAATCGTTCGGCAGTACCTCTGACTCATTCAATCAATCAATCAATCATATATAGCGATCAGATTACACAGATCACAAAGAAGATATCAGATTACTACACACCAACAAAGGAGATGATCACTGTCGATGTGTTCAAGTCACAACAGTTGTCATTGTTGAACAAGTGTCAGAACTTGATCCAACAGGCAGAGAAGTTCTTGGGCAACAAGGATATTGAGAAGGCTGAGCCACTCCTGCTTGGCGCCCAGTCCTACTTTGTGAACAACAAGGACGCCATTGAGAGTGGCAACAACGATCCCAACTGTCCACCTCAACTGATTCATGCATATATATTGTCATATCTGGCCAACATTAACCAGAGCAAGAACTCATACGAGGTTGCCAAGGAGTACTATACCAGCTCATTGCAATTGTTGGAGAATGTAAGTGTGGACTGTGGACTGGAATGATTGATTGATCGATCAAGTTGCTGACCATTTATATTCCTCGCGATCACCAATACAGTCCGTCGACAAGAGCTTCTACGCAGTCACTCTGTTGAACTATGCCGAGTTGTTGTCCAACATGGACATCCAACAAGATTGTATAGCCACATGTCTGAAAGCCATCCAAATCCTTGAGAAGTATGTGGCACATCACACATCATCCTTCGCATCTGCCATGGACCATCACTAACACATACCTCCAACTCCAACTCAACATTACTTTAGCTCTCCTTTAAAGTCATCTGATGAGCGATTGATGTTTGCACTATTTAACATGTCTAGCTACCTTTCACAACAGAGCAGATTCGCCGAGGCTTTGCCATATTGTTTGAGAGCATTTGAAGGACTCTCCAAGGGCCTCGGCCGAAACAACGAGGTCGTGCACACAGTCGCAGCCAATCTCTCCAAGATCTACCAACAGCTAAACATGACCAACGAGTTGAAGAGTCTGGACGAGCTGTTTGAGCAGGACCCAGAGGGAATCGTCACATTCGAAACTTCCGCCGATGACCTGGCCCACATTAACACTGATAAGTATGTCGTCTGTCTGACAGGTTCGCTCACCGGTTATCATCATTGTACTAACTCAACAACCATTACTCTTTAGATTAAGACAAACATGGCTGCAGCAAGGCCATCAGCGACCAGCCGACATTGATGGATTCTTCAAGTCGAGCAAGACATCTCAGAAGGAGTTTTCAGCGTTCTTCAAGCAGATGGAGAAGAAGGGCATCAGCTGTGGTCCAGAGTCACTCGAGTTGCTGACCAACGAGTTGAGTTCGATCCAATACGCTCCAGACAGACTGGAGATGTGGAAGCCAAAGACCTACACATTGGGAGTCGACACCCAATAATAATATATATCACTATTCAGCCCATAATAAACGCGCTTGGTCTAAGAGGATCGAGCATAAGGACCAAATCCAGGACACCAAATTTTAAATAGAGGGATAAACCCAACCAAATTCTCCACAGGTCATAAGTTATAAATCTATCTAATGGAGATTTAATATGTTTAATAGATTTTATACCTTTGTTTTTTATTTATTAGGAGAAGGAATTCATTAGAATCCAAGAAAAGGGTCAGCAAATACTTAAACTGGTCACTAGAAGATTCAGAATTCCTATCATAATTATGGGGACCATAGAAAAAGAAGGTTAATTATTACTATCAAATGTTAACTATAATTAAAAATAAATTATTTACCATTCTTTTTGGCTGTCGACAAAATTACAATTGCCAATAAATAATAGATGGGCCAATAAAACTATTAAAAGTATTTTTATATTCATTGATAGTAGTATAAATTTATATATATATATATTAATAATATTCTATTTAGAACCAATTGATTGTAAGTATTTATATGTATTATTGATCTACCAATAATATATAATTTACAAATAATAAATTGAAATCTCCAAAAATAGAATTAATTTAATATTATTTGAGAAATTCTACAATAATATTATATATTTATTATATATCTTACGATTAAAGATATCCAATACAGTCGTTGATTTGTAAACTTCCCTCATATCAACACACCGAACAAACAAACACATTATTTGTTCCATAAGGAACAAAATATAATAATAATACTCGTCGTTACTACAGGAGCAGCATTTACTGTAATGCGTTCTTTCGCTCGCTGAACAACGTTCGACACATCTGGGCAGATCCCCAACTTAGGTGGTATCAACCTCAACTTTGTAGGTTATGCCCAATCAATCACTCGATCTGTCCAGTTGTATTATTTATTTATTCATTTATCTTGTAGTCTTCATCTTGTTAAGCTGTGCCTTCTTCTTGATGTTCTCTGCCATTGACTTGAATGTATCTGCTTCGGACTTTTGTTTCTTCTCAACCTGGACTGGTGCTGAAGACGAGTTTGATATGTTGTTGCCATTTCCATTCTTGTTGGCCTCCTCTCTTCTCCTCTTCTTCTCGTTCAACAGATCCTTGACGGCATTTGTTGGTTTGAACTTGGGATCAGTTGGATCCAGCGCAAAGTCTGATGCATTGTAGAGCTTCTCGAATCTTGGATCCTTGGTGTCGATCTTAAAGGTGTCCTCTGGGTCGTTGGCCCTCTTCTTGTTCTTCTTTGGATTGGTTGATGTGTTGACCTTGACCTGTCTCTCGAGCATCCTCTTGTTGAATCCCTTTTTCTTCTCGCCGTCATTCTCGTCCATCATGAGCAACTCCAGCTCGGCCTTGGACTTGAGCTCCTCGGCTGTGGGTGGCTTCTTCTTGCCCTTCCTGCTCTTCTTCTCGTCCTCTTCACGCTTCTTTTCCTCCTCTTCAGCCTTTAGTCTCTTATTCTTCATCTTTTCGTTCTGTTTTGATCTCTTCTTGTCCATGTACTCGGTCCACAATGTGCCATTCTCTCTTTTCTCCTTCTCCCTGAGCAGGTTCTTTCCAACCTTGTGTAGGTCTGTCTTGATCGTGATCTCCTGAGCTGTCTCGTCTACATCACTGTCATCGCCACGATTCATTATATCCTTTGTCCACTCCTCATCCTGTGGATCGATTGCATTGTCACTTTCATCATCTCCTTCATCATCATCATCATCGCTGACGTCGTCATCCTCCTCATCACCACTGCTCTGGACCTCACCATCACTGAACTCCACCTTAAGTCCATCTTCATCACTGCTGCTGTCATCGTCATTATCCTCCAGACCAGTCTTGAATGTGACTTGAAGGTCATCCTTCTCCTCCAACTTGTTGTCTCCATCCTCGTCGTCATCCAGCAACAATGACTTGTACTTGTTCCTCAGACGCAGTCTTGAATTCTTGTCCTCCTCCTCTTCCTCGGATGATGTCTCTGGCTCGGCCAGATACAGCTTCACCTCGTCCTCGTCATAGTCCTCCTTGTAGTTCTGTGTGAGGGCCTTCTTCCTGTTCTTGTCGACGTCCCATGTGAAGTCGACCGATGTGCCCTTGAGCACCGAGGTGGTGAAGCCCAGGTTTGGTGCAGTCTCTGGCATGTCTGTACATGTGTCTCTTGGTGGATTGGTGAACTCCTGCTCGTCGGGGACGAATCTTAGGTCGAGGGCATTGGCAGTGTCCTCGATCTCCAGACCATCACATTCGTCGTAGACCACGGACGCTGATTCCAAACGATCAAAGACGGCCACGGCATAGTAGTACTTGAGCTTAGACAACTCGTACTTTCTTAGACTGACCAGATTGAAGCCTGAGCCATCCAATGAGTCGGGGTCCTCCTTGTGATCATACTGGATATCAGTCTCCTCTGATGGTGTCTTTAATCTGGTGTGATTGAAGATGTCCTTGGATGGACCCATTCTCTTCTCGATCTCGATCTGCTTGAGACCAAAGTCCGATGGGTAGATTGTGACCGAGAGCAGCACTCCACCCTTGGGCAAGAATGAGCTGAGTATGAGGTATAGGTCCTTTGAATGAATGTTGTCCCAGTCGCAGTTGAGTATAGCGAATCGTTTGGTGGCGTCTCCTCTTGGTACGTCCTCCTCCTCCAGTGTGACCTCGTCCAACTCCTGACCCTGGTTCAAGAAGTCCTCATCATTCTCTTCTTCACTGCTCTCTGTGTCATCATTGTATTCGAAGCCACCATAGACCAACTCCTCGGTATCCCCATCGGCCACCTCTTCGTCGCTCTCTTCTTCGCTATCATCGTCCTCGCTCTCCTCATCTTTGTTCTTGTTGACGATCTGTGTTTTCTTGGTTGTGGCCTTTGCAGCTGCCTTTGGCTTCTTAACCAACTCCTTCTCTTCATGCTCCTCGGCATCTTCGTCATCCTTCTCCTCCAAGTCCTTCCACTTTGATGGGATTGAGAATCTTGAATCAGACTTTACATCATCCTTCTTATTCTGTGGCTGTTGTTGTTTCTTCTTATCGTCCTTCTTGACCTTAAAGTTATCCTTGAACTTCTTTGTGGTACTTGATTCCTTTGCTAACTTCCTACCATATTCATCGATGGGAGCTTGATCACAACAATGTTAACATCCTCATTCATTCATTCATTCATTCACTCAATCAATCAAACATAGACATACCTTTATCATTGAATCTATCTGATGTCATAACCTTTGAGAACCTCTCATCGAGTTGAATGGCAGAGTCAGCACGTCTCTTTAGTTTGAACTTTGGATCATTATGTGCCTTCTTGAATCTACTATCTGTGATCATTCCTCCACCACCACCACCTTTGTTATTGTTGTTCTTAGATGACATGTCTTAATCTATCTCTCTAATATATATTATCTGTATCACAATGTTTGAAAACAACTGTTTCAACAATCGTTCGTTTTTGTTCTTGTTTTGATCAATATAAATTGTTTTTATTCATTTAAAGGTGAGAGCTAGGACATGAATCCATAGTTCAATATCAAGTTCATAGTGTCAGTGAAAGTATTTTCCTAACAGTCACCCTTTATTGATGAACAAAGTCTAGTAGTATAGCATTGTGCCTCTCTATATATGTCCATTCAAGTTCTAGAATCAAGGCATTACTGTGGAGTTATACTCAGATATAATGAACCTCTTAACAAAGTTATGATGGTAGATTGCCTGTGAGGAATGAAAATATGATTGACCAAATAGTATGAATGTACGGATAATTGAGCCAGATTCGGCTAATACTGACTTACAATCCTATTAATAGGATGGGTAAACTACTTCACTCAATCAGATCGTCCCCCACTCCCTTCCCTCGTTCACTCTTTTTACTGGGTATTGAATAATGTAAGATACCAAACCAATACTATCTTACAAACAATAATTTCACCATAAACCAGTTATTACCGAAGCCATAAAATGATTACAATTATCAAACTAGTGACACAAATATCAGATATATAAACCTATTTTGAATATAATATATATATATATCCTAGAACTTAATAATGAAGTATATATATTTGGTACTAATAATATTATTAATTTCCAATTTTATTAATGGAGAAATGAACCATGTATCTTCAAATAGTAGAGGGTAATTAAAAAGGAGGTCAAACCAATTTTATTTAATTAATTTATTAATTTCTATTTTTCTTTTACATTCCTAGGAATGAAATTCTATACCAAGCACAGTCCAAATTACCTAGTGGTGATGGTCAAGGAAGTTCTGCTAATGTAGCTGCTTTTGCTGTAGCTGGTGCTGCTGCTGGTGCTGCTGGTGCTAATGATGGTAATCCTAATTATGTTTCAAATGCTGGTGCTGCGGGTATTACTTCTACTGCTAATAGTGGTGCTGTTGCTACAGCTAATTATGGTGCTTTTGAAAATTCCGGTGCTTCTGTCGCTTTTGGAGACAAATACTTAACAGAATTTGTTACCAATGATCAAGATCAATATTCTTCATCTTCTTGATTTTCTTGAATAAAGATCAATTTGAAGTCCGATATTCCTCTCTATTTCTTGGACTCTAAAAGATTGTTTAGATTGGTGATGTTTTATCGGGAAGTAATCAAGTTTACAAATAATAAAATAATAATATTTTGTTTCATATTACTTCCATATATATATAAAGATATATAAAAAAAAGTACGTCTGTCGGGATACTAGAATCTAAGCCGTTCTGTGTCAAGAGGGTCTGCTAGATATCTCCCAATTGTGAATCGTTTCCGTCTGTGTGAGTACTAACACACAGTGTGTGTAAACTCGTAAAACTTAATCCGAAATCAATTAAAAATCAATAAAACTATTTCTATAACTTTATTTATGGTTACTACTCATTTATTTCTTTAATAAATAAATAAATATTAGTTTACGACGGACAACCTCAGAACTTTATTATTCCATATGTGTGTATCTATCCATGTGTATGTATGTATGTATATATTTAGTGTAATGTTTGACATTGATTGTAATAAATAGAGAGAGTACTTGATTGTTTGATTGATTGAGTGATTGAGTGGAGAGATACCTGGAAAGTGATCGATGGTTGAGTTACCTGGGATATTGTTACATTCTTTAAATATCATATGAGTATATATATAAGGTTGAGTTTTAGAAATCTCTGTTGTGTTGTTGTAGGTGGATGTTGTTGAGTTGTAGGTTGTTCTATATAGTTGAGTTTGAAGTTTGAGTTTGAGTTTGACCATGAGTTTGAGTGTGAGTTCTTGAAGGAAGTCCACACACACCAACAGACTCACACTTAGAGTGATACAGGCTCACATGTTAGGGAATAGTGCCTGATTACTTCATCGTCAAACAACTCTTGAGGTGGCTTGTTTAGGAGTCGTTGAATGGTGCCAACGATCTTGAAGTGTGGGATAGAGCTGTTGGTGAGATCGTGTGCAAATAGGATCTTGCGGCTCAGTTCACGATAGTGGAAGAAGTTGATGACGCCACCCGGCAGTAGCTTGGGACTGCTCGTCTCGATAAAGTACAGCTCCTCGAGCAGCAGCTTGAGGTAAGGGAAGGCTGGTGCCTGCGAGTTCTGCAGACGCTCGCGGTAGCGGCGGAAGTCGTTGTCCTTGGACACAAACACTTTGAGCTGGTCTAGTGTGGCGTGTGCCTTGCCGCTCAGCGCCTTGAAAGTCTCAGTGAGACGCTCGACAGATGGGTTGGCGAGACCCTCCATGATGCAGAACACGCTGGAAAAGTCGTTGAACGAGAGGCACTTGTCGGCCGCCTCGATGAAGCGCTCGACGGTGGCCGTGCGCTTGGCCAGCGACGAGTGCTTGACCACCTCGGTCGACACGAGGCGCACCAGGTCGTCGTAGCGCTCGAGATACGCGTGGATGTTGGCGCCGGGGCGGCCAGTCTGCTCACGTCCGACCCAAGGGGACGGTGAGTCTGACACCTTCTCCCAACAGATCTCAAGGTACTCGCGAGGCTGGATCAGCAGGTAGCACGTAGACATTGTGAGCGAGAACTGACGCGCCAACTCGATGGCACTGACGTCGACCACCTCGAGATACTCGCCAGCAGCGAGCGCTGAGGGGCTGGGCAGGATGCTCTCGGGTGGCACAACGTGGATCAAACTGGTGGCCGCGGGCGTGAGTGACTCGCGCTTCTTGGACAGCTCTCCTGCCAGTCGCGGCTCGCTGTCGCCGGCAACGATCGTGCCGGTACTCTGTGTCAATGACAGTGCAGCCATGTTGTTCTGAACTACGATGCGATCAAACTCGTTCAACTTCTCCATGAGCAATGGGTCTTGGAAGTCGTCGGGGAAGTGCTCAATCCATCGCTTGATGAAGATTACGACACGCAGTTGAATGACGCGATGCACCTTCTTCCAGTTGTCCACCTGGCCCACATGGTTGTCGGGCGCCGACGATTGGTAGCGCTGCTGAAGCAAGTCGCACAGGTTGAGCGGCGTGACGAACGACGGGTATGTAAGCAGAAGGTCCTGGATGTAGGACGTGTCGTAGCAGTAGTCACTTGTGGCGCGCTCAATCATCTTGACCAAGTGGCTCGTGGACACTGTCTGCGTACCATTTGTCGTCTTCTTCTTGAGGTTCTGGTATGCAGGCTTGGGTGCGCCAACACGCCAATTGTTGTTGGTGCCTGTGACCAAGACTGAGTCTCCACTCGACTTGCCCTTGAACTCCTTCTGATCCAATGATATCACTTCGATTGACTTCCTGTGCAGTGAGGACATTGCCCTTCTAGACTGTCCCATTGTCGGTGATAATGTCTGTTGTGGTGCTTGTGTAGTCTGTGTCTGTGTCGTCTGTGATTGTGGAGTCTGAGCTGTGGCAGCTGATGTAGCTGTGGTATCAGGTGACTTCACCTCGACTGGTATGACAATGTTCTTGATCGTAGACAGGACATCATCGAACTTTGGTCTCTGGCTTGGTTCATATTTACAACAATCTAGACAAAGGTCGATGAGTCTGATTGATTGATTGGGTATGAGTGAGTGTGTCCCGCACGTCTCTCCATCCTCCCTCCCTCCATCTCCATTCTTCACTTCCTAACATACTTCTGTGGACAACCTGGAAGTGCGTTCTGCTTCATCTCATCGGGGTTGATGTCAAAGCAACTGTCTGGTGTGCGTACCCAGATGTTTGTTCCTGGTTTCATTCCTGTGATCAACTCGGCCAACACCACTCCATATGAGAAGACGTCGCAAGATGTATCATAGCTCATTCCCAACAATATCTCTGGTGCGACCCATCCCTCTGTGCCACACATAGTCATATGTCTGTTCTTCTTGACATGCTCATTCATCCTGGCGAATCCAAAGTCGCATAATCTAATCCTCTGGTACTCGTCAACCTATTTGATTGAGTTAGTAGTAGTCGGAGTGAGTGATTGAATGAGTGAGTGATTGGATATGTACCAATATGTTCTTTGACTTTAGGTCTCTGTGAATGATCTTCTTGGCATGGAGGAAGACGAGTACTTTGGCCAAGTCGACGGCGATTGATATTCTACGCTCCCATGTGATGGGTGGAGACTGCTTCAACAACTGTCTAACGTCACCGCCGGATACATACTCGGTGACAATATACAATCCAGATGTATTTACACAAATACCCGAGAACTGGACAATGAATGGATGTCTCAAACTCCTGTTGTATTATGTTCCATGTTTGATTGATTGATTGATTGATTGATTGAGTGAGTGTTAGCTACCGCACACCCATCCATCAAGTACATACTGCACATCGGGTGATTGACTTACTGAAGCATTGAGACCTCACGATCGATGTACTTTAGGTATTCGGGATCGTCTGCCTTTTCAATCTTCTTGATGGCCACATCGAGTCCAAGATAGGTGCCTCTAAACACCGATCCAAAGCTGCCCTTTCCAATCCTCTCTTTGAACTCCAAGTTCTCAAATGGGATGTCCCAGATGGACTGGGTTGGTAGTCCTGGGTCTGTTTGGTCTGACATCTACTACTACTTCTACTACTATTAAAAATTAATGTTTGGATGGATAGAGTATATGATTGATTGATTGTTGTTGTAGAATGAGAAGAAGAAGAGAGAGAGTAGAGCGAGAGTGGAGTGAGTGACAAGATGGAGTTAATTGATTGATTGATTCCCCAGTTGTTGAATGAATGAATGTTTTGTTAGGAGGTAGTGACAAGTTTGTACCCACCCAATCACTGAGGGTCCTTGATGGATCAAGAGTAACCAATCAGGCAGGAGGAACGCGTGAGGCCCTATTTTGACAATTTTGATCATTAAAAAAAGATATTTTTAGGTCCACCCAATCGAACAAAAACCTCAATCCCTATGATGTATTTGATGTGAGGTAGATGGATGGACTTGTAGTCGTCCTCGCATCGCATTGGAACTATTTGAGGACATGGACATGTCCCAAGATTGACGGACGGTCCGATGGGATGTCCAATCCACAAATATAATATATAATACTTGGATTTATTTGTTTTGTGATTGTAATATGTACCTTAAGATGATTCACAGAATATACGAGCGTTTTGGAACATACGCAACCATGGTGATGGCTGTGATGGACCACCAATGGCATTGGTGATGTTGTCGGACATCCATGGCCAGTTCCAGGCGTTCAAACTGCGCTCTGGATGTGGCATCATGGCCAAATGACGACCGTCGCGGGAAACGAGCGAGGCAATACCGTCGGTCGATCCGTTGGGGTTGTATGGGTACACGGTGGAGACCTCACCCTGGTCGTTGGCATAGCGGATTGGCGCCAGGTTGTTGGCGTTAACGTCGTCCAGGATCGATGTGTCGGGGAAGTAGGCGAGACCCTCGCCGTGCTGCGACCAGCAGCCAAGCACTGAGCCCTCCATGCCGGCCAACATGATGGCGTTGGACTTGCCAATGGTGAGTGTGAGCCAGCGGGACTCGAAACGGCCAGAGGCGTTGTGGATGAAACGGGGCTGCTTGGCGGCGGCGATTCCACGGAATGGAACCCAGCCGAGCAGGGCCATCAGCTGACAGCCGTTGCACAGACCCAGCGAGAAGGTGTCCTTGCGCTGGTAGAAGGCGTCGAACTGCTTGGAGACGGACTCATTGAAGAGGATGGAACCGGCCCAGCCCTTGGAGCTGTCCAGAACGTCACCGTAGGAGAATCCACCGACAAAGGCAACTCCCTTGAATCTCTCGTCCAGGACGATGTTGCCAGCGATCAGATCGGACATGGCGACATCCCAGGCCTCAAAGCCGGCCATGAAGAAGGAGGCGGCCATCTCACGGTCACCATTGCTGCCCTCCTCACGGATGATGGCGACACGTGGTGTGTTGTTGGAGATGAGCGACTGGTCGATGGTGGGCGATGGGGTGAAGCTGAGACGGTAGTTTGGACCGCGGCCGCTTCCAGTGGCGCGCTTCTTGAGCTCACGCATCTCACTCTCGACGTAGGCAGAGTTGGCCTGCAGCTGCTCCAGATGGTAGGAGGTGTCCTCCCAGCGTTGGCTGAGGTCGCACAGCTCGGCGTCCAAGAGCACGGCGTTGTTGGAGGCGGCGGTGACGACGAAACGGTCGGTACCGGCGGCGTTGGTGGCGGTGTGACCAATCTCGTAGGCAGTGACGTTGTTCTGCTTGAGGATGTCCATGACCTGGGCGAGGTCCGAGCGACGGCACTCAACGGCGGCACCAAGCTCTTCGGTGAACAGCAGCTTGAACATGTCGGTGGAGGTGTAGTTGGCTGGGAGCAGAGTGGCGGGCAGAACAATGTTCATTCCACGGTTGCCACCGATGGACATCTCAATCAAAGTGGTGATCAAACCACCATCGCTTCTGTCATGACCGGCGGTGATGAGTCTTGCCTTGACGAGCTGCTGAACAGCGTTGAAGGTGGACTTGAGTGACTGGACTGCGACGTGTGGGGTGTCGTTGCCGACCTGGCCAAAGACGTGAGCCAGGGAAGAGCCACCAAGGAAGTTGTTGTTGGCACCAATGTCAATGTACACGATGGCGCTGTCCTCCTTTGAGTTGAGCTTGAGGTCTGGTGTGACGGTCTTGGTGATGTCGTCACAGGTGACGTAGGTGGAGACGACGAGCGTACCTGGGCCCTTGACGAGCTCTCCGTTTGGCGACTTGGCGGCCATACTGAGACTGTCCTTTCCTCCGTCGATGGCAATGCCTAGCTCGATCATGGTGTCGGCCATCGAGACGGCGGCGTCGTAGAGGGCGGCACCCTCTCCCTTGAGCTTGGCAGCCCACATCCAGTTGCCAGAGCACTTGACGTCCTGGAGAGCGGTGATTGATGCGAACATCAGGTTGGTGAGAGCCTCACCGACGGTGAGGTAGGCCATGGCTGCTGGCGAGATGAATCCCTTGATGGGCTGCTCTCCGATCGAAGTGGCAGCACCAGTGACGCCAAAGTAGCTGGAGGCAATGACGGCAACGTCAGACAGAGGGGTGTGCAGTGGTCCAACGCATTGTTGACGGGCGACCAGACCAGTGACGGCACGATCGACCTTGTTGGTGAGGAAACGCTTGGAGCCGACGGACAACAGACGCAGGACACGGTCCAGAGCGCCAGAGACGGTCAGATCAGCGGGCAAGGTGATTGGGGTGAGCTGGGCGGGCAGTCTCTCGCTGTAGAATGTCTTTGGTGGCATCTTCTGGAGCACCTTCTCCAATGGCAAGTTGACTGGGGTGGACTTGTCAGCGCTCTTATCGTCGACCAGACGGGCGTAGCCAGTGCCGGTGACGTCACCGACAAAGGCGACGGGGAGACGCTCACGAGCAGAGATCTGCTCGAGCAATGGACGATGCTCAGATCTCATCAGAATGGCGTCCTGCTCCTGGTACTCGGCGCCCCAGATCTCCATGGCGGAGAGAGTTGGGTCTCCGACGTGGATCTTGGACAAGTAGATATCGGCTCCCAATGGGTCGGCGATCTCCTTGAGCACGTTGCCGGCACCACCAGCGCCCTGGTCGTGCACACTGACGATTGGGTTGCCGCTGCCAAACATCTCGTTCTCGACGCAACCACGGATGATACGGTTGAGCTTCTGGCCCATCTCGGCATCACCACGCTGAACGGCGGAGAAGTCCAGCTCTGTCTTGTTGTCACCACCGACCATGGACGATGCGGAACCACCACCCATACCGATGCGGTAGGCTGGACCACCAGCCTTGACGACGACCATGCCAACCTCAGGCTGCTCCTTCTTGGTGTGTCTGCCGTCCATGAAGCCAATGCCTCCAGAGAACATGATTGGCTTGATCCACTCACGTCTCTCGCCGTTGGACAGACGCTCACCGTACGAGCGAGTGAAACCGACAATGACGGGCTCACCAAACTTGTTGCCATAGTCCGAGGCACCGTTGGAGGCGTCGATCTCGATCTTCAGGGGGTGGGCCAAGTTTGAGGGGTACTGGAATGATTTGTCCTCCCATGGCAGATCGTAGCCTGGGATGTTGAGGTTTCCGACACAGTAACCGACGGTACCGGCAACGACCAATGAACCACGTCCAGTGGCGTGAGTGTCTCTGATACGACCACCAGTGCCAGTCTCGGCACCTGGGAATGGTGCAACACCCGATGGGAAGTTGTGTGTCTCGGCGGTGAAGATGATTGGCTGATCACGCTCGCCTGCCTTGTATGGTGAGGCCTTCTCTGGAGCGGTTGGAATCAATACCTTTGTGTTTTTGAATCCCCTGTTGATTGTTTGATTGATTGATTGTTAGTCAACTGTTTTGGAACTATTCCAATGATGATGAAGGGACAACATACTTGATGGCACTGGAGTTATCACAGAAGGCAATGAGGGAATTGGCTGGGTTGGCCTTGAGGGTGGCCTTGACGATCTCAAAGAGAGTTCTTGGGGTCTTCTCGCCGTCAATGAACAGGTTGCCGTTGAAGAACCAATGTCTGGAGTGCTCACTGTTGGACTGGCCAATGTCGAAACACTCGACGTCGGATGGGTTGCGCTTGAGATGGTTGAGGAAGAGGTCTGTGTACAGTTCGAGGTCGGCCTCGTCGAAAGCCAGACCCATCTCTTTGTTGATGCGCTCGAGGGCGGCGCGACCCTCCTCGATCAGCGGCACAATGGTCACTGGACGGGGGACGACACCAGTCTCGAACGACTCGATGGGCTTCTCGTATGGGCACTCTGTCATGCGGTCGTGCACCTCGTCGATGAAGGCCTGGCGCTGCTCGGCGGTCCAGGGTGCGCTGGTCTTGACCAGGTAGCGACGAGAGCGCTCAATGCGATCGACAACGCCCAGACGACACGACTGGCAGATGGAGGTGGCGTTGGTCGAGTAGGTGGTGGTGAAGTTCATTCTGGGGCCGACCTCGACCAGCTGCAGGGTGGCGTCGGCGGCGACGAGGAACGACGTCTCGGCGTAGAATTGTGGTTCGAATGTCTCTGACAGCAGCCAGGTCAGCGTGGCCTTCTCCTGCTGGGTGAGCGTGTGCGTCGAGGCGTACTGCACGTTGAAGCAGTACTCGGACTGAATCGATTCAATTCCGATGCTCGTGTATTTCTCATTGAGACGCTTCTTGAGTGACTCGACTGCCGCCTCAGACAAAGCTGGCTTTCTGTAGAAATGTTGAATAGTCATTCTTATCTTATATTATTTAGGTATATATGTATATAACTTTGTATGTATGTATGTTTAGTGTTGATGATGAGATGAGCGAGCACACTGAATGGCGTGGCGTGAATGAAGTTGAACTTGTGTTGGAGTCGGAGTTCGCTCGTTTTCGTTTGAATGAGTGTGAATGTGAATGTGGATGAATGAGGCTTGTTAAGGCTAGGGTAGGCAGTAATAACAATAAGTGATTATTACTGTTTGTAATGTATCTGTTTGGTGTTGGTATTGGATTGTCGAAACAATAGAGATTCAACAACGAGTGTTTATCGTCTAATAGGGTAATGCAACATGGTCCATGTAGGAGGACGTCAGACAGACCCAGAGTTCCAAAGACGAAATAAATATTTTGATTAATTTTATTTATCGGATATGTTAGTGTGTGTGTTTCGTTCATTCATTCAATCATAACAGGAGGTGCCCTCCCAGTGATCCAACGACGACATTGGGTGTTTGCCATTGCCGACAAGAATAAACCATTCGTTTTCCCAAATCAACGGATTGAATGTCGTTATGAAAATCCATTACCATGATGTTGTATTAATACACACAAATACAATCAAAATAGGTCGTCCAATCATATATCTGTTGGATGATTGAGTATCAATCAATCAATATTAACACATGGGTACTGTTTCATTCATTCATTAATAATAAATACCTAACTACTACTTACTCATGTATTGTATAGAGATTTGAAAGATATAAGATACATAATGAATAAATAAAGAAGCTAGCTTCACACTCATACACACTTAAACAAATAATGTCAGGTGATCAATCACAACACAGATAACACCCATCAGTCTTTCCCACCCATTTATTTTTTTTAAGTTCACTCAATGTGTTGCAAAGTTAGCTAGCAAGGTAGTAGTGGTCAAATGACTCTTTTGTGCTCAATTTCAAAGAGAGAGATAGTGAACAAACACAAGTGTAATAGATAGAGACAGAGACAGACAACAGAGAGAGACATCAAACTCATCAATTACCATCACTCATAAATCTCAAAAGTGATACAAGAACCAGACACTGACTGACATATAGTACTTTGTGTGTGAGCGAGCGAGCGATCCAGTCAGTAGTGAGTGATCAGATCGATATAACATCATTCATTCGAATAATAGTAATATAACAAAGATATATATATATATATATAGAGAGATATATAAGCAATGGCTTGGGAGATTAAGAAGGGCCCAAATCAGTGGATCTTTGTGTTTGTCAGTGGAGGCTACGTCATGCTGGGTAACCGTGACAAAGGCACTACCAGCACAGCAGATCATTGCTCAATAGAGGACTTCATCATAAAGGGAACATTGCAACAACCAATCATTCAGGTAATGTCTAATCAATGTCATGTGACTACTCACGATCATTGGAAAGAGAGTGATTGCTAATCAACAACAACAATAACAACAACAACAACAGGAGTTTGGACAGGTTACTTTCAAGGAGATTTATGACAAGGTGCTGAAGATACATGCCCTCAGGAATCAGAAGACCTCATCGCCTCAGGCATCCTAGTCGACACAGCATGCATCAGACATCATCACATCACATCATCACATTCAACACTACATCATCATCATCATCACATTACCACGAACCAAGCCAACCATTACCAAGCGGCAACAGAAAGCAAAGCATAGCATAGCATATCATATCATAGCATAGCAAAGCAAGGTAGGGCGACAGAGCTGCAGTGGTAGGCATGCGATATACTGTCAGTCATCACCTGATCGCCACCTCCTCATCCCCTCCCCTTCCCTCCCCTCCCAACATCTCATCACCATCACAAACCTAAGCTTATATATATTTATATAATATTGATCAGTCAGTGATCAGTAGGTTAACATTAAAAAGATTGTATATTTGGACATACTCTTGCTCTCTCGCTGTCTCTCTCATTGCATTCAATCAGTCAATCAGTTGCCTCTTCTCTGTTGGTAATCCTCAAACACTTCTCAAGTTGTGAGCGCATCCTGTCTCGCTCCTCCATCCAGTCACTCCTCTCTCTTTCCGCTTGTTCTTTCATTTTATCACGCTCTTTTGGAGTAGAGGCAAGAGTAAGTATGATAAATAGTAATGAATGTAGATGTACATGTTCATACCTTTGGACCAACTATCATACTCCCCAACCATCACATCCAGATATGCCTGTGTATGTTTGTTCTCAACTTCTAAATTCCTATATGATTTGATATCCTCCTCCATTGCCTGTAACTTCTTGTTCTCTGTTATTATTAAATGGAAATATGGTTAAGTTTATTCTATTCAATTGGAATCATTATTATTTTGTTTGGAAACTTACTCTCTTCCAATTGCCATTCCAATAATCTTATCCTATTCTCATACAATGTCTTCATTCTTATCCCTATCAATAATTACCAATATATATTAGTACTCCAAACCATTGATATATAATTATCATTATCATTATCATCTTTATACCATTGTTACGTATATCCTTTATATATCTCTCAATGGCATTTGCTGAGTCTTTGAATTGGTCCAACTCCATTCTCATTCAGATCAAATACAATGATCATTGATTGAATGATTGATAGTTGTAATAATTGATTGATTGAATGGATGAGTAATGAATAAATGATGAATGAACATCCACAAGATAAAGACAAAGAGAGGACTAGACTAGACTTGGAAATTGAACTTTACAACAAAGAGTGATACAGATCCAATAGATATCCAAATAAGGAAACATCCATCCATCTCACAGCAAATGAGTAGATCTTGAGGGTGTGTGAACATCATGTCGACTTGTATTGTTGTTTAGAATTAGACGAGGACAGCCTTGAGAGCATCGAACGAAGCATCTTGATCCTTGCGCATTGCCATTTGAATGTGATTGTACATGAATTTAGTCAGTTGTTTGTCGATGCCATATTGTTGCTCAAGTAGTTGTTTGATGTTGCTCTGGAATGCATTGCTACGCATCATAATGTTGACTGGCTGTGCAAGTGTGTTGGGAGTGCCATGATTGAACGATACAATCGAGTACTCATCAGCATCGTCATCATTCCTACTACTGCTTGCATAACAACCGAATGTGATTACCGACGATTGTCCACGGCTAATAGTAACATCAAAGTGATAATCAAATGGATAGTATTGTCCTGTTTGTCTGTCCTCTATCAGACTATCCAATAGATGTGTATACTCCTGACTTTGCTCGCTACTATTGAACTTGACACAAACGTTTGTTCCATCACCTGTCTTTCTCTCCATTGTGTATACATCGCCCTCCTGTTTACACTTTTGTTATAATCATGGTGTCAGTATCTTGTATCCCTCCAACTACAACAACAACAATAATACTTACAACATAGTTACGTGAAGTTGTGAATCGCTTGGCTTCATCTTCCGCCCATTTGTCATTGCTGTTCTCTATACGTGTCTTCTCAGCATCACATAGACCTATTAGGTTTATGGCAACAGCACCCATATATGTCCTAATGGTCCTATTTGGAGAACTGCTAGCATTAGATGTGAGCAAAGAAGTTGACAATCCACAACCAATTGATCTTGCAATTGATACTCCAACAAGTTGTCTAACAACCAATGGGTATGATCTCTGTACCAATGATGTCAACATTATTATTATTATGTATATGATTGATTATGTGTGTCTTTGTTGTTCAACAATGAAGTCATCAACTTGGTCTAGTCCGTGATTCATTCCCAAAATCAAATTGATGTTGGAAAGAGATAACGAGACAGACAAACAGATACAATGGTACACTCATGTGAGGTGCATAATCATCGAAAGGAGTTCATATGTTTGGATAAACAGTTATGTTGCACTGTTTGCTTTCAAAGATTGCATAGAGATCATAGCTTTGATCATTTGGATAATGTAAAGAGTTGTATTGAACGTAGGGATTACCAATCAATGTGGTGCATGCCAAGATTGAATGTATTATGGAGTACTCTACAACAATGTGCAACATCATATCAATCATTGGAGAGATCACATCAAGAGATAACTGATCATTTTGAACAATTGATCAAAGTACTCATGGCTCAGGAGCACAAAGTCAAGACACCAATCAATGCACAGACCGAGCTACTCAAGTCAACCATCAATGATATCATCAATGAGATCAGAGACATTAATACAATCATCAATCCATCACATTCAAACAACAACAACAATGGTGATCAAGAGATAGACACTCGAGAGATAATCAACTCCATCACATCATGTACATCTGTGGAGCAGTTCATTATTGGCAACATAATATGCTCTCCGCGAATCAATGCTGAGGATGTCAATAATGGCACTGACGATAATCTGTTGACAATGATCAAGAATCACACTGAACACGTCGCTCACTCCTTATGATGATGAGTCCACAAGGCTTGTACAAACATGGCGAGTCATTATCGATGTGAGCAAACTGAATGATGTCAAGAAGAAAATACAATCATGCTTTAGACTCATTGATCAATCGAATGTCAATCAGACAATGATACCAGCAGAGTTTGAAGGCCACGTGTTCTCACTGGGTGACAAAGATGTTTCTTTGTTCTCACCAGCCACTTCCAAATGGACGCCACTTCTCAGTGATGTCTCACCAGGAAAGAGAAACTTACATTACAACTCATTGGTGTATGCTCGAGGTAACGTCTACCTGTTTAGAGGGCCAAAGACCTATTCTAGATAATCATTGGTGGAGAAACAATGGTATCACGATGTTGAAATGGTTGGAGTCTTCTCCGTAATGCCCAGATCCTCGGCCGCATACGATGGTGATAAGCATATATACCTCATGAGTGGAGCCAGTGACGGCATTACATGGAGTAGTGATGTTGATTGCTTGGACATTGAAACTCAAAAGTGTACAAAGGTCACAAAGTTGCTACGTGTAGAGTTGCCCAAGGTTTACTTCAGCAACGACATCATCTACGTTGTTGGATGGAACGCACTAGTTAGTCGCCAGTATCATATCCACTCAATCAATGTAAAGACACTGGCACAGGATATCGTATTCGAGCGAACTGGCCCAAAGCATAGCATAATGCTCACCTGCTTCGATGGTGACGACAGCATATTCATTCTCACATCACAGTTCATCCGGTATTCATTGTCCGACAAACTAATGTACGAGCTAACAATGCCTGCAATCGAGATATTTTCCCAGACAATGGTGTTTGTCGACATACAATTTGGAATACTGCTCATTGGCGGCAAGGACAATAACCATCGGTACTCAATCCAAGACAATCAATGGACCAAATTGGAGGACAATGATTATGATGTTAGATCGTATTATGGAGCATGTTTGATCAGTAACTCGTTAGAGTGAGATGAGATGAGATTTGATGTATCCAATGATAATAAACTTTACTTCATTAGTTAGTTAAACTCAATATCTTGAGTTGTTTGTGTCTGAACTAATCAAAGGACTTCCAGACGAAACTTCATCCAGACGTATCGAATCAAAGTGTGAATACGAGTAGACCACAAGAAAAAAAGACGAAGAAAGTCAGATGGGTGAACACTTTAGCTTTGAGCAATCTTTACATCCCATCCAACCATTATAATACAGATACAGATACAAATACATGTTCAACTATAGAGCGATAAGGCTATCTACTACTTTACAACTTTGCTCATTCAGATACAACAGCAACATCAACTTTAAAAGATATTTAACTACTTCTGCACATTCATTCAATCATACTCCAACTCCAACTCCACATCCTGCCTCATTCAACAAGTATACAAACACCATTATCAACAACTATAACAACATGATAAACATTGCAGCATCAACGACGACTGCAACGATAACTAAAACAGAGCAACTGGATGCAGTGACAGAACATTATAAACCAAAGGCAACGATTGTTAGCTCGGACAATGTTGACAATATCAAGAGGGCAGCAGAGAAGATACGCAATGGAGGTCTGGTGGGATTCCCCACAGAGACTGTATATGGTCTAGGCGCCAATGCATTCGATAAAGATGCCGTACTTTCAATCTTCACGGCAAAGGGACGACCTTTGACCGATCCCGTCATCGTACACGTCGTCAATGCAGAGTTTGCCGCGACGTTGCTCGAACTGAGTCCGCGCCAGCGACAGATATTCGACAGATTGGCCACCACCTTTTGGCCCGGTGCACTCACCATTGTGGCTAAGGCATCGAGTCTTATCCCAATGATCGTCACTGCACAGACTGGCTTCGTTGGCGTTCGTTATCCAATGCACGACGTGGCTGCATCACTTATCAAAGAGGCCGGCGTGCCCATTGCAGCACCAAGCGCCAATCGATTTGGCCACGTGAGCCCAACGTCGGCCATGCACGTGTTTGACGACCTTGGCCAGTCAGACATCACAATCCTCGACACAGACATCCAATGCAAGATTGGCATTGAGTCGACCGTTCTCAAGCTGGTCGACGACGAGAACCTGGTCATTCTGCGAAAGGGTGGCGTATCGGAGCGTGCCATCAAGAGCGCATTGTCATGCGATCAATTCCAATCCATCAGCATCACGTCGGTCAGCAGAGAAGTGTCCAACACGACGACACAGGGCCAGGAGGCACCAGGCCAGCTTCTCACACACTATGCACCAGACATCCAAGCCTACATCCTCACCGACATCTTTACATCAACCTCATCATCACAGCAAGACTCCTCCCCATGCGCCACATCCATTCCTCTATCTCAATGCGTTTACATCGACTTTGGCAAGAACCTAATGGACTGTGGAAGCATCTACAACTCAAACAACAATGATATCAAGACCAACAGCGACAGTAGTAGTAGTGGTAGTAGTAGTAGTAGTAGCAGTGACACTAGTATAGTATCCAAGTTTATAGCATACAGAGACTTGTCACCAAACAGTACAATGTTGGAGGCAGCCAACTGTTTGTTTTCGACATTGCGCTGGAGTGAGTCTATAGATGGTGCCAAGGTGATTCTGTTGCCAGACCTCCGTGCCGACAAGCTCAAATCGTTGGATAACATCGATGCCGTATTCGACAGGATATACAGAGCTGCCAGCGGCAAGACAGCACAGCTAGACCTGGTCAACCAGCGAGTGTTAATAAACTAATTATAGTAATAGTCTAACATTGATTGAGTCCACGACCTTATTCAGCTCGCTGCCAATCGTGTGACTTGGTATCTTATTCAGTGGCGTGTTGGGAAATGGTCATGACGGCCACGCCAGCGGAGAGGGGATCGATCTCTACGCTTTTTGGAACTTGCGAGTTTGGTGCTAGAGTTGTTGATGAGCCAACTACGACGACAGGACTGGCTACTGATATGGCCACAGGTGGTGTACTGGGATGTGGTGACAATGTTGCCGATGGTGGAGTTTTGACAATGACCTCTTCCTCCTCTTCGTCGCCATCAGACTGCCTCAGTCGCTTATCTTGATAAACGGAGAATATCTGTGTCTTGGTGAACTGCAGTATCCAATCTTGCTCCTCCTCATTCTCATACTCCACAGAGGCAAAGCTCTCGGGTATAAAGACGGACACGTGCTTGAGTTGGGAGACGTCGCGAATGCAATGCACCGAGAAGTTCTCAAACAGACGGTTAAGATGCAGACGGATGGTCTCGGTGAATGTGGACAAGAAGGCCTCCTGCACCTCGTTGGCGTAGTAGTTCAGTGACTTTTTGTTCTCCAGCGAGTTCTTAATGTCGCGCTGATGCTCGATGATCTTGTTGCCAAGCTCCTTCCACTTGGGGAACAGTATGATGGGTGGCATCTTGGTCTGTATCTTATTCTGGTCAATGTCAATTAGGAGCAAATCGCTGAGGTCAACGTCTGCCGCTGGCATTGTGATCATTCCAATGATGAATGGCACTGGTGCATTGATTACATCCTGCAACGAATCAGGTATGATTGGCAACAGTACTGATTGATATACAAATGGTTTCAACAGTGATACCATGGAGAATCTGGATTGATTGACGAGTGAGTTAGTGAGTGAGCGAGGGTGGAGGCAGGATGCTCCCATGGACTCCAAACTTACATCACGGATGTTAGGTTCTTGAGTGACTTGGAGTAGAAGATGATCTTTTTCTCGAGAAGCATAGCATTGAGAATAATGAGGATGGTCTTGTGAGTGAGTAGTTGGAGTGTGACAAAGAGTCCGTATTCAATGAGGAAGTCGGGATAGTCTGACGTGACATCTGCCTTGGCATCAGTGAGTGTGCCTCGTCTGAATTGAATGGTCGTCTCCAAGAATGGCACTTCATACCGCAGTGTCTCTCCAGGCATTGGTACATTCTGATAGTAGAAGTATTCAATGACCTCCTTGATTGGCTGTGGCCTCACTGGTGGAGGAGGTGATCCAGGGCTAGTTGGGTCCGGTGTGATTGTGATCTGAACTGTTGGTTGTTGAGTCGATGACTGTGATGGTTGGACAGGAGTGGAAGTGGGCACATCTACATGAGGGGAAGGCGATGGTGATTGAGAGGGAGTTGGTGATGTTGGACGCGGGGAAGTTGATCCACTAATGGCAGGATTCTTCTTGAATCGTCGGTTGAGGTTCGCTTGGAACTGATCGAGATGTTGGATATGCAGGATGTTCAGGACACTGTTGAGTATGTTGAAGTGCAATGGGAAGAATGGATACTTGGTGAGTACAATGTAGCACTTTGGTGCCACCTGTATCTTATCACCAACATCAATCGAAGGTGACAATATATCCTCATCATTAACATCGATTGAATCCGGTGTATTCCTATCAACAGCAGACTGCTTCATCGTGCACACTCCATAAAGTACATCCTTCTTCTCATCAGTGAGCATGAATACTATTGATTGTTTGAATGATTAGTGATGCTGCCTCCATCTCACTCACAACATCATTGAGGCACCTTACTTACCAAACGAATCCTCTGCCTCCTTTAGGTGTGTCTGTGTGTAGAGTAGAGAGAAGAGGTTGGAGTGTGATGCTGTCTGTGATTGAGTGGTGATGGGCACGCCAGAGGGGAAGGGGAAGTCCTGGACATTGATTGATCCAAGTGGCTTGTCAGGTGGGTATTGATATAGTACTTTAGGCTTCTCAAACACTGGACGTGTTGGTCGCGGTGATGTACTGCCCGAGTGCATCAAAGGTGGTTTACTAAATGATGACAAGAATGATGGTGATGCCGCTCTAGGTGATGGTGCAGGTGGAGTATCCGGTGCAGCATTTGGTACATGTAATGTATTGTTACTATTGTTACTATTGTTGTTGCTGCTGCTGTTGTTGTTGCCGTTGCCACCACCTCCGTTACCAACAAAAGGTGATAAAGGCGGAGATGTCTGTTTGGCTTCAGTACCAACTACCAAGAACCATTCAAATAGATGAGGCTTCTCCATTATTGTTGATGGTCTTCTACTGTGTAGTGATCGACTCAGACGTTCCTCATTGGTCATCTGCTCAACATTAAGAGTAATGTCCAGCCTCTTTCTTCCTGAAGGTGTTCTCTTGTGTGACTTTGTAAACATGTCTATTTCACCTAGATACAACAAACAACAAATATTATTATTTATATATATGAGTGTGATGTGATTGATTGATTGATTGATTGATGTGATTGATTTTGATTGAAGTCTTTAAACTCTTTCGTTATTAATAATAAAAAGAAGAATGTGGATGTTGCGTTAACTGAAATGATTGTGGATCTGAACATTACCCACTCCACAACCATCCAACAACTTTTCAAACTTCCATTATCCTTTTTTGGACCAACAACACAAACCTATTATCTGTACTCGCATTATTGCCATCAACCAAATATTAATAATAATTATAAGAATAAGAGTAATAATAATATATGACTCAGGAACAAAGGACATTATATATATTCATTCATTTCTGCTAAAGGTAAGAAATGATCAAGCCAAGTTCTCTTCTTTGAGTTGCTGTTTATCTCAAGATAGACCATTTATTCGTCTTTAACACTCATCGACGTATACTATTATTTGATTGAAAACTAGTTTGTATGATTGGATAGTTGGGTAATGTATCACACACGTAAATTAATACAATCAGCTTGCCCAAGAGTCAGCATGATGGTCATGACAATGACGTCAGTAGATGCTGTTGATGTAGGATTGATTGATTGATTGTGAGGTTCTGTTGACGATTGCAACGTGGCTGTCATCACTCTCACCAGAGACATGATAATGATCATGCGCCAAGTACAAACGGCGATTGGCTATTTTTGAATCAAAAAAGTCGCGCTGTGTGGTCTGGTCAGCTCGGCACGTCTTCACTGGCTTGTTTGACCACACACACCTTTTGTGAGCCAACCGTCTCACAAACCCTATCTACTTCTAACTGTGTAACGTGTTGACCATGTACATTTCAGTTTCCGGTCATTGGTTGGACTTGCTTGACCTAGCCTAGCAAGGACCATTCAGTCAGTCAGTCAGCAAGTCAAAAAATAATAATAATTTAGATCTTTTTACTATTCATTGTGTACATAAATATCTATATATCTATATCTATATATCCTTCAACATACTCTAATATATTTATATATATGTTTGTAATAATATCTAAACACAATATATAATATATTTATATACACACACAAGAAAGAAAGAAAGAAAGATATATAATGAGTTGGTTTGACAATCGCAGGACAGTGTTCACTTTGTTGACCTTGTTGATATTGGTGGTCGTGTTCAATACGGTCAGCTGGCTGTATAATAATCAAATGTCTTTGGTGACTGTGGCCGAGGAGAAGGACGCCAAACAGGCCAAGGAGTCAGAGTTGGTCTTGGCAAAGATACGTGAGCTTGAGGATCTTGTACGCCACTTGACCCCGCCACCTTTGGTCAGCACCGCCTTCTCGACGACCCCACCTTCCCAGCTGACCGAGGACGACATTAAGCAATTGGCACGCGAGCGACTACAGGGTCGTCTCGACCCATTCGACCCCAAAGTCGTTTTGACCGACAAGGACATGCTCACATACTTTATCGACTACTTTAACGAGCATAGCGAGGTTCTAAACAAGAACAAGTTCAAGCTGGCAGACAACCACATCCCAATCGTAATCAGAGTGTTCAACAAGCCTCAGTACTTCAAGGTCGTCCTCGAGTTCTACAAGCGTCTGCCAAGGATCAGCGAGACCATGTTGATCATCTCACACGACGGCATCTTCAAGGACATGTTTGACCTCGTCTCTGCCATTGACTTTTGTCAGGTATGTGTGTCCCAGCTTCGCGACAGTCCACATCGATGTCCATACAGATGCACCAGAAGAAGCAAGACAACTGACAACCATCCTCCACCTCACTTTAGGTCAAGCAAATTATACATCCATATTCATCACAAGTATTATCGAATAGATTCCCAGGCAAGTTGCCAATTAAGGAGGAGGCCGACCCTAATCATCCAAGGGACAATAATGTTACACCATTGAAGCATCATTATTGGTGGCATTTGAACTACATTTGGGAAGCCCTGTTGAAGAACCACCAGGGAGACATTTGTTTGATGGAGGAGGACCACCTGCCACTGCAAGACTTCTATCAGACTCTGACGGCGGTGCGCGATATCCGTAACAAGGACTGTCCAGAGTGCTGGAGTGTCCAGTTGGAGGGCTCGCAGCTTGGGGGCCAGGAGAATCACATGCTCGGCATGTCGGACAACATTGGCAACATGGGTGTAACGTTTGACAGGAAGCACTGGAACATGCTCAAGGGTGCCGCCAAGGAGTTCTGCGAGTTCAACGACTACAACTGGGACTGGACGATGCAAAGGATGAAGAACTTGGGCAAGATTGGAGACAAGTTCATGTTCACAAGACTTGCAAGAATTGTGCATATCGGCACGTGCGGCGTCCATCTAAAGGGCGCCGTGTGCGAGGTCACTCCAGACGAGCGTCGCGACTACGAGCAAAGGTTCGACAACAGCAAGAACAATGGCGACTGGAGCAAATACGACATCAACACTGGCTTGATCCATGGATATCCCCAAAAGAATGCCCCAGGCTTTGGTTCATGGGACACAGCCGACAGGCAGCACTGTTTGAAAATATCCTATTAAAGAATTAGTAAATAACAATCACACATTACAATTAGTTTGATTGATTGATTGATAGATTGACTGATTGGTTGATTGGTTGATTGGTTGATTTGTTGATTGGTTTGGGATCATAACACGTGTCTCCAACATTCTTATCTCACAAATGAGGGATCTATTGAGCAATGAGGAAGGGATGTGAATGAGATATTATTATTGATTCTTTGATTGATTGTTAGGTTGATAGATTGACGATAGAAGGTTGCTAGAAAATAAATATTCTTAAATAAATAAATATTGCAGATGCAGGTGATGGATTAAGAAGGACCTGGGTATGTTCAGTAGCAGTCTTGCTGAGGAGCAAGATGTTGGCTGGTAGGTGACATCTGGGTCAATGAAGGACAAGTTAGTTGGAGACAACGAGGTTCTAATTTAAGTTGGTGTGTCCCACATTTGAAAGTACTAATAATCATAAGAACTAATTCTAATAACCTTTTTGGAACTATTAGTTAAGTTTAGTGAGTTGATAGACACAGGTGACATAATAGATTATTGGGTATTGGTTTTAAATTATAGGTAATCTTAAGTACCTATAAGATTAGAAATCATAATCTTTCCTAAACACTAGAAATATTTACCATTAATTATAATAAATTAAAATATATAAATATCTTACATGACCGTCCTTGAAGAAGATAAGAATGAAATTCGTCCTCGTAAATTATATTACAAGTGCTGGGTATGCTATCGTTATGTACCGGATGGGACCAAATGCCAGAACAAAAAGTTTGTTATGCCTTTATTCCTTGCTATTATTCTAGCAATCCCAACTGTAGGATTCTCAGTTTTTGTTAATTGGGTAGGAAATAGAGAGAATAAGATGCATGGATTCACTTGAAAAGAATATTTATTAAGGTAAAGGTTCGATAAGATTAAAGCAATTATCAGTCATTTTCCAACTAAATTAATTTATCAAATTTTATAGGTATCCTTTGATTAGTTAATTAATAGAAATAATAAATATTAGAAACAATTTCCTATTTTAAGTTATATTATCCTCTAACAAAGATGAAGAAGCAAGAGATTAAATGGTCTAGAGGGACCAGTCCGTAGCTCAGAGGTCCAGTCGATGAAGAGTATCGAACTTCCCTCTTAAAAGTGTAGAGGGTTTATTGATATGATTGATTGTTTGTCGTGTTTGTGGGTTATATACAATTTGAAGGAATTGCCATCTTAGATAGAGTGGAACACTATCTATTATTTAAGTACTACATGTATCCATATCGCAACCTCACTTGGAAGGAGTGTTGAAGTGTTTAGGGGGTGTTTGATATATGAAGGTCGGGAGACTCAATAACAATAACCCTGAGGAAGAACCAGAAAATGACAAGACAGCAGGGACACTGTCGGTACCACTTCTAACTTAATGCATTTTAATTAAGGTGGGAAGTTTGATTGATTGATTGGTAATTAGAGCTATGTTGGAGTGATTCCTCTTTCCTGGTTGAGTGTATTTGCTTGACCATCTAGACAACGAATAGAGTGGGGTTGAATGGATGATTGATCATTTCCATTTATGCTACCTACTTTAATTGATAAATGTCAATTGTTTGTATATAATGGTCCATAGGGTTAAGAAATTCTGGAGGTCATAGGAGAAACTTATTTAAGGACTGAACATTGTATATTCCATTGTTATCACTACTTAGATTTAAATTATAACTACAATATTATTAATTCATTCGAACTAACTATTTAATACCTTATTTATCCAATATGTTATCTACATTTTTGAACACTGATTCCTGATCTGCCAATCCAATTGCTATCTCTGTTCTAATGAGTAAGTATTGAATTCAATATAGAGTTTTATTTATTCTAACAATCTCTTAATAATAAGCATTTCAAGTTCTATTGAGATGTGTCGCTCTGTCCTACTTCTATTTTAATATCGATATGGATCTATCTGATCGTGCCAGGACCTATTTCAAGATTGTGTGTTATCTCACTTATAGGCATCATATCAACCATCATATGTACCGTTCTTCAATATTGTGTTAGCTTTAATGTAACAGGAATACAATTGGACAAGGTTTTATGTACAATGCAATATATATTTTTGATTTTGATTGATATATCCTMTCCTCTCTCTCTTCTGTTGTCCTTGGATTCAAACAAAGGAGAAACAATCCCCCACAATAAACCTATCTCCACAACTTCTCTCATCATCTTCACCAAAGTCTCTTGGTGGGAGGGTACTCGTCCAGCATCTTCTTTTGGTGCGCCTTCTCCTCGGGTGTCAATGTATAGTTTGCAATGTCCTTGCTGTGTGCTGACATCTCATGGTCGGCAATCAAGGTAGACCAACTTGACAAATTTAATGTAACATACCTTGTCATTTGTCTAACTATTTTTCCTAAATCTTGATCTAGTTTGGAGTATTAAAGAACCAGTAATAGACAATTAGAGAATTCATGCAAAGTAATCCATTACATTTATTGATCCTGTTTATCCATCATTACTTCAGATGATATTGTTGTTGATGATGTGGTTGGTTCTGATGGTGTTGGCTTCACTCGCTTCATATGATGGTCGATTTGTTTGTCAATGTCGTTGTCATTGTCGTTGTCATTGTCGTTGTCGTTGTCATGATCGCTATTGTTAATGTTGTTGTTGTTTTCATCAATTGTACAATGTTCGTCGGCGTTGATGTTGTCGGATGATGTTGTTGGGTGTAGATTGTCACAAGTATTACTCAGGTGATTGTTAATGTTGATTATGCCTCCACCATTGTTTGATTGACTGTCATCGTCGTCACATCCATACTTTCGCTTTGGTGTTCCCTTCCTTTCAGTCTCATTGCTCTTATTGTCATCTGTTGTTGTTGTTTGGTTGTTGTCGTCTGGTTGTTGAGGCTGATCATCTACTTTCAGCTCGTCCTGCTGTTGAGTATGTTCTATACTATCCTCCTCCTCCTCCTCCACATCAGAAGTTGATCCATTTGGTATGATTGCTGCCGGCTTTTGTTGTACCAACACATCATTGACAATAATATCATCCTCGATGTCCTCTTCGTCATCATCATCATCGTCGTCATAGTCCACTATCCTTGCATTTCCATTGAGTATATGCTTGTTGTTGTTGTTGTTGTTGACATTGTTATTGGTATTGATGATGCCAGTGCCAGTGCCACTGATCAGATAATCATCCTTGTTGTGTGATAGTGTCTTGTTGTCAATATATGCAATGTGAATGTTATCATCAGAGTCGTCCGAGTCATCGTCGCGATTGAAATATGCCTCCTCATCTGCATCCAACTCCCTCGTGTTCCTAAGTGAGTGATAATGACTGTGTTTATGTGATCGCTGAGTTAGTATCATGATTGATTGATTGAATGATTCGTTAAACAGTCATACCTTCCTGATGAGAATGCAGCCTCTGAGCTATCATAGGAATCCTTGATCTGTTCGTACTTGAGGATCATGTGCTTGAGGACATCGGTGTAGGTGATTGGCTCAAAGAGTGGTCGATAGCGATCGACCAGGTAGACGACCAACTGCTTGATGTTCTCCTTGTAGATGAACTGAAACAGCTCGATGACTGCCGAGTTGATGAGGTTGTAGCGATCAAGGTTCTGACGGAAGGCCGCGATGATCGGGTCAAACAGATGCTCCTTGACGATGAAGTTGTTGTACAGATCGTCCTTCATGCTGACCAGACACCGGAAGAATCGGATGGCGCCCAGCACCAGGTAGCGCTCGGTGCTCGACGTCAATCGCAAGATTGTCTGGGCAATGTTCTCCTGGATGATGAAGTTCTTGATGCGGAACGAGTGGTGCTTTATACAGTATATAATAAGTTCGACTACATTGTACAATACAAACGACTCCAGGTTTGTGCTTGGATCACCTGGTATCATTGGACGGCATTCATCAATGCCATTGCTGTTGCTGTTGCTGTTGGTGATGCTGTTCTTTGACAATGGCGCAACCAACTCATAGATGCCTCGTTCATAGAACAGTCTAAAGAACTCGCTCATCTGATTGATTGATTGGTTGAGGTATGAGTGTCAGTCAGTCAATTCGCCACAGTGTTGGACCTGTCAGTATGTTTGATTATTACCTCGGCCAAGTCAGCCTCTATCAACACTTTGATAATCTCAACAATCTGATTCTTAACGCCAATGTCTGAATCATTGATGAATGCCACCAACAGTTGTGATAAGAATGTGCTGTTTGATACAATGTAGCTTCGTAGCATCTTGGTTTCATGTGACAATGTAGATAGTAGGACCTCAGTTCTAGATAACCAAGTAGTAATGTTAGTGGACATGGACTGGTTGGCGATGACTGACTGCATATCTGGACTCACGTTGATATTCTAGTTTGAGTGTTCTCGTCGTCGAGTGTAGTGGATAGTGTTTTGAAGAGGTCGAGCGATGCTAGTGTTTGAAAAAACTGTATCTTGCCTGGAGGCTGTAGACTCTTGGACAGTGTGCATAGCTCCTGAAGGAATAGCATCAGGTCTCTCCTCTCGGATGAGCCCCGTACACTCTGTTGTATCTGTGTGAATCTGGATTGATTGTTTGAAAGAGTGAGCGGATGAGTCCAAGGAAGGAGCAGCCCGGCCAGCCAGGCCAACCAACTAACCAAAAAACTTACATCTTTTGTAGAAATAATGTATCCTTCTGAATGTGTCCAACTATCTCTGAGTTGTTAAAGTATATAATGGAGTTCAATGTTGTAAAGGTGTAGTCATCCAACACCCTGGGCAGGACGACATCCTTGAGATATTGGATTCGAAATGTTTGGTGAATAGTTGATATCAGTGCATCCGTTGAGAACTTGACCACCTCCTTGAATATCACCTGTTGGCTCAAGAACTCCCTATGTTTGATCCTATTCTGATCTGCAATCTCTGGGTCATCTACATTATAAAGTATGAATGAGTATGAATGAGTATGTTTGATTGAATGATTGAATGAATAGGACTTACATTCCAGAACTCCCATGACCCTTAATAAGTACTCCTCCGCCAGTAACACTTCGAATATTGAAGAGTCATTGAATAGTATCAGATTCTTGAATATAGTGAACATCTGATGGAGGTTGTCAATGTCGCACTCCTTCTCCAAATCATCAAACATGCTCAGCAGTGCATTGAGATAATCCTAATGATTGTTTGATTGATTGAATGAATGAATGAGTGTCAGTCAATGCAATGTCATCAAGTCAAACGAATGATAACAACTTACATCTTTGAGTATAGTAGCCACAATCTTCTCGCGATATGCTTGTGGAAGAGTGGGATCAATCGTCTCCCTGATGGCAGTGATGTTGTCAACGGTGGGCTCGGGTATGTCGATGAGCTCGACATCGGAGGAGTCCTTGCGCTGATGTGTGCTGATGAACTCCCACACGTCCTGACAGCCGGCCGAGTCCTGGAAGCTGAGCGCCAGGTCTTGGTTGGTGTTGGGCTCGGTCCAGACGATGAGCGTGTCCTGCTGACGCTGATAGATGTCCAGACTATAGACCCTGGACTCGAGAATCGACGACCCGTCCTCCTCAGACTTGACAAAGATGCAGTGTGCAGCCAATGAGTCGAGAAAGGTGCATGACACGAATCCCGTGCCCCTGTCCTCCCACTTGCCATTGATATCGAGCTGATAGACCTTGACTCTCTTCCTAACGTCTGTCGTCTGTGTTGCCATCATATTTCCTGCTTTGTATATTTGTCAGCTCGCGCTTTGACGACGCGTCCTCTGGTTGTCAAGAACGCGTCACCACAGTCGAGAGTGAGTGCGTGCGTGTGTCTTTGGTCTGTCCTTCTTGACCTATCCCTTCTAACTTGTTTGTTTGTTTGTTTGTTCGTGTTGTCTTGTCGTATATGCTAACAACTGAACAGTGGGCAGGCAAGTAGTGTTGAGATGAACAAGCCGGTGTTGGCAACCAATATCCAAGAGTCAAGTGTCGTGTGAATATATGTCTACAGGAGTTGTCCTACTGTTACTACACTCTGAACTGTTTGTTTGTTATTGTTGTATGAGTAAGTGAGTGAATATATATAAATATATATTTGTTGTCAGAGTGAGTGAGTGAGGTGTGGGAATGAATGATAATGAATGAATGTGTTGGGTCATGTAATGAACATTGTGTATCCTTTCAAAAGGGAGTTGTTTTTTTCTTTTTTTTTATTTATTACAGTTCAAATCTATGCTGTTCAATAATCAGCAAAGGATCAGCTTTGACCATCAATGCAATCATCTGACATCTAATCGTTTTGTGTAGAACGGAACCAAAGTATGATGATATATAAACTTACTCTAATGTTGAGGCGCTTGGGAGATGTAGACAAATTCATATTAACCTTCATTCGTGGCAGATGACGCCGGCGTGGATATACTCCTAATGATGTCCGACCTGCTTGGAGATGATCAACCATATTCCTTTCTTTTGGTTCAAAAAGTTCTATTCTTTATTTAGTACCTGTAGTGAACAAGCCATGATCAACTAGTTGTGCAGGGTATCACTAGGAACCAGCACATAAGGAGATGAATTGATTGATCTGATCAGCCAATAGTAAATAAATTCAAAATCAGTCATGCGTCAATCAAATGATCAATGGTTAATATAACATGTTCCAAAGGATACCCTGGACTCGACAGGGTCGTTGTCTTCAAGTGGTATCCATATTCTTTCCAATCGTCCTCCATATTCTTTCCAATCGTCCTCCTCAGACATCGCTGAAGTGTTGGACGATTGAGTATGCCAACCAGAGCATCACACTTATTCTTCCACAACAAGAGGATCATTGTTGTTGGTGGCTATGTTGATATTGAATGTGAGGTCTTACTCACTGTCATGTTAGAGTTCCATAAAGGCAAAACATTGGTCCACAAATGACCCCAACCCCACTCTGGCGCCACATACAACAAGCTGACTGCACTGCTCAGATCTATTAATGCTCAGATCATTCATGTGCAAAAGTTTGATCGCGCGTGTCGCCAGAGAAGATGAGAGACACACGTGCTTCTTGAGGCAGAAGGAACTTGAGGATTGGAATGGTCTTGGTCAAGATGTTGGTCATTTGGCCCTGGAAAAGCTGATACTTCAAACTCTTCGTGACAAAACTTCCATTGATGCTTATTCTCCCTCAAATATCTTGTCGCCTTTGAGAGGTGTCCGCCAATCACCACCGGCCCAATGTCCAACCATTTCTCTCTGCCAACCGACTGAATCCCTGTGGATCGTATCACGCAGTCCCTCCACGGATACAACAGGGGATACCAGTTCAGCTCCACTCTTCCATTCCCATCCCTCGCCGTAGCGACCTCCAACTCAACTCTTCACGTTCAACTTCAATAAACTAACCATTAACCAGTCCTCAGGCCAAGTACCGACATTGCCAATACATACGTAGTGATGTATTCTCCTGTCATAGCAAGTGCAATTAGAAAATGGAGTACAGGTTGGCTTCCTGGCAGCCTTAGGACTTATATTTGATGAAGGTTGGCTGGCTAATATTAATAATCGGATTTCTCTTGCCTGAGCTCTTGATAGTGCACCTCTTCGACGAAGCCGCGGTAGAGTAACATGTCTTTGCTGTTGTGGCACAGTGGGCATTGCTCTCGGCATGGTAGTTCATCGAGATAGCTCATCGCAGCCTGACTGGGGCCCTCGCTTGAGTATGCCAATGACCGCAGTACGCAGCCTTCGGTGCGATTTTCGTGGAGGAACTTGACAACGTCCAAGCAACCGCTTCGCGCGGCAAAGGCCATGGCGTCGGCTGAGCATCCCTCGGTGCGATTTGTGTGAAGGAACTCCAACACTGCCATGTGGCCGTTTGCTGCCGCCATATCCATTGCAGCCTTGGTGCAGCCTTCAGTGCGACAGTGATGCAGGAAGAGAACGACCTCCAACTGGCCGTCGGCTGCTGCATGACCCATCGTGTACTCGTCGAAGAGCATGGTCGCGCCAACTTGGTTCAAGGCGTGCAGGTACTTGAGCACCTTCATCTGTCCGGCACGAGCTGCGTGATATCCGGCAGTCTCTATGACATACTGTGGCCTGGTCCGAATGAAGTGTTCAATGAGAGCGATATTACCATTGGCAGCAGCTTTTTGCACAGTTTCCAATTGTTCGAACTGGAACTGTGAATCAATAGAGGGGATGTTGAGGGAGTTGTCCATTATTCCTTGTTTGCAGTTTGTGCTCTATAGGTTGGTTGTTAAAAGTTAATCCAATCCTACTTGTAGTGAAGTTTGTGAAAACATTGATTTGATTCGAGCCTCCATCCTCCATCCTCATCCTTTTGTTAGAAGAATGAAGAATGTAACTTGTAACGTTTCCCACCTTAATTTTTCTAAGCAATAGCAAGTTACAAGGTGGGTGCTCTATTCTATTCGCACACAATCTCCTTGACACTCAACAAGTAAGCTGTTGGTAGGGTACACCACTCGACACGTTGGTTGGCTGGTAGGTTTGCTCGATGGAAGATATACAACACGACTAACAGGTTGGCTCGCAGATCGATTAGTGAATCCACTACTTTGAGTGTCAATGTTGAAACAATCAATTCGGTCCAATAGTTCGTCATTGTGGAATCCACCGACCAAATAGATGAGACTGTCACCATCGAAGCATGTTGATATGCTCGCACCTCCATCGACACCGATGATCTCAAGGTCATTGTGCCACTTTTGATCGATGAGTGAGAAGCGAGAGTTGGCTGATCCCTCACCTCCAAACACATAGACACTATCTCGTGCATACACAACTGATCTGAATATGCGCTCTCTTGGTGTGCACTTGTCATCGATCACAGTCCACTCACCAGTGTCCAATGAGAGCATCGAACATGAGTCCTTCCACAGTGAGAAGATGTGATTCCTGAAGCCATGATCAATCATTGTTGGTTCTTCATGATAAGAATATTTATCAATCTGCTCCTTGATGCCTCTCTCCAATAAGTATGAATTAGAATTTAGTCGTATTGTTATGTCGAAATAATGATCAGTCTGAGTGGCTTGTGATCCTCTTCGAACAAAGTCCAACAGTTGATCATCTCCAAACGTGACACCATCGTCGAATGGATTGAACTGCTTGTCGATGAATTGATCCATTGACTTTGATGTTTGAATCGATTGAACCAACTGATTCATCCTGTCATCTACATCGCCAACGCTACCTTCACCATCGTTCACATTGTTGTTATGGGTAGCGCGTGCAGTGAGATTGCCAATCTCACTGATGATGTTGTTGATTGATGTTGTTGTCCTGTCGAGCTCTTCATCGAGTTTCTCCTTGGCTCTCCGCTCCTCCCTCATGAGTATCTCATGCAACTCTCTGAACTGATTGGCGACACGTTTGTGTGAGATCTGCATGCGGTGTCGTAGGACCATGCCAATTTTCGCAATTTGTCCCAGAGGTCGTCAATGCGAGTGTCAACTTCTTTATCCTCTTGTCACTGGTGAACTGTGTCTTCAAGATGTGGACATGTTCAACATCATGTTTAATATGTTGAGTGGTAGTCAGACAGACTGTGCAGATTACCTCATTGCAATCATAACACATAATCCTTGGTTTCTTATTGTGTATCAAACATCTTAATGTATCATCATTGTTCTCATCATTCTTCCTCTTTTTGTTACCATTATCTACAACGTCACTATCTTTATCTTTATCTTTAACTTTATCTTTATCTTTATCTTTATCTCTAACGTAATTAATTGAAAGGGACAAATGAATGAATTAAAAGGATAACTTTGACTTTGACCATGCCCTTTCCCTTGCGCTCACCCTACCCCCTACCCTCGCCCTTACCCTCACCCTGACTCTTGAAGGCATCTTGTTCCATCTGGATAGTGATAACAATAGGTTAACCATTGAGGTGTACAGGTCAATATAATTCATTGCCTGGCTCCTCGTTGTTCAGTGGGTTGGAGCTCATGCCACTGATCTTGTTGTTGGTCGATTGCTTCCAGTAGTCGTATCCCTTCCTGCCTCCAAAGATCATGATGGCCAGCGCCACGGCAGCAGCCACGACAAAACCGGTAATGACACCGGTCGAGATGATGGCAGCCTTGTTGCAGCCGAATGGCAGAGGTGAGTAGTCGTGGAACTCGCATTTCTGGGACTCGAGGTGCACACGCCGTACTGGCAGTCGGTGCTGTTGGCGCAGTTCATTGGTGTGTTGGAACAGAAGGTCTTCCAGTTGTTTCTGGTAATGCCTGGTGTGTTGGCGGCGGGACAATTGTCGATGGTACATCTCGGACACACTCCTAATGATGTACGACGACTTCTAAATATCAGCTGTAGTGTTACAGCTCAATGTAGGTGGTCGACTTGCTTGGAGTTGAAGTTGTGTCGGACTGTCGTACTCGAGCTGGTGTCTTCAATCTTATGTTGTTGCTAATGGTCGGAGGTGACATCGTTGGCCTTGAAGGTGTTGTTGGAACAGGAGAGGTTGTCGTCGCAGTAGCAGTAGAAGTAGATGTTGTTGTTGTTGTTGTTGCAGTGGGAGGAGTAGCTCCACGAGTCATCAATGGCATTATGATACTTGGTTGATCACGGAAATCAGATAGAGTGTCTTCGGGGAAGTGAGATGATATTATAAGATCACGTTGTAGATCCAAACTATTGATTAAGTAATTGCGTAACGATGGGAATATAGTGGCCAACGTCTTTAAATGAGGTAATTGTTGCAAGTGTTCATAATGTCTTTGTATATCCTCCAACAATGCATTGATATTATCAGAGTAGATTTGATTGTTTACTTGTTGCTGTTGCTGTTGTTGTTCCTGTGATGAACTATCTAATATAACAACATCCACATCATCAATAATATTATTAGTATTCATAATATAATGTATATTGTGCAACGTAGTTGTATCTCTATCTCAATTCATTGTGTTTGAAGATTAGACTTTGAGAGATGATTAGCTCTCTTTTGACTTCAACAACAAAAACATTTACAAGTTATTACTTTGTTGTGTGAATACATCAGCAACAACAACAACATATACATCACAAATATAGATAGATAGACATATATAGATAGATAGACATATAGATAGAGATGGCTGTTAGAGAGATAGATACAATCTCTTTTGTTATGGGATCATTGGTCATGGTCATTGGAGTGATCATTCCATTATCATTCATGATTTACAAGAATAAGAAGGTGTTCTCAACTATCAAGACTTCAAAGCAATGATGCTCATTCGTTCTTTCAATCAATCAATCATTCGATCATTCAATCAATCAGTCAATCAAGAAGGACATGGCATTGAACAAACCTCAACCATGGATTAGATACATAGACATCATCAGTTTCACAAGGGAATGCATTTCATTGGGCATCCCATTCAATCAATCAATCAATCAATCAATACACATGATGTCGATGATGACTCGACTACACTTTGTTACAATAGTACTCTAGGAATGATGATATTGATGATGGATGATTGGGTTTATTAAAAGGAACACTACTACTTGCTAATGATCATCCAATAGAAGGACGATGATGAAGATGGATGGACACTAGCATAGTGATCGCTAGGTGAGAAGACGTAATACTAATGATATTAATTGTTGACCTGCATCTCGTTGTCAACCTTTCTCTTCTTGCCGCCACCGCAGCATGAGAAAGCCTTGGACACCTTGCTGAGGAACTTGGAACGCATCTGCAACCAAGAGATGACGTAGGTGGCAATGCAGCAGACCAGGGCCAGTGCCTGGAGAATGCAGACGACCAACTCTCCGGCAATCGATGGCTCCTTCAAGTGCGACAGGCAGACGCCAACAGACACGATGTTGATCACACCGAGGATGTACTCGAGCCACAGATGGTAGTGGTCAAAGTATGGCTTGCGGATGAACAGCAGCACGCAGTACAGCAGCTGGACGAGGGCAATGACGATGCACTGGGCGATGGGCACGGCGCGGTCGTTGCCGGCCAGGGGGTAGGCGGGCTCGATGTTGAAAGCCAGGATACCGATGATCATGGCCATGATGAAACGCTTGAGGTAGGCGAACATGACGAAGCGCTGGTCGGTCTTGGGCTTGAACGAGACGTACAGGCAACCAAACTGCTGCTTGAAGGTTGGGTTGTGGAGACGGCTCTCGGGCACCTTGAGGAAGTAGAATATGGCGGCGGGGAAACCAATGCCGTACAGGATGATTATAATCACACCTGGCACGATGGTCTTGGCGGCCAGAGGCTTGACGACGATTGCGAACGCGGCAGCACTGATGACACCAATGTAGGAGAACTGGAGGATACGGATGGTGCAGTGGATCAAACGGTTGCGGATAACCTCGCGCCAGTGGACCAAGCTCTCGATGAAGCCAAGGATGAGGAAGACGATAAGGAGTGGCACGATGAAGGCGGCGGCGAGGATGGCGAACCAGAAAAGGATGTTGGCCAAGTTGTAGGTGGAGCCCGACTCGAGGATGTTGTTGTACTGGGCGTAGGTGAGCAAGCTACGGGTGGACTGCTCGGTGACGTCGTACATGTTGCGGTCGGGGAAGTAGCCGGCGGGCATGGCGTCGCGGATCGACTGAGGGAATGGGATGCCCAAGTTGGTCCAGTCGAGGTACTCGGTGAAGTTGAGGAAGCGGGATGGGAACACGACGCCCATGTGCGAGATGAGCGAGATGAACTGGAACTGATCCATGAGTGCCCAGGCCTTGGCTGAGCGCTGGTCGTGCCACCAGAGGATCGAGGCGTCCTCGTGACTGGCCTTGGGGTAGGTACCGGTGCGGAACTCAATCGAGTAGTTCTTGGCGCGCTCAATGTCCATTGGGATGGCAGAGAACATATCGATCAGGAACAAGATGGAGATGAGGGCGATGAAGATGCAGGCAAGGATGACAACGCCAACCTCGACCTCCTCTTGGTAGAACCATTCGCGGCAGAAGCCATTAACTGGACCGTAACGGTTACCGGTCTGGCAGGTCTTGGTGGAGACACACCAACCACAGTAGGTGACGTCAATGCAGGATGTGCGGGTCTTGTAGGTGTCACACTTGGCGGCGGGGGCGGCGTACTGGCAGTACTCGCCGGCGTACTCGGCTGGGCAGCTGCATGTGTTGTTGGAGAGACCGTCGGTGCTGGCAACGCACAGACCACGACCACTGCAGTTCATGTAGCAACCGTACTCACTGCAGTCTGGCTTGGACATGTAGTATGGGCTGCACTGGCAGACACCGTTGCTGCACTGGCCATTGCCGCTGCAGTTGTTGAGTGCACCTGTGCACAGCTTGTCCTCACAGAAAGTTCCGTTGTAGTCAGCCTTGCAGTAGCAAACGCCCATCTTGCAGGCGCCTTGGCCGTTACAGTTGCTCTCGCATGGCGACTCGTAGGTGTTGACGATCAGCTCCTTGGAAGTGAACACGGTGAGGGTGTTCTCGGTGATGTTGATGGCCAGACCGATGGACAAACCGACGACTGGGACATCGCTGTAGAAGAACTGGACGGTGTTGGGGCGCTGACCCTGGTAGCCGATACCGGTGATGGCGAGACCGTTGGCGTCTCTGCCGACAAAGAACACTTGACCTTGGATATGGTCGTAGGTGGCCAGGTCACATCTTGACAAGTATGAGAGCTGGTGGGTTGAGTTGGACGTCATATTGTTGACGTTGGCGTAGGACAGGACGTCCATGTTGCAAACGAAATCAACACAGTAGCAAGTGAACAACAACTTGTTGTCTGGGTCAACTGTACCTGATTGTCTGTTCTTAACGGACTGGGTAGTGTAGGTACTACATTGTATTGATTGATAGATTGATTGATTGATTGTTAGTACTACGCGAGATAATAATGATTGATTGAATGAATGAATGAATAACATACGTGATGATACTGATGGTCTTCAAGTCGATGACGGCGATGCTTCCTACCTCATCTCCAATGAACAGCAATCCATTTGCAATGTCTGGTACACTGATGGAAGGAGAGTTAGTGATTGATTGATTGGCTGGCCATTCATGATGTATAAGTACTTACACAGCCCAACTGTCAGCATTGGAGAGAGCGCTGCCAATACTGAGGGTCTGGATGTTAAGGGTGAAGTTGTTGGTGTCAATGACAGCGCTGTCGGGTGTGGAGACAAAGTAGTTGACGTTCTTGTTGCCCTGGTCGATGACAAAGATGTTGGTGACGCCGCTGGTTGGGTTGGTGTAGGTGAAGGTGGCGATCGAGATGATGCCATTCTGATTGACGACAAGGTTGGCGTTGTTAGTCAGGTTGGCAACCAGCACCTTGTTGCCGGTGATCGAGTAAATCGTGTCCTGGACATTGGTGGAGGACCACTGGGAGATATCACCGCCATCCGCGGCGGTGTTGATGAGCCAGGAGGTGCCGTTAAATATTGAGCCAGAGACGGCGCTGGTGTCGCTGGTGATCGAGGTACTGTAGGTGTCGATGTAGCGGCCTGAGCTCAGGACAAAGCCCTTGGGCGCCTGGATACCAGTCTGGTACGACAGGATGGCCATCACATTAGGGTTGACGCCATACTCAAAGATCTTGGATTTGAAGTAGTTGGGGGATTGTGCCATTGACACAGTTGCCATTATCACCCATACCAGGGTGATTGAAACGACCAATTTAGTCGTCGTCATTATAAATTGTTTGTGTAATATATATATGTATTGCGCTTAATTAATTATTATTACTATTATTATGATGGAGTTGGAAGATGTTTTGATTGATTGATTGATTGATATACTATTCCTACAATATTCTAAAATATTAATAAGGATAATAATAAATTATTTGTTAGTTTATCTGTTTGATTGTGCTGTCATGTCGTCCAATGATGATCATCATCAGATCGACCAAGATATATCTAAAGATCTTAAATCTTAAAATAGATAGATACTTACATACAACAAAGACTTGTTTGTTCTTTCACTATTATCTATCTCTCTCTCTATCTATTACTTTACAACAACAACCTAATCAAAAACTTCAACTTAGGACAGCAGAGTGTCAAGACAAATCAAGAAGGGGATGCAACGAAGCAGATGTTATGTACATAGGAGTTACTAACTAAACAAACATCAATGCCCACACACACTCACAGGAGGACACAGGAAGGAGAACACTGTTCAGATATGTTGCTGATGACAGCAGACAGTCCACTGTGGTGGTCCACTTCCTCTTTGTTTGATTTGATTCATAAAATATTATTTAATCAAGATACTTACTAGAGTGTCAATTGTGTGTAGAATTCAAGCAGAAGGCGGTTGATGCGTCAGATTGAGCCGGAATTTATGTACGATTTAGATGTGCTAAGGGTATCCAATACCATGTTCTGTACACAATGGAATCCAAATCGAGAGAAGCAATCACTCATGCACACACTGATCGCTGCAACAAAAATCAAATCAAAAACAAAAAACGTGAATTGATCAACCGATCCGTATTGGCCCAACCCATGCCCCGCTGATCGACTCGCCCAAGTGTGTTCCACCATGGAACCTACACGGGGGTCGACTCTCTCGGGGTTGTCAAGTGAAGATATTATTGTTTAACAACGAACACTACGTAGGGAGTGAGTGAGTAGGTGCATCCATATGATGGATGTCAATTAACAAGAGGCGCCTTTGGAACGGCAAAGGGTGTATCTATGTGTCCGGTCGGCGAGGAGATCAGTGCGCCAGAAGAGAGATAACATGTGCAGTGCAATGATGTGTGATTGTAGATTGGCTTGGTGGGGCATGCCTTGGCGGGTCTTGTTTAACTGTTGTTGTTGGGGATGGACAATGTGTGTAACAATGAATGAATGGATGAATGAATGAATGGTAGTAACATAGGGAAAGAGATAATAGATAGTATACTTTAGTCCAATGAAACTTGTTGCAATGGCTTGAGGTTTGGTGAGACAGTGAATGGACAACCAGTGACAGCCTTGAGTTGGTCGACGGTGGTGCCATCAGCAATCTCGATGAGTACGAGTCCCTTGCCTTGCTCGACGTCAAAGACGGCCAGCTCTGTGATGATACGGTTGACACAACCCTTGCCAGTCAGTGGCAGAGTGCACTTGTCCAAGATCTTTGGCTTGCCATTCTTTGATGTGTGCTCCATTGTGACGACGACGCGCGATCCACTTGCGGTGAGATCCATGGCGCCACCTGGTCCCTTGACCATCTGGCCTGGAATGACCCAGTTGGCCAGGTCTCCGTTGACAGACACCTCCATACCTCCGAGGATGGTGAGGTCGACGTGGCCACCTCTGATCATGGCGAACGAGTCGGACGAGGAGAAGATCGACGAGCCTGGGATAGTGGTGACTGTCTCCTTGCCGGCGTTGATCAGATCTGGATCCTGCTTGCCTGGCTTGGGGAATGGACCCATGCCCAACAGTCCATTCTCACTCTGAAGCTCGATTCTGATGCTCTTTGGCACGTAGTTGCTGGCCAATGTTGGCATGCCAATGCCGAGGTTGCAGTACATGCCGTCCTTGAACTCGAGTGCGGCACGACGCACAATCTTCTCACGCTTGACAGCAGCCTCGTTCTTTGGCTTCTTGTCGGCAGAGGCGGGGGCGCCGCTCTGGTCCAGGGTGAGACGCTCGATGCGCTTCTCGTAGGATGGACCCTTAATGACGCGGGCCACGTAGATTCCAGAGAGATGGATCTCGTCTGGCTTCAGCTCGCCAGCCTCGACGATCTCCTCCACCTCGGCAATGGTGATCCTGCCGGCGGTGGCCATTGGTGGGTTGAAGTTCCTGGCGGTGTTTCTGAACACCAGGTTGCCACGAGTGTCGGCCTTCCAGGCCTTGACCAGTGCAAAGTCTCCAGTGATTGCCTCCTCGAGCACGTAGGTCCTGCCGTCAAACTTGCGGACCTCACGGGGCTTGCTCATGATCTCCACCTTGCCCGAGCCGTCAGCGGCGAACTTGATGGGGAAGCCACCCTCCTCGACGAGGATCGTGCCAACACCGGTGGGTGTGTAAAAGGCGGGGATACCGGCGCCACCAGCGCGACAGCGCTCGGCCAGGTTGCCCTGTGGTGTGAGCTCGACCTCCAGCTCACCCTTGAGGTACTGTGACTCAAACACGGCATTCTCACCGACGTACGATGAGATCATTCTCTTGACCTGACGAGACTTGAGCAGCAGTCCCAAACCAAAGTCATCGACACCAGCATTGTTACTGACAATCGTCAAGTCCTTGACACCCTTCTCCTTGACTGCATTGATCAAGTTCTCTGGGATACCACAGAGACCAAATCCACCGACCAACCTGTCATTCATTGAGTTGATTGAGTTGATTGATTGATTGATTGAAATGTTAAGACCATCAGTCCTGACTACTACATCTACTACAACAACTACTATACCACTTACAGCTTTGAACCGTCCTTCATGTCAGCAACTGCCTCCTTGGCAGAAGCAACTACCTTTGAAGTTGAGTATGATCTCAAGGTGCTCTATATCGCAGTATGTGGTTGATTGATTGATTGAATGAATGAATGATTGTTTGTTAATATTGATTTGAGCAACATGCTGCAAAGATAACCAGTCATCAAGACTTGTCTCAAGATGACATACATAGAATCTAACGATTGACTTTGTGCTTGATAACATTGTATTGATATATATAATAAAGTAGTACTTGTATAAAGTAGTAAAGTGAAATGAGTGAAGCGTAGTCGGGATGATGATGTTGATGAAACCAAGGTCCACTCAATGGATCAAGTTCTCCAAAGATGAAATTTCGAGTCTGAACTTTATAAAGTTCCCAGAGGATCTTTCGACACTTTGGCCCTTGTCGAGTTTCAAAGGTAGTATAAGAGATAGAACTTACAAGGTATACCAAGAGAGAGACTTATCAATCTTGGTACATTGGTATCATTACTATTCGCTTCATCGACTTTGGATGAGAGGAGTATGATTATCAACAATTCATAGACAACAATGAGTATCTATGATGGTGACTCTTTCCATCCTCGCTCCATCTCAATCTCCTTCCTTCATTCCTTCCTTTTTGATTGGTCAATCAGTCTATGATAGCAATCAATCAACCTTGATCATGGTAATATTTGTTACACCTCATCATGACAAGATTGCTCTTCGCGAACAAAATGTGTGTGATTGCAAAAAGACGAGTGAACAATGAAACAAGACACAGGCCCAGAGTCCAACCATTCAATCAAGTCTCATTACTACTATAACACATATATACAACAACAACAACAACACGAATACAAGATGTCAATCACTGAGAATACACCAGCTACACCAACAACTACAGAGGCAGCACCAAAGAAAAAGATTTGCTGCACTTGTCCAGAGACCAAGAAGATTAGAGACGAATGCATCGTTATGAATGGCGAGGACAAGTGTCTTGGCTTCATCGAGGCTCACAAGCAATGTCTAAGAGCTGAAGGTTTCGATGTCTAATGACATTGATCCAATCTCTAATAATATATATAATGATTCAAAGGATGCGTCATTGCTTCAATGCATCCTTCTACTTCTTCCTCCTCTCCACTTCATTCCTCCCCTTCATTCTCCTTCCTTCTTCCTCACTTTCATCCAATGAACAACAATGTTGAGTTGGATCAATGGCATCGACAGCCTTTCAATAAACAATCACAAGCATAGATAGTCAGTTACACTCAATGTGTACATCTAATGCTACTCAAAGTCGACTGACTTGGCGTCATATTGATTGAATGTAAAGGATAAGACAGAGACAAAGGGGATGGATGGTTAGGTATATCAATAAATAGGTTGTTTATTGTTGATTCCTATTCGAATAGTTGGTTGGTTGGGCAATGGATACATAGGAGGAGGGTAGATAGGTGTGTGTATATATACGAAAGAAGTGGCAGCGTCTATTGGTAGTTATTGCCACATCTGCTAAGGAAGAGGTTGTTGTTGATCGTTTAATGGTTCTCGTAGAGTGGGTTGACACCTTGGTTGGCAGACTCGGTGTACAGTGGGTTGGAGGTGATGGCACCGTCGGCGAATGGCGAGTCACCAAAGAAGGCGCTGGTGGGTGGAGCCAAGGCGCGGACCAATCTCCAGACACCAAGGGCGATGATGGCGGCGGCGACGATGGCGGCGGCGATGGCAATCGACAGGATGGTGGTGTTGTTGGAGCCACCGTTGCTGCCCTGCTTGACAGAGATGGTCAGCTCCTTCTGGGCGGAGATGTCCAGCAGCGAGATGCCTGGCACCTTCATGAACATGTGGTTCAGGACGGAGACGTGCAGGGTGAAGTTGCCAGTCGACTTGTGGAACAAGGTGATCTGCGACAAGAACTTGTTGAGCAGCTCCTTGGTACCGACGCAGGTGATTGACGACGAGGCGTTGGGGTAGGTGCAGTAGGGGGCGGTGTTGCCGAGGAGCGAGATGTTGGCGCTGGTGGAGAAGTTTCCGTTGTTGTCGAGGAGCGAGACGGTGAGGGTGACGTTCTGGTAGGTGACATCTGGGTCGATGAAGGACACGTTGGTGACAACGAGGTTCTGGTTGACCAGGGTCATCCACTCGAGACGGTCAGCAAAGATGATGGGTGGGTTGAACTTCTTGTTGACGTTGAACACGATGGTGTTGGTGGCCGACATGAGTCCGTACTCGTCGATGGCGTAGAAGGACACACTGTCAAAGGCGAGACCAGACTGGTTGGAGTTTGGCTCGTAGAACCAGCTGTATGTGGCAGTGCCTGGGGCGATGGCTGGGAAGTTGGGTCCGTGGGGCTTGGTCTTGTTCTGGACAAAGTCGCTGGCGAGAGAGCCGGTGTTGAAGTTGGTGATGCCAATGGAACCACGCTTGGGCAGCTGGGTGAAGATGACCTGGATGGTGGAGTTGGGTGCGTCGTAGCTCATGGTGGTGAAGTTGAACATGATGACGTTGTTCATCAACAGGTTGAGTGGAGTGGCGAACTTGGTGATTGGGTTGGCCTCGACGTAGTCGACGGGGACGGTACGTGGGTAGACGTACTCCTGCTGGGTCAGCATCACGATGATTGGAGCCTCGAGAACCTGGGTGACGTTGAAGTACACCATGATCGACTCGGATGGCACACGCTGACCGGCAATGACGGAGCTCAGGGTGAAGTTGGCAAAGAGACGGAAGTCTCCGTACTGGTTGGCGGGTGGCTGGTAGGTCAGCGAGAAGGTTCCGTCATTAGACTCCTCCTCATAGGGTGGGACGACCTTGAGGTTGCAGGCCATGCCCAGACAGCCAGTGTTGTTGAGGATACCTCCATCGGGGTAGTTGCCTGGGGTGATCGAGGTGATGGTCAAGACGACACGCTGGGCGTTGGCGGGCTTCTTTGAGGTGATGGCAAAGGTCAGAGCCTGGTTCTCGTTGGTACGGAAACCAGCGACACCAGTGTAGACGGGTGGCTTGCGTGGGGTGACGTAGAACTCAGCCTTGTTTGGTGCGGTCGACATGAGACCGGTCTCGGCGTTGAAGATGGAGAATGGGATGGTGTCAACTGGACCGGCGCCACCAAAGGTGTCATCGTTGGAGATGTCCTTGTTGGGGCGGTAGGTGAGGGTGGTTGGCAGGTTGGTGGCGATCGAGGTGATCTTGGCTCCGGTGCTGTCGAGCAAGTCTCCGTTGGTTGGGAGCTTGACGAGGACGACCTGGATTGGACCGGTCATTCCCTCAGTGTTGGTGTACTTGAAGTCAAAGGTGATCTGGGAGTTCTCGAACAGGGTGTTGTTGGTGTAGAGGGCAACGGGGGGCACACCAGCACCTTGGATGTTGATGGTGTACTTGCCAGTGTCAGTGTCACACCTGTCAGTGACGGTGTAGTCAAAGGTGACGAGCTTGACGGTGGGGTCTGGAGTGTACTTGAAGGTGGTGGTCGAGAGGTATGGGGTGGAGACGACGACGGCGCTGCCACCGACGACGGTCAATTGACCGGCGGATGGGAGGTTGGTGAAGGAAACATCAAGCTGGTTGAGATCAGCGTCAGAGACGGAGATCTGGAAGGTGATGGCGGTGTCCTTGTTGGTGGCCAGGGTGACATCATTGGCAACTGGTGGATGGTTGTAGTTGACGGTGGCGATAGACTGACCGTAACCTGGAACGGTGAGGGTGATGGCGTTGGATGGGGCCGATGGGACGACGGCTGGACGGGTGACGATGAGTGGCAAGTTGACCTCGGTGTTGGTGGAGGTGAAAGTAGATGGGGCGGTGGCAAAGTTGAACTTGTCAGTGCCAGCGAGGATGGATGGGGCGTACTGGGTGAAGCCGGTCTTCATGGAGTTGAAGGCGACGGAAGTCCAGTCAGCACCGGCAGCCTGGGAGACGTTGACGGTACCGAAACCGATGGTCTGGATGGCGGCCTTCCAGTTCTTGAGGTTGACGTTTCTCAAACCAACGATGGTTGGGTTGATGAAGTTGGCACGCAGCTTGTCGCCGAGGGCAGAGATGTCGGTGGAGGTGGCGTTGATATCAGAGTCGGTGACAATGATGACTGAACGGTACTCACCGCTGACCCAACCCAATGGGAAAGCGACGGCTTCAGTCAATGAGGCCAAACTGTTGCCACGCGAGGCGGTGCTCACAGTGTACTTGACCTTGCCGTTGATGGTGGCGGGGATATCACAACCAATGATGCACTGCGACTGGAAGTTGTAGCCAACACCGGTCTGGAGAGCGTCAGAGAAGAAACCAAGACCAAGCTTGGCGTTCTCAGTGTAGGTCTGGATCATGCTGACCAGGTTGGTGATCTGGGTCAGGTCGTCTCCAATGTACGAGTTGAGTGGGGCAACATCGAGGATGACGTAGACGTTGAGCGAGGGCATGGGCGATGGCACGAAGGCCTTGAATGGGATGGTGAATGGCGAGGTGTTGGCGAGGTAGACAGAGGCGAGGGATGGGTTGAGGTATCCAATGGTGGCGTTTCTGAAGGTGACTCCGTTTTGTTTGCCTGGGTTACAGTACTGGACGATGGAGATGTTGCAAGCTGGGCCGGTGTAGCCGAGGAAACAGTTGCAGGTTCCGTCTCCGGTGGGTCCAGAGTTGGAGGTTCCGTTGAAACATGGGTCGTTCTTGATGCAGTTTGGTCCGTGGTGAGTGGTGGTGTCACACTCAGTGCACTGGGGTCCTGACCAACCATCATCACAAATGCAACAGGTGGCATCACTGCTTGGGTCACAGTTTGGCTTGGATGGGTCCTTATGTCCATGGACACAATCGGGGCGACCTATTATATAGTTTGTAGATTGGATTAGTGAATGATCAATCATTGATGGAATAATTCCAAGTGGTGGTAATTAATACTTACGAACTTGGAGGATGTAAGTCTCTTGACCTACGGATTGGACACCTTGGTTGTCGGTGGCCTTGACGGCAACGACGTAGGTACCGATCTGACTGACGGTTGGCTTCCAGCTCTTGGTGGCAAGGAATGGGTTGGCGGCGACGTTGCCAGACTTGTAGATAACACCGAGTGGGAGACCACCTGACTCTTGCATGGTGACGGTTCTGGAAGAGATTGGCGACATGGCCTCATACTGCCAGACACACTCGACGCCTGGGCTACAGGTGAAGGTGTTGTTGTTCTTGTTTGGTCTGATGACGACTGGGTTGACGTTAGCCTGGCACACGATTGAGTTGAGCAAGAAGTCAACGGCGATCCATCCGTTGCCATCGCTGACACGGACCTGAGCCGAGTAAAGTCCCTTGTAGGTTGGCTTGAAGTTGATGAGACCACCAGAGGTGATTGTGAGGCCGCTTGGCTGGGAGGTTCCGTCATCGAACCAGCCACCGGGGTTACCGAGATCGGCGTCTGGCGACAGCGAGTAGGTCAGGGGCAAGCCGGCTGGCGAGGAGGCCAAGAACTGGACGGGGTTGTCCTGGTTGTAGCAAACGTTGATGATTGGCAACGAGTTGGAGACGGGCGAGGAGATGGGATTGTTGGCGTTGATGTACACCTGGGTGGACACCTCGAATGGCTCGTCGGCGTTGTTGTTGAGGGACGACAGACGGTTCTGGCCGGTGAGGGTGATCTTATAGGTGGCGGTCTTGGCGGGGAATTGGTAGGTGAACGACATCACACAGGAGAACCAGTTCTCAAGTGGGTTGATGTAGGTGACGACACACTCGGGGACCTCGTAGTCACTGTAGGGGAAGCCGTCGACCTCACCCATCTGGGTGCTGTGGTACTTGCAGCTGCCGCCGGATGTGATGCATTGTCCGAGCACTGGGGTGTCCCAGGCCTCAAAGTCAGTTCTGTAGGCCATTGTAATTTGGAAGTTAATGAAGTTGTAACTATCTTTTGATACTGGTGACCATTGGAATGATCCATATCTGTAATGTGTGGCTATAATATTATTATTATTATTATTATTATTATTAATTATTATTTGATTGATTTGGTTGGGTTAGTATATTTATTATTATTTGTTTGATCAAAAATGGTAATAATTATTTGTTTGATCGATTTATGATTGATTGGTGATTGTTTATTATTTGATTGATTGGATTGATTATTATTATTTGTTTGATTGATGTATGAGTGTGTGTTGTGGAATTATATTTACCATTTGCCAAAGAGAAGATCAAAAGGAATGCCGCTAACGAGACGGCAACCTTGTTGTAGATCATCATGGTTGTAAACTGCTGTTTGGACGTTAACGTCTAATATGTCTAGCAATCAATCAATCAATCAAAAAAATTAATAGTATTACAAGGTGTTGTTGTTAAACAGTCGGATATATATATAAATAAAATAAATAAATAAATATGTGTTACTAATAATTATTAGTAGTTGTAATAATAATAATAATAAGTAATAGTAATAGTAATAGTAATTGTAGACTGCAACGATGGAAGATTTAGAGAATGGTGGTCCAGGCGCTCTGATGTCTTGGCTGGCTGGGTTGATTGATTGTTGGATGGATTGCGTAGTGGTGGACCAATCACTGATTGTGGAGGTGAGTGATGAGAGAGTGAGAGTGTTTGTTTTGTTGTTGCGATGGTTGACTGGATTTATCGAGTGATTAAATTAAGAAAGAGAGGTAAGGAGGGTATCAATAAATTCGCCATGCTGTTACACGTAGGCCAGGTGGGTAGACAAGGGTCGCTTCTTACTTTTTTGTTTGATTTTCTACTTGTCCCCTTATTTCCACCCATGTGGGACGCAGACGGGGCGTCCTTTGGGGGCTTGGGCTCTACAGCGAGTAAAGAATTGTAAGAAAATGGGACCATTCATCGGATCTCTCTTGCCCTATTCATCATAAGACCTCACTGAAAATCAAATCAAATCAAGTCAGATCCTCCCATAGACCTAGGCTCCGAACTGGGACTGGAGCACCCACCCACACCTGAATCAATTCTATCGTAGTGTAGAATAGCGCGAGAAGGTGTGTGGGTGGCATGTTGTAGTTAACAGAACAGGGTGGATTGTAAAAAAAAAGAGAGAGGGGGCGATCATGCTCAGATGAGCCCATCTAAGAGTGACGCAAGCAGATAATAAAGGTAGTGGGCTGCACGTTTTTCGTTATTATAACAGAGTCTGCAAGTTTGGTTGATGGGTGGGTGAAATGCAATCATTCATTCGAGATCAGGACAAGTAATTTTCGCACACGCTCATCAGAAAAGCACCAAAGTAAAAATTTTGTCATCTGACCGTTCTGTGAAACGACTGGAAAACGTGGTTCGTTAGACTGTTTGGTATGTTTTGATCAATGGAAGTAGAACCAACAAGGGGGCAAAGGAGAATTCATCTCCAAAGTGTAAGTGGATGTGTATGAATAGGATGGATGCAAACACTTTAGGACCTTTGATGGTGATCACTATTGTTCTTGCAGTCTATTGTGACCTTCCAGCAAATGATCGGATTGGTCTGCAAACACTAATTGCCCGATTGGTGTTGCCAAACACTCCACCCAAACCTGCCAAACGATTGTTGAATGGGTAGATTGGATTGCAACAACAAATACAATAATTGAAATTTCACGTCACAGTCATAGGAGCTCCGTCTAACCGACTCATAGGGAATGGATATCTTGTGTGGGTAGGTATGTAATGCAAGCAGGTGTTTGATTGATTGATTGATTCAATGATTGACGTTTGATGGATTGGTTGATGACAATGGCAAAGACTTTGAATGAGCTGGTTGGCTTTCTTTGACAGCTCCGAGGCGACTGCGCCCTTTATTGGTGGGTTGTGGTGAACGGGTGGGTGGGGTCAACGGGTAGATTGATTGATTGTCATCATCATCAATTAACCACAATCCAGTCATTTGCAGTATTAGAATATATACCAACCAACTTATATTATTAAGATAATTCACTTTAATCATAATTGATGGATAGTTATCCAAACTGCCAAATAGAGCCATGGCACTCTTCGCGGTCTGAATCTTGCTCCATCATCCACAAAGACTTGTCCATCATTGTTTGATAGATTAGATGCATGGTTGTCCTTTTGATGTTGAGTGACACGACTGTCGCGAGTCTGTTTTGGCACTCATATTAGTAACTTTGGCGATTGCTTGGGCAAATTACTTTGGCAACAATGTTTACATTGGCGAGTAATCAGAACAATTGTACCAAGTAATGTAAAGTACTATGGTATTGATCATGAGAAGCCTATAAATAATCTCCTCATATACTACTTATTTACCGATTGATCATAACCGTCAATCACACATGGAGGATAGGATATTTCATTCAAAGAAAGTATTTGGGTGATAGTGGACAATGTATTTATTCGTGGACATACTCAAGCCTTGAGGTCATTCTTGATCGACATCCTCAAACACCATACCTTCCTCTTGGACCAACTTCTCGTAGGCCTCCAAAGGCCATTCAACGTCTGACTTGGCAATGGTAAAGTAGTTCAACTTCTTCTTGAGTGAGCGCAGTCGCTTCTTACTGGCGTACTGCAGCCACACACAGTAGTCATCGATGACCAGACGGTTCAGATAATATTTGTACTCGTGTCCCTCGAGACTCTTGCGCACCGCCAGCAGGCACTTGAGTAAACATCTCTTGCCCAGCTGGAAGATCAGACGCACATCGTTTAGGACGCGCTCCGACAGTGACCAGCTGCGGTACAGGGGGTAGGCCAGTGAGCGACGGAAGCACGCCGCCAGCACGGTCTTGAGCGAGCGGAATGTCTCGAGGCCGGCCAATGTGGGGCTGACCTTGCAGATGGTCCATGCCGACTCGATGTTGTCGTCGCCATAGTTGGAGCGTACGTTGTACGCGTAAGCAAACATGATGTCGACCAGGCCCAGCAGCAGAGACTTCTCATTATTCTGGACCAAGTACTCCTTGTTTGGCAGGTTCTTCATTGTATCGCGTTCCTCATCCGTGAATGACACCACTTTCTTCAGTTTGTTGAGTTGGTCATAGTCTTTAGTTGTTGTGTTTGACTTGGTATCTGATGGTGCCTGGCCCACGATATCAATCTTCTTTGACAATGTTGCGTTGATTTGATTGATTATATCGTCTGGAAGCTCACTATCAGCTTGGAACTCAGTCTCATTAGTGAGCTCACCAAACTCCTCCAAGTTTGATGGGTTGAACTCTTTTGTTGTCAATGTTTCCGCTTGTGTTTCCGTGTTTGTTTCCGCTGTTTCCAATGTTTCCACGTTTGTTTCCAGAGGTGTTTCCAAAGGTGCAACATTATCCACTGCCATCTGTTCCTTTAGTTGTTTCTTCTTCTCAATTGCATCCTCCCAGAATGCTTTGTATCGCAATAATTCATTAACATCATCTTGGAAGTAGAAGTTCTCCCTTTGAATGAAGTGATTGAGTTAGTGAATGATTGATTGAGTGATGTTGATTGATCAATCCAAACTTACATATATCGATCAGGATCAAACTTTTGATTCTCCAACTCTATTCTTACTAATGATCTCTCTTCCTTGGTAATACTGTCAATATTTGGAATATCAATGATCTCCAGTATTTCTGATTGGAGGTCTGCAAAGAATCCAACATATCCATCATTGAATCCATAATGTGGTCTATTTCTAACTTCATCCAACTAATGATCATTGATTGGAATTGATTTGGATTGGATTGGATTGAGTGAGTAAATGATTGAATGAGTGAGTGGATGGATGCATACACTTGGAGCCTCAGCTGATTGTTGATGTTGTTCAAACTCCCATTCTTCACCGGCCATGTCTCCGGCTTCATCATCATCTTCATCACCTTCATAATCACCTGCTTCTTCATCTTCATCATCGCCATCCACTTGATCAATCTCTTGACCATCAACAAGTTGTATCTTGGCGCCACCTTCAGAAGACTTCTTCTTATCCAACAACTTTGTGATCATGTCCAAATCGGGGAAGTGCTGACCAGATGTCTCCTTGGGCAATTGGAATGTGAACTCCTGTGTATCGACATTGTACGATGCCTTCTCTTTGCCATTCTCCACGATACGATGTGGGAATGTAAGTCTAAGGAAGTATGGCTTGCAATAAAACTTGAACTGATCGTCCATCAAATAAAAGTCAGCCTCATTGGCCCTAATATAAGGTGTCCTTGCAACAACAATAACAAAGTCATTGTTCTGTTCAATTGTGAATCTAGGTATAATCATTGTTTGTCTGAGCGTTGTTGTGATTGAGTATGATTGAGTGAGTGAGTGGTACTTAGGCTGAGGCTTAGGACTAGGTCTGGGCTTAGGCCGAGGCTTAAGCCGAGGCTTTTGTCAAACATACATATACAAGATATTAGTAACTGTTTATCTCTTTGTCGGTCGTTTGGTTTGTAAATTAAAAGAAGAAGGCTCACTCGTTTTATGATGAATTTTGATGTTTTGGTGATTTTTGTATGAAAAAAACGAAGGACTCATTTTGGGTACAAAGGTCCAGATCATTTACACATCATTATCGACAACAGTGATCACATATAAACATAAATACAAACATATATAAACACAATGATGTTAAGATATATAAGTTCAAACAGATTAACTCAATCAAATATAGTTGCGACCGCATTCGTCAAGAGTGTATTTGGTCGCTCCACAACCAAGGCCATCCTCAATAATGCAGGTCCAACCTCATCATCATCAATCATATATTACTCAACATCAACAACAAATAAGAAGAATGAAACAACAACTACAACTACAACAACAACAACAACAGATGATAAACACAATATTATTGATCCAAGCATTAGAGTTGATGCATCACTACTGGTTTATCAACCAAAGCCTGGTAGAAAGATGTTAAAGATCGATGAGATGACTGATGAGTCAAAGCAGAAGTGGTACTTAAAGTTGATGGGATTGTACTCATTCGATTCGTTGTCACTAAACAACTCACATTCGATCTACGACGCCATTGCCAATCAGACTGCCAACCCCGAGATGTACAAGGCCATCGGTTTGCCAACAACCGTTCGAGGCTGGTTCGCCATGACCGTTCTACACATGTGGATGGTCTTTGTACGTCTGCGCAAAGATGGTAAAGATGGTTCCAAGCTCACAACAGACCTATATGACAGGTTTTGGGAGGACTTGGAGACAAGAATAGTTCGTGGTGGTGTATGTATCATGGGTCCTTGGAATCATTCCACCCCCACACACACACTCACACATACTCTGATCAATCAATCAAACATACTTTAGATCAATCATAGGTTCGCAGCCAAGTACTTGAAGGAGTTCTATAATAGTTACTTGGGATCAATGGTGTCTTATGATGAGGCAATGTTTGATGATGCTATAATGAGTGATGCATTGTGGAGGAATCTATTGGCAATGAATGAGAATGTAAGCTTTGCACAACTGGACCTACTAGTAAGATATATCCGTAGACAATTGAATCAATTGGATAACAATCCAAATGTGGCAACACGTGGTGATATATCATTCGTCAAACTCATCGACATCAACTTGAACAGCAGCAACAACAATAAGAACACCACCAAACAATAAAGTACGAGATCTCACTACACAATACTTGTACAAGTGTCATGATGTACCATGTCCATGGACTGACTTTGATCGATTATATGATTGATCAGACGTCAGACGTGTTCCGCGGAACACAATCACAATCAGCCGGCCGGGTACAACATATTTAAACTCGGATGTGACCAACAAAGATCTTTATTGGATCTGGTAGTGCCTGGGACATAGATAATTAATTAGTTTATGTTGTGATGCATTAATTATCGAGTATCCCCACACACCCAAACACACTCATGATCACAACAATGTGTGCCTTTGTCGTTTGATCACCCCCTCACTCACCCCTTCATTCTCACTCACACACACCATGCTCACCTTCTTACTCGCTCGGTCCCATCTCACTCATACACACACAACATTCTTTGTGTTCTATCATCATCCATTGTGTTCATGAGATTGATTAGAATGATTACTACAGACTGAATGCATGAATGCACATCGATGTATGATAGACAGACAGAGAAACAGTGAGGAGCAAGATTACACACCCATTATATCCATTCAATATGACATTACATCAATTAATATAATATTACATTGTTACTATTACATTAATACATGTATTAATCATATTCCATCTAAATAACAATCACTAAATTCTAAACATTGCTCAACAACAACAACAACAACAACATCAATCAATATGTTTGTTGAGACATCATTCCTAAGTTTTAGGAATAGACTATCATTGAGTGGTCGCCAACAACAAGCCACAGACGACCATGATGACGATGATATCAAGAGTGATAACATTAATAATAGATATGGCGATCCAGAGGTCTTTTATAAGTTCCCAGCACCAATAACACCAAAGATATTCTATGTGTTGCTGTTCTCTACATTTGGAAGCATGCGCGCCTACGTCCCATTGTTCCTACGCTCGATCAACTTTAGTGCCACACTGATTGGCATCACTCTGTTCTTTCCACCATTCTGCCAGTTCTTCAGTAGTATAATATCATCTGGTCTGTGCGACAAGTATCAATGTCATCGACGTGTTGCCATAATCACTACACTTGGCTCATCTGCACTTGTTCTCATGCTATACTTTGTTCGCGTTCCAATCATTGTCATACTCATAATCATACTCAACTCCAATGTCTGGTCTCCACTCCTTCCCATCCTCGACTCTACAACCTATAAGATACTTGGTCATCGACGTGAACTGTAAGTCGTCTCAATCAGTCATTGGAACTATTCCAATCAATCATCACTCACTCAATGATGATCACTCCAATCAATCAATATAGGTATGGAAAGCAAAGGATGTTTGGAAGTATTGGATTTGGAGTGACTGCTTCATGCATTGGCCTGGCATCACAGGCATTTGGAACTCAACGTCTATTCATCTTGGTATACTCCACTTTCATGTTTATCCTATCAATAGCATTCTATGTTCTATACTTTGACAAACCAATGGACTCTATCACCTCATCTGACGAAAGTTTAATCAATAATGGTGACATTGAATTGGAATGCAAGCCTTTGGAAGACAAGTCCGAGGCTGATGATGTCTTGGCCAACAATGATCCAATCACTATTGATCAAGATGGAGCCAACTCTGGACCAGACGAAGCACATTCATTCATAATCAATGATAATGACATTGACAACAACTTGACAGAGGATAATAATGATAGTGATGATGCATCACCTCAAGGAGTCGTGATGGACACGCCACAAAGTCCTCAGATACTTCAAGAGCCTCCACAACATTTTACAAGGGCACTGATCGTGCTTCTATCCAACAAAAGGATGTTACTATACCTCCTCAATGTAATGGTCATAGCAGTTGGAATGGCTATGAACAACAACTTCCTTGGTCTCATCGTGACCCATGATCTCCATGGTTCCACCTCAATCATTGGTATCGCATCAGCAATCAATGTTGTATTTGTAAGTATCATCATCATTACTCGTCTGGAGCCATTCCGATCACTTACTCAATCAATCAATCATACATACATTAATTAGGAGATAATATTGTTCTTCTTTGGAAAGCAATTGATTAATAAGCTTGGAGTATATAGACTTACTATCACAGCACATGTAGTACTGTTGATAAGAGTGATGTATTACATGGCAGTGATCAAGTTAAAGGCAAGTCCATGGAGTATATTGCCAATTGAGTTACTGCATGGTATTATATTCCCATGTATTTGGAATGCCGCTTCAAGAACATGTTCGGACTTGGCACCCAAGGGACTCGAGACAACCAGTCAGTCTCTACTATTTGGAATCTATATGGGATTGGGAGTTGGAGTTGGATCATTGGTTGGAGGTCGTATCTACGATAAGTTTGGTCCATTTGCAATGTATGGTTCAATTGTAATCATGACAACAGTTGGTCTAATATTATATATAGTCAGCGAATGGATATATTCAAGGCGTACACCATCATGGAGACAACTAGAGGATCAAGATCAAGATCATCATGAGAATGAGAATGAGCATGTATCATCTTCATCTTCTTCTTCTTCATCATCAATGGATGACATTACCAAAGTTGATCAAAGTAGTAGTAGTAGTAGTAGTCTCCAACAACAACAACAATAATATAACAAGGGTAGGAAGCATTAACATTAACAATTATAACCTTGCTTCTTGTCTTCCTGTCTTCATCTCATGACATGCATTGAATGAATCTGAAGATCCACCCCATTCACGTATACCTGCGCTTGGATACATCACACCACCACACCTTGTTTAGTAATGTACGCAAGGTGGAGGGTTGTGTGTTTGAATGAGCGGATGGGAAGTGTGAATGAGTGAAGAAAGGATAGAGATGAGAGAGATAAATGCATATGAATGTACATTTATATCATTTCCCAAGAAAATATATATATAAATAGATAGATAGCTATACAATATAGAGATAATAATAAAATGAATATATCAACACAATTATTAATACAATTGGAGTCGATGAGAGCTTCAAAAGGTGGAAAGTGCCAAGGTCCAGGTGGTGAAGTAAATGTTGATAGTGAAGGTTGTAGTAATCCAAGGAATAGAAGCAAATGGACAACATCATCAACTCATCCTCAACCATCACTACCAAATCACAAGTAATAATAATCAAGAGGAATCATCTCTACATGTACAAAATAGATTAATTTATGGGTTCAACTTTAAAAGTCAGTGGACACTCATTCACAAGCACAACTTCAATCAATCATTTGATTAAAAAGGAGATATTTATAACTTAAATAGATAATAGATAGATAGAATATATATAACTTAAAGGATGACAGATAGTACATTCCAATTCCCTTCATATTATAATAGGGAACCATTCTTTACACTACAACCTGTACTGAACACACAGAAGAAACAGTTACAGATGTGGCAGGAGCTGATACTATCATATGCTCGCTTTCACAAGATGTACGTGATGGACATCGTCGAATGTATAAAGAATGATTCTGTACTGTTCAACAATGATAAGATAAAGAGTGAGTAGTTAGTTTATACCTTTAGTTATATGTGTACATTGTATTAACATGAATGATTGAATGAATGAATAATTACAGGAAGACTATCTTTAGAGACTACAAAGATGATATTTGAAGAGATTGTTGATAATGGTTATGGTGAATGGCTTGACAAGGATAAGAATAGAGTACTGGTATGGTGGAGGAAGCCTGAAGAATGGGCTGCAATGCTATATAAGTGGGTCTGTGACAGTGGACACACAAACTCAATCCTTACACTATGGGAGATACAAAAGGGAGAGGATACTACAAATCTAGGTATGAATGCCAGCATCACAACAGACTCTCTCTCTCAAACTAACACCATCATTGATCAATCAACAGAGTTCCATGATATAGACACAACTACATTGATGAAGGCATTGAAGGTATTGGAGAAACAGAACAAGGCACAGGTATTCTCTGGCAGCGACAACAATCTTGGTGTAAAGTTCTTCTCGATATAAACTTCCTTCTCAACCTTGGCATCTGTATAGACTTTGGATACTTTTAGGTTTATTGTTGTTGAATGAAGCAATCAAGCTAACAAGTGATGGCTTAGTCATCCCATGAATCCCATCCATCGCTGGATGGTGCTGCAACACTCTTGCTAGCTGGTTTGCTTGCTGCCGTTGTCTTCTTTAGTGACTTGACTGAGGAAGTGTTGGTGGTGATCGTTGGCTCGTCATCCCATCCATTGCCCCAATCAGATTGTCCACCGCTGCTGGACTTGGTTGTGACGGCAGAGGTTGGTGGCGAGACCACATTGTCTCCCCAGTTCGAATCCTCCTCTTCAAATGAGAACTTGGACAGCTTGCTAGCCTGTGTCTTTGGCTTGGATACCAGTGACATGCCCTTTGTCTGAGCGATTGGAGGTGAATCCGACTGAGTATTCCTGGACGATGATGTTGACGATGATGAGTAGCCAGTGCTCTTTGATGTGTTTGATGAAGTGTTGCGACGGTCGTTTGAGTAGTTGTCCTCCTCGTCAATGTCCAGTTCATCCTCGTCGTCCCATCCATTCGAGTCCTTTGATGTGTTGGATGGTTGGACAACACGAGTGTTTGTTTGTTTAGGCTGCTGTTGTTGTTGTTGTGACTGTGACTGTGATGATGATGAAGATGTTCCCTTAGATGCCTGTTGTTGATGTGGTTGACTTGGTGCAATTGGTGATGGTTGTCCATTCTCATTGCCAGTTGGGGATATATATTTCTTTGTTAGACCATAAGCCCATCCCAACATTGACTCTTGTCCCTGTTGACTATGTCCCTGCTGTCCACCTTGTGCATGTGTCTGTCCTTGAGCTCCACCACTACCAGACAATGGTGATGTATTCTGATCGGTGCCCTGCATGATTGGATGATAGTTAGACACATGCTCACCATGATGGATTCCATGACAACTACTTACAATTGAAGCCATCATCGTCTCAACCTTCTTGATAAACAGGTTCATAGCTTGTAGTGCTGTGGCCCTTATCGACTTGTCTGGACTGATGAGACAACGGGAGATCTCTGGCAGGATTCTTGTGGCTATCTCCTCGGCGTTGTAGTGGCCCTGTGTGAACATGAATGCAGAGAGACCTGCATTCTGCGATGGTACAAATGGATCCTTGAGCGAAGTTGCAAATGCAGGGATCAACACTCTCTTCCTTGTCTGCTCGTTGATATGCTCAGCGATCCTACCAAGACAAATCGTTGTGTTTGTCCTAATACCAGGCTCAGGGTCCTTCTGCAATGCTGCAAAGTACTTCAACAATTGAATCATCGTCTTTTCCGAGAGCTATACATGGATGATTGATTGAGTGAGTGACTGGATGATCAATCAATAATGTTTGTTGGCATTACCTTTGGTGCGAAGAGAAGCATTGACTTGATGGTGACCTCTTTGAGTGCAGGCTTGTCATTGAATCCATTTACAACGTTGGGGAAGATCTGATCGTTGATGATGGCCGGTGTGAGATGCTGGATGTAGTGCTCGAGATTCTCGAGCAGGTTGACACGTAGTGATCTGTCGTCGGACTGGAACCACTTGACCACGCTTGGTACCACCTTGGTGACGTACTCCTCCGTGGATAGATTGGCACTGATCTTCATCAATGTGCCCAATATCTTTGGATTGACAGGTCCAAAGTCAAAGGCAGTGATCAAATGAGGCAGTATCTTAAATTTACAAATGTTCATCGGTATCTTGTCAATGTGATGATCCAGCTTCCTACATTATATATATCCATGTGTCAGTCAATGATTCAATCAATCAATAATCCACCACCGGTTGACACTTACTTAAAGAATGCTTCCTTCTCAAAGTTATCCTTGAGAGTGATGTTCTCCAGGAAGACACAGGTCTCCACAAAGATGTTATTGAAGTATGGACACTCGAGGAACTTGGAGGGATTCAATCTGGATTCGGCCTTGGCGGCAAAGCACTTCTGATAAGAAGTATGAACCTCCTTTGGTATCTTTGAAAGATCCCTAACATCATCAGACTTGCTCATTGGTCCATTATAGCATTCATAAATCAAACATCCTGATGTTGTTGATCAATCAATGATTAGTAAGTGTAGTCTCTCTCTGTGTTGTTGATTATCATAACATACCAAGCATCCATGAATCGATAGCGATTGGTGGCGCAGTATTGATCTGAGGCCAGAGACCTTTGGTTATCTCTGGTGGCTTGTACTTTACAGGTACGATATCACCATGCTGCTTCAAGATTGGGTTGGAGTCTCTGATATCGCAGAGTAGGTCCAATCCACCCAGCTTCCAATCGCCTGCCTTTGTTACAAACACTGTCGTCGTATTAACATTGCCATGTGCAAGATTGACATCATTGTTGGCGAATGATAATGCTTTCTGTAAGGGATGATGAAGAATGAGTATGATTGGTTGAATGAATGAATGAATACAACATACAGTTATCTGATATACACCCCATGATATAGCATTATCATACTTCCTGATGTCGTCGATCAGTTCATCGAGTGGCGTGACGGGCTCGGTGACGATGTAAATGTTGGTCTCGAGCTCAATGCCATCGAGATAGGTGAGGAAGTTTGGATGTCTAATAGTCTTTGCACGCTTGAATCCATTCTTTGCAACGTCAATCTTGGCAGGACTCTTCTTTATATCGAATGAGAATATAGACACTGGGCTACCATCATCCTTCTTTGTACCAGTGTGCAATGTCCATATTGACTTTCCCTGATACGATGTTATAGGTGTACCTATAACATAAGGGAATTGTGTATATGTAGATAGTCCCTGTCCCATCTCCTATCTATCTAAGTATCTAAGTATCTATGTGTCTGTATGATTGATGCTCAACTTGATTGATTGATTGAATGAATGAGAGAGATGAACAAGTCAATGAATTGTTGAGATTGGCTTGAAGGGGGGTACACACTTTTTGTCAAACGTCAGCACCTGGATGTGGCACCTTTTGATCAACTTGATGATCTTGGATTGAGGATGACGACATATATACATGGATATTAAATAACTTATATGTTATTTATTATATATTGTATTTACAAGACGATTGGCAATACGTTTGGAATTGAATATGGCATCATTCAGACCAACACCATACATGCTATTGCCACCGATAATGAATGTTCCATTATATTTCTTTTCCAAATGTGTTGTAATATCTTTGATCAATTGTTGATGTCCAATTATATAATGAGGTATGGCATCATGACATACTCTAACCATACTTTCAACTGGACTTATTGTTGTTGATGTACTTGATGTTGATGATGTTGATAATATATATTTGTTGATATGATCAATTGCAATATTAACCAACTTTGATTGACCATTGTGATCGTGATCATTGATTTTGTCAACATCTATCCATGATGGATTCCTTTGACCAATACCTTTGTTACCACCTATCATCACTGTTATGATACATTTTGATTGATCGTTGACGAATGTTGGGAATGTGTTGGAATCGATGGCCACGCCAAGTACCGGCTGGGACTCACACGACGCCACAAGATAGCCAAAACCTAATCCGGCCACCTTTGAACGGACAATCGGTGAGTCATACACCAGATTGATCACGGCGATACTAGAGTATTCTTGTTGCGCGCATAATCTGGCCAGTGTGCTGTCCATCTCCCCCACGATTGTTGTCAGTTGTCCAAGTGGCAGTGTGGAGATGACTGAGTCGCACTCATGACTGGCACCAGTATTGTCCACCACTGTGAATGAACCCTTGTTGCCATTTGCGTGCACTGACATGATGCTCTTGCCGAGGTGAAGATGTTGTTGTGGCACAGCCTTGCCCAGTGCATCTGTGAGTGTGGACAGTCCATTCTTGAATGAGAATATACCACTTTCATCGGTATCCTTATTGAGTATTGACTTTACACGACGAATTGAATCGTGATCCAATGATAGTGCCAAGTCCTCTGTTTGCGTGGCCTTCTTGTGGAATAGCGCACCCCTGATCAGTGATCCATACTCATGCTCATACTCATACATTGTTGGGAAGCATGAGCGTATAGACATGCGACTGACATCGCCTCCATAGATTCCAAGACAAACAGGTTCGATGAATCGATTGGCAATCGTGGCTCCCAATCGTCTGGTGAAGAATGATTGAATGGACTCATCGTCCCCTTCTTGACCCTGACCCTTCGGCTTGGATGGCTCAGAAAGGACTGGTTGGAACAATGAATGTTTGTAAGCAAATGCCAATGCGCCTAGGAATGAGGAGGGCAGTTGGACGACAATTCCATCAATCATCATGTGTCTGGTCTTTGCCTTCTTTGATGCGAATATGACCTGATTGTCCAGTCGCAGCTCAGACACGAGATCAAGTGTACTTCTTCCATGACCAGCCACACGAATACTTCTTGGACCAATCTCCACCACAGTTGAGTCATTGATGTGCTTGGTCTGCATCCAGCCTCCAAGTTGTGATTGTGATTCAAATACATCAATATGAAGTTGCTGTTGATCATCTGGAGATGATGTCCTCGTTTTGTTCAATCTTGATACATTCTTTGTGAGATAATGATGTGTGGACAGTCCTGACACACCTCCACCAAGTATAGCCACACGTCTTCCAGTCGCGCCAACAAGTGAAGCCTACACACCACATTGATTAGTGATTGATTGATTGATTGATGGGATAGTTCCAATATTATGTTTGAACATACACTCATTATTGTTTTGATTTATATCTTGGACAGGACTGAATATTCATAATCAATTAGTCATCCATTTATCAACTTCATAATTGATCATCACTTGATTTGGAAGTGAGGTTAATGTAACGTTATGTTGAAATGAAATTAAATTGAAAAAATCAAAAGTTTTGTGAAGTCTTGAGTTCTGGCTGTCATCCCTCTTCTCTCGCAAGTCGTGTGGAGGGGTGGACTCAGGTCAGGCAGGATGCACACAGGATATCGGATAGGCTTGTGAACCAGGCTCAGTCTTTTTCTCGCGTTGATTGCATCCTGTATCCTCATCACATATAACAGAGATAGAATGATCATCCCAACTGACCACCGTCTCAAGATCTACAACTCTCTCTTCAAAGGTAGACAATCAATCCAATCAATTATCGCGATTCATCATCCAATCAATCGATCAAACAAAGATACGCGATAGATACAACAGACTACGACGAAGACGACAACAACATTGGATGACACAACGAACGAATGAATGAATGAATGAATGAATGAATGATGGAACAGAGTATCACTAACACGACGACATTGACAATCAAACAGAGGGAGTTATGGTTGCCAAGAAGGACTTTGGTGCCAAGACCCACCCAAACGTTGAGGGTGTTTCCAACCTCGAGGTTATCATCGCCTTGAAGTCCCTCAAGTCCAGACAGCACGTCACTGAGATCTTCAACTGGCAGTACTACTACTTCACCCTCACTGACCAAGGTATTCAGTACCTCCGTCAGTACCTCCAGTTGCCAGAGTCTGTCGTCCCATCGACCCTCCGCAAGCCAGCTGCTCGTCAGATGGAGAGAAACGAGAGATCCGAGAGATCAGGCCGTCCAGAGAGATTCGAGGATGGCAAGCGTGTTGGTCCAAGTGGAGAGTTCACCCCAGGTTTCGTAAGTGTCTACACTACTACAGCAACATCATCATCGCGATATACAGCAGGGTTATCTATCGATTGAAGCGAGATCACTTTAGCGAATGAACGATCAAGCGAGCGTATGAATGAATGATCGTACGACGAACGAACCAACGAATGATCGATCAACAGCAATGAAGACACAACAGACAAGACGAGACAAACATCAGACAGACAGTCAGAGAAAATGTTGGAACAAAGATAGCTAACTCCTTGTTCAACCAATCAACTTAATCAATGCAATACAGAGAGGTGACCGCCCACAGCGTGGACGTGGTGGCATGAGCAGAGGTGGATACAGAAGAAACGAGGAGGGAGGTGAGCGCCGCCCAGCCCCAACCAACAACTAAATCGATCGATCGATCATCTGATTGTTGTTGTCCCATTTGAAATAAACACCTTCATCCCTTTCATTACACATCCTCCATCACCATCCATCATATAATAATACAGGTAACAAACATGGCGAATCAAGATGATTGGAAGTAAAGTCCATCAAATGGATTGGTCTTTATTGTGGTGTCGTCTTCTTCCTTAGACTCTTCTGGATGAGGGTCTCGAATGATTGTTTGGCTTGTTCGTCGTCTGCCGCTTCTACCATGAAGGACGACCGCAGATACTCAATGTCACTACGTCTTGACAACTCTGAGATACCAGTTGACAGTACCAGTTTGAACAGGACAATGAACAATGAGACGTGTTTCCTGATCAGATCGAATGATAGACAACAGAGATCTGAGAACCATTTAAACAAACTACTCTTCTCTCCACCCATCACCGTCACAAACTCGGCAGTCACTATCAATGGCATGACCTTGTCCTTCTTTGAACTTGATTGAATACTCTTCCTAACACTTCCAAGGAAGTGAGCAAAGTCCTTGTCTGTATGATTGATCAAGTGATTGAATGAGTGAGTGGATGGTTCCAGCGAATGGTGAATCAATCAACTTACGTAGTAGGTGACCAGAGTTTGTAACCATGATGTCGGTGTCGTCGTGTTGCCTGTCTCCGATGCCAAGACTGTGTGTGGCTACGGAGTAGCCGGCGAGTGAGTGGATGAAGTTTTGAACGGCAGACTCGTAGTCAGCGTCACTTTGGTTCCTCTCTTTGATCCATCCAGCAAGTCCTGGTATCTTTGATATTGTATTGGTCTCCTTGTGGATATTGGCCAGGATGTGTGGCGTGTCCACCATCACCTCGATGAATCCAGATCGCTCACCAGTGGCCGTCACATTGTAAATGGACATGTGTAGATCGAGTCCATTACTCTTCCATATATCATCCATCAATGACATCATGTTCAGTGTGAACATATCTTGACGGAGGTCATCGCCATGTCTGTACACAACTCTGATGGGATCGCCCATCGGATCAACATTCTGGAATACGAGCAACAAAGTTGCAATGGATGAGTCCAGCCAGCGACACTCATCAATGATGATGCCACATGCCTGGGTTGTCACTGATGTCGGTAGATGGAATGTGTTTGGCCACTCTACACGCGTCAACTCATCATGCAGCATCTGCTTCCTCTTGTTGGTTGGTGCCAGTTTGATTGATTGAGCGATGGAGCACAGCTTGGTCACGACCTCCATCTGCTTGACAAACTCGTGGCGTTGGTCTCCACAGCCCTTGAGGAAAGTCTCCAGTATGAGTGCACATCTGTCAGAGTGTCTGGGGTCATGTAGCTCAGCCTCGAGGAGCCAGAAGAATCGATGTCCAATCATTGCACGATTGGCCAATGCTCGTTGTATGAGGAAGCGACCGAGTGATGAGTCATGGTATGGCTCATGTTTGAGTGATTGGACCAATGGAAGTAGGTATCGCACTAGCTCCTGGTCACTTAGTGGAAGAAGACAAGTGACGGCATACTCGCGAACAAGTTCATCTGCAAACTTGATGTCCAGCAGTTCGATGGCATCAGTTGGCGGGATCTGGGGCCAGTCGGCCAGCAGCTCATGGACCTGCTTGACCTCGTGAGGATTACTCCAATGGACACATTGCAGTATCCTTGGCAATGAGTTTGGATAGACTCCCTTGAGGTACACGCGATACATCCAAATGAACTGGCGATCAAGTGTGGACATCTCATTCATTGGATGACGCTTGATCAGCAGCTCCATGCGCTCCAAGTCATGTCGTCGAGGTTCAACATAGTTCTTGTTGTCCTTATGATCGTTGTCGGCGACAGGGGAAGTTGATGAGTTGGCACGGGTCTCGCGTCTGGATAATGGACGAGGTGAAAGCACAGGGAATGGGAATTGAGCAAACTCAATCACAAGAGATGGACATGTTTGATTGTAGGCCACGGCTACTGCTGATGAAGCAGCGGCACGATCACCTGGACATAACATCAGTCCAATCACACCGTTTTGTAGATTGCCTCGATGGTCTATCAGTTGAAGGTCTGCCCAGCCTATGCTGATCTTGGGTCGTTCGCCAACTGATGCGTACATTGTGATGCACACCTTGGCTGCGCGTGGAACATCACACAACAACAATGTGGATCTTAGCCATTCACACCAGAGTGGATTGTGCACTGACTTGAATGTGGTCTCCAGTGGCTCAGTGAGCAGGTCGTCGCCATGGTACAGACTGACGACAATTGTGAGTTTGATATCATTGAGTGGCGCATCAGGGGTGAGTGATGAGAACAGCGAGCCAGTGAGGTTCTCAAGACATATGATTCGTATCTCGAATGGTCTGTTGATCTCACTCAACAGGATAGAGTGTCTCGTGGGCTTTGATGAGATCGTGGAGCCGGACGCCGACATGGCTGGACTGAGGCTCAAGTATCGCGCCGACCCTATGATGGCGGTCTGTTGCGGCAGGATTGACTTGGCAGTGGCCTTTTTGTCGTTGCTACGCACTGGTATTGAGTTGTTTATCACTACAATGTCTTGACTTGCACCGTCGATGTAGCCACCACCCATCATCATGTTGGGTAAAGTTGACCGATTGACCAAACTGAACTTGATGTCCAACTTCCTTTGTAGTCTATACCTAACATGCTCCAGCCTCTTGATCTCACAATCATTGATAATATGATCGGATGTGCCTGTTATCCTCAATACAAAGTCTGATGCCTTGTGATCCAGTAGCAGCGTGGCAGAGTGTTGTTTGGCCACGACACGCTCAATGATGTGGCTGATCAAGTCGACACCATTTACACAAATGGTCGTTGAGTGATTGTCTGGGGGGATGTAAACCTTGATGTGGAATGCTGTTGGGAGCAATGGATCATCGCCAATCTTGGTCGCCATAGTTGGCGCCAGCGTGATCTTGATACGCTCGCGCTTGTCCAGCTCATGAAGATTGAATACATTCTCCATTATACTTCTGAACTGCTTCACTTCTGAGTCGTCCTTGGTCCAGGCGATGGGCCGTCCAAGTAGTGATGCAATGTGGATCTGTGCCAACTTCCTTCGTTGTACCGTCGCCTTGATAGTTTGGTCGCGTTGCTCACCCAATGAGAACGAGGCATCCCTTCCACTGCCAATGCATATTGGACTGCGTGACTGTTGCTGTCTGAACACTCCATTGTTGCTCCTGGCTGTCATTATTGGTGGCTTATTGATTGCTTGTAGACGTGTACTGTATCGCGGTACGATGGTTGAAGGTACCCTATGCGTGAAGTTGCTGGACGACGACTCTTGCTTGGGCGTGGGCGTGGCACCCACGATCACTCTGGGGATGCCAGGGTAGCTCGAGCTGATAAGGTCATGCATTGAGGTGTCGTTGGCCATGGGCGAGTGGCCATCTGAGCTGAGGTCAAGTGACATTGATCCATTGCGTATGGATGCAATCATACTCTCCATCTGTGTGATGATATGCTGTCTGAACTCTGCGGCCGTGGCTCCACTGGGACATCCAAATATTGCCGACATGTCTTTGGATGTGGAGACCAACACAGGGAAGTTGTGATATCCATTGACATCATCCAAAGGGTGATTTGCGAATGATACCATGTCAGTCCAACACGTTGGCAAGTCCTCAACATCCTTCAGAACATCGAGGGGCTCATCTTCGTCTTCCTCCAGACCCTCATGCGTGTGATCGCGTGTGTGATGTTTGTGATCATGTTGCTGTGTATCATTGTCATTGTCCTCGAATGACCTAGAGAGATACTTCAGCTGGGCATCCTCAATGTCGACCAACTGTTGCTGAAGTGATACCATCTCGTTGTTTGGTGGGAGGATATCGCGATCCATTGGATCCTCAGCATCAAATCGCGGTTTAAGTATTCTTGATCCACGAGGTGATAGATTATCGCCATAATCCTTTGAGTTTGATTTGTTTGTTGACGATGATTGGCCAGTGTTGTTGATGTTGGACGATGATGCTTGACCAGGTACCAAGGGTAATAAATCCACTCTTCCATCCATTGATTGGTTGAACTCCATTGCATTGCCAAAAGTACCTCGTGGTATCCTTTTGACCGCCAAGAATGTGCTGCCAGGTGATGATGTTGGTGTTGTCGTCTCGGGCATATGTGTTGAGTTGCGAGCTGATGATGAAGAAGATGATGAATGTGATGGTTGTGGTGATGTTGGACATATATCTAGTGATGGTAGTGATTGATTGGACTGTACATTGGGTGATACGTATGGTGATGGTGTGACCACATGTTTGGTAAGTTGTTTGGATGATATTGATATGAGTTGTTTCTTTATCCTATCAGCCTTCTTCATGAATGCCTTTATCTCATTTGGCTTTGGAACAAGGAATACCTCAATCGATGCTTCCTCCTTCGTTGTCAATGCCTTTTGTATACCCTCATGAGCAAATATAAACTTGACAAACTCAATCTGTAATACATCAGTCTATTGGAATTATTCCAGTTAGTATGTGTGAGTGGGTGATCCATGAATGAATACATACTCTCTTGTTTAGAGCCAGGAGGTAGTCATGGTGACTTTGATCTTTTAGGATGTCCCTGTTCTGTTTGAATATCTCATATTTGACATTGTCAACTGTGGCGAATGATTGGAATGTCAATGTGCTGGTAATGCCTTCCAAGTCAATCTATTGAGTATGATTGAGTATGTTAGTTTGGAGATCCATTCATTGATGGGATGTACATACCTTGACAGTGAACGAACTTGGACCTAAGTAGTACTCAGCAGACAGTCGTCTGACTTCCATCCTTTCACTTTTATATTATTGATTGATTGATTGATTGAGTGATTGAGTGATTGAGTGATTGAGATTGAATGTTATTTGATGATGTTGGTTGTTGGAATGTAATGACAATGTATGTCCCAAGCAAGAGACTTGAAAGTACTTGCACACTCATTAACAACAACTTACTTTAAGATGTGATGTTAACATGAGCATGTGACGACAACGATCATCGATGGTGGTGATTGTGGATGTGGTGTGGATGAGTGCGGGTGGTGGTAGTTGGTACACCCAAATAGTATGGTGATCACATTGTATATGGGTGATGTATCGTTGTTGTTGATGATGTGCAAGTTTATTAGTAGGTTGGCAGGCATATGACTGTAGGCCTTCAATTTGCATTATAGATATCATCAACTGACCAATCATTTCTGGATCAAAAAAAATCAAAGTCTCTTTTGCTAAGGCAAAGGGGTCAGCCTCTTGAAAAAAATAAAAACGATCGAATAATGAGTACCTCACTTACTACTTCCCGTCTAACTGAGAAGTTGAAGACTATGTCCTTATTGATCAAATTAACTAGTTAATTGTTAAGTGAAAGATTACATCTTTAGATGATTATAGAGAGAATAAAGACAAGTCCTTCTTTTATTGATTAAGTTTGATAGAGATAACATTAACTTACAAATTTTGTTGTTTTTACTCCAAGCGATTGAGTTACAAGAATCAAAGGGTTGGAAGTTTCAAAGTCTGCGGACCCATCTTAGTTTGGTATCCCATTTTCATAACTAGACTTAATAGATGTCAGACGATAGACCGACCGACTGACTGACCGATTGCCCAGAATTTGAATTTAGACTTCTCTACTTTGAATGTTATATTATGGTGTGTGAGTGGGTGAAAACACATCAATGCATTGCAACAACTCTAAGTTTGAGATCTCAAAGCATAGCGAACCCCCCCCCCC